TAGAGGTAATTGAATACGAGTTGAGCGCTGAAATAAGCGCTCATCCTCGTAGCTAATCATTTTTTTTCGGGGGCTGCTCGACGTGTCAGATGACTATGTTTTTCAGTCAGGTGACGTGTGTGGAAGGGTGGTAAGTTGTCATAAATCTTTTTGGAGCTAGGATTGTGTGAAAAATGCGCTTTTCTTTTGATTAAGTCTGATGGACTTGGTTTTTGGGATTTTTTGGGGTTTATCTGTGTTGAAAGCAGCTAGAAAATCTGGGCATCTGGATATTTTCGTGGATGCTAGTTGTGAGACCATGATTTGGTTGATCATTGCATAAGCGGAAGCTGATAAAATTCGTAGCCTAAGTGCAATGAGCACTCGCCCAGTACCGTATACGAGAGCGCTGACCTCGGGAGGAGTACGGTACTGGGTTAGAATTAAAAGATCTTTTGAACAAGAATGTATGGCATGGCAAAAGCTTAGGCAGCTTTATCAAGACTTCCTAATCCGTTTCCGCGTAGCTACTTTCAATTATCTAAATTTTCCTGATAAGCTCCTTGGATAGACGGCTTTTTTGCTGCTTGACAGCAGGTGGAGAAGCCCACCCATTTGCATATGTTCTGAATAGTAGTTTTTGCTATTGTAATGTTTGTTTTGTTTACATTTATTCAGCCGCATTGCTGCTGCTTTTCTCGTCTAGTTTTTTTTTTCGCACCCACGGGTTCGCTTTGCAGTTAGCTGTCGAGCGCTAATGAGGCCCGAGAAGGCCATGAGATCGACGAAAACGACAGCGCCTTTCAAATAAGCAGTAAGCGTGATGTGTTTGCTACAGCCATAGCAGGTGCTGAGAAATTCAAAATAGAGAAAGACAGGCTTTCGGCTGAAAGCTTTCGAGGAAGCGGTTTTTTCCTAGCGAAAGTGTGCTTGACATTTCTCACGCCTTAGCCTTCAGCACAATCGCATTTTTGCGCAAAAAACATAGGCGTAGGCGTTGCATTGAAGTATTCACTTGCTGCTTTTATGTCCTAAGTAAATAGCCACGGATTTTATGGATTTGTCCGCAGCTGTGCGTTTCGCATTCCAATTTCCATAGAATCTCCAATCTCGCTCAATGCCACTAGCATTTCCTGCCTACTGTGGAAACTTCGCTGACAGCTGAAAATGGCAGGGGCACTAACGTCGTCAGGGAGATCGTCTCTGAACATTGCAATGGAAATTGGCTAACGGGGTTGGCTAGACAGGTGAAATAAATGAGAACAGGCCTAGGGGTAGGGGAACGAACTCCGCTAGTTTGAGCCGCCTCCGCGGACAACTGGTCTTGCAAGGACATGCAACAATATAGCAAAAGGACCAGTTGCCAGCGAAGGCGGGCTCAAACTGGTGAAGTTCGTTCTCCTACCATAGACGTTACTCAGAATTTGGAGGTTTGGAGGGGTAGAGGAACGATTAAGGTACTAGGAATTGCCTCAACGGACTACTTCTTCTCACAGGGTATGTATTAGCATGTCCGAAAGGACCAGTAGTCCGCAAAGGCTGCCCTACCGGCGGTATCCCCCCCCCCCCTCCTACCTAATAAAATTGGAACCGATGTTGAAGTTTGCTGGATAGCTTTCTAGGATACTATGAGACTGGAGGGCGATAATATCTCACCAGTATGATGTACTTGTCAATTTTTAGCTACATACCGATCAATCACAATTTTTTTATAGAATTTTTTTTTCCTGAAGCGAGCTTGATGTTTGGCTGTGCAAAAATCTTGCTCCATTTTTTGTGATTTTTCGCAACAGCATGGCATCTTTTGAAAAGTAAACGAGCGATGCTCTGCTAACTCTGTTTCTCGTTTGCAGCCTTTTTTTGACGACATAATTTGAGCTTTGAAAATTGCAGGAAATGCAATGCTGCGCCAACCTTTTGACGTTGAAACTCAATAAAAAGTTCAAAATGTACCAATTCTATACAATTTTCTTGCGCTCTAATAGCATATTGACAGCTGCTTTTTTTTGTTACTTTGGAATTCTGTGCTAGGCTCAGCTCCATCTATCCCTGCACTAATCTTAAAGCCGTTATTCCCATTCTTGCATAGATTAGCAATGACGTTGTGCTGACGCGAAGCCATTAGCTTCTGCCATATCATCCTTTTCTTGGTCTGTGAAAATGGGGTTTTCAAAATCTGAGTCTTCCCTTTCAATTATTAGCATTATATGGGTTGGAGGGAAATAAAAGAGCGAACAATCAAGGAAGTTGTTTCTTTGTTTACCCTCTGACATTTGAGGTGCCCTTACCCGCAGACGATGGCGTGAGAAAATACCTAATCAAATTATTTAGTCTACTTTTTGTAAAAAAAAAAAGAAGATTGTCTGCACTCGGATAGCCCGTAAACAGGGAAGTCTTTGGATCGATTTAGTCGGATTTTACGGAGTGGTGATTAACCTTTGATTCAAAAGGACTTGGCGGATGGAAGGCGGGGCTTTGTGACCTAATTGAGGCCGCTCGCGCCTGCGACGCACTCTGCGTCTCTCCCGTGCACGTGCTCTCTGATCCTAGCCTTAATTAGGTCACAAAACCCCGCCTTGCAGCCGCCAAGCCAGTTGAATCAAAGGGTACGTGGTTTGTTATTACAAAAAGCGAAATCTACACGCGCTATCAACTAACGGGCTCAAATTCCATCATGTGATGCTTGCAGAATTGGCAGCATGAGCAGCTATTGTCTTTCTCGGGATTCATGTAAACATGCTGTAAATGAAAAAATGTCAGCTCAGAGGATGAAATATTATTTACTATACCAAGGATATGCTAATTACTCTGAAATATTGTTAGCCGCAGAACTTGGTTCAGTGAAAATGAAATGGAGCTATTTTTGCAATCTCATGAATTGTTTACGAAGATTGCGCAAGTGAAGCTAATTGAATTGGCGAGCTGTCATGCTTCAATGTCGATTTGTTGCTAATTGAGCTGGCTTGAAAAAGTAATAACATTTCGTTCGTAGGGGTTGCGGAAAAAATTGCTTCACATCGCCAAGGAGGTAGGGAACTATTATCATTTTCGCATTTTAACTTTTTGAGCAAATCAATGCGTTCTTTTTTGTGCGCATAAGATGCATTCAAGAAAAAAAAGTCTTTGCCCGGATTTTCAATCTATCGTAAAATCGGAGGTTGAAGGTGAAAGTGGAGCTTTCCCTTTACTATCGCCAAGAGTGGAATTTTTAGGCTATATCAGATTTAGATTTCTACATCCTGATTCAATCTCTAGATTCATGTTCGTGAACTCACTTCGCAAGCATCTTTTCAGAACTCACTGTGCCAGTATTCTACAAGCCTTAGGTTCAGAAGAAGGACTAGCCATCCATTGGGTTCTTCTCATTTTACCCAGATCTAAGAGCAACAACCGAGTTTACCAGTCGTTCTGCTGCGACTCAATTTTGTCCAAAGTACTTAAATACCGCGCAAGCATTGAATCGGATTGGAAATGCTATTTCCTTTTGAAATTTGAAGCCTTCTGTTGCTTGTTTACGAGGATTCTCTGGCAAGGAGCAAAGTCACATGAGCTGCCCTGATTGGTTGCGTTGAAAGAGGCGACCAATCAGGGCACAATCGCATCAACCATCGACGCTATGACTGGAATATGCCACGCATTTTTGTCGAAAGTTAAAAATCTGCATTTAACATTACTCTTTCTCATATTCGATTTTGTGATAGTGAATGATGGTTGATCTCAGGCCCAGTTTCGTTGCAGAAAATCCGGGGGAACCTGAAAATCAGGGTTACAATTCTAGCAACGCGTCGCAGAATTGAGAAGGCTTAAATTAGCGATGCCCATCATCGATAAAAGGAAATATAATAATTACTATCTATTATCTAAAAATTGTTGGCGAAGTATATCACAATCAGCCACGCGTGCGAGCTGGTATCCTTTTGGAAAAAAGAATAGTTTGCAGGATATCTTTGGAAAATTGACCTTTTTAGCTTCTTGCTCTTGCACAGCCACAAATTGCATTCGTTCGCATCATGAATGGGCTTTATCAAACCGATTCAATGATTGCTCCAAATGCGCTTTTTTCACCGGAGATAAAGTGAAGAGAGGAAATAGAACAACGAATGGAGTTTCCGGGTATTATCTCTCGATGTGATTTATAAGCAGTAGTTCTTTGGGTGGCACTTAATGGACTTTTGTTCAGATAATTAACTTTGCTTTCCGGAATTGATGAGAAAGTATGGAGTAGGCGACGACAATTAGTGAGGAAATTGAGTAGTACGGTGAAAGCGGGATAGGAAATTATCGTTCATGGCTTTTCATAGAGAATTTTTTATTTGGAAGAGAAAGAATTGAGGCTTTTAGCTGAGGTGACCTGTCAAATGCAATGGGTTAAGTCTTCCAAATCTGTCTGTAGTCCGGTTGAGCTTATTAACTCTCCGAGGAATAGCAGGAGTGATCCGTTTTGCTGAAAGACTTACTACTTGGAATGAGCTACATAAACTTTTTCCTCACCTTTTTCTACTTTCTCGATGAATGATTTCCATTATCACCTTTCTAACTTGCATCTTACTCCAGCAATCATATCGTCACTTTGAAAAAACTCTTTTATTGAGAAGTTCTAATGATATAATGCATCCATATCACTTTTCATGCTTTTTGTTGACGTATTGTGTAAGCCATCTGCTTTCCATTGAGATTACATCACACAATGATTAACTACTCCCGTCGACGCCATCACTCAGGTTGTGGCCATCATTCTTCTCTGGCAGAAGCTTTCGGGAACTTTCGGAACCTTTTGTGGCGGAAGCTGCAGCGTTTTTTTTTTCTTCCTGGAAATTGGCTGCTTAGAAGTGCGTCTTGCTTGGTGCTAGTTGCTTATTAGCGCTGAGTAGGCACGGTGGCCAGATAGGAAATTCCAAAGTGAAAAGAAGCTATTTTCATGGCTTCCTCATGGAAATTTTATTTTCGAAACTGATTCAAAAGTGCGGCAGGGAAGATTGAAAAGCTTGTGCAGATCCGGAAAATGACTATTGATGTTCCAGGTGCTGGTGAAAGTGGAAAAAGCACAATTCTCAAGCAGATGCGGATATTGCATAAGGTGAGCTATTGCCTCAGTTTATTGCAAATGATATTTTTTGACTTGAAGAAGTTTGTCAGCTGCTGAGCATATACGTCATACTTAGAAAAAATGTGGCAACATATAGATTGTAAATTTCGGGGTATTTCTCGTCCAAAGCCCCTCTTTGCGAATATTTACATTTTTGCCAAGGTGATATTCTTTGTAGGAATCTATCCTATTCGCCGGTGTTTACGTTAAATGTGTGGGTAAATGCGTAATTTTATGCTCTATAGAGCAATTACAAAGAATTTATGCTCAAATATTGCTTAGGGTTTTTCTAATTACCAAGAAGATTTGCAATTATGAAGCAAAAATTCATTGAGTTCAATTCCAGGATGGCTTTTCTCAACAAGATTTGGAAATGATACGTCCAGTTGTCTACTCAAATTGCATACATTCAATGTTGTCAATACTTCGGGCTATGTTTCATCTGCAAATTGAATATGCCGATAATGACAGAGTGGTGAGTATAGCAATCGATAATCGATTTTATTGCTAGACCGTAGTTCACTTTAGCAAAAGTTTTTATCCTTTCAATTTGAGCTAAGGATCTTGTGCTGATTTTATCATACTCTGCTGAAAATCGACACAGAAAACCTTTTGCCCTTTGTTCTGAGCGGATCTTGTTGAGTTACTTTCAAGGGCACCATATTGGTTTCTAACAGCACAATGTGTGGCTTCCATTCCACAATGAGCATCATAAATTAGTCCAAATGACGTTATAAATGTCGACTTCCATTAGATGTGCATCGAAGAATGTCCTAGAATTTATTAGACAAGTTTTTTGGATTTCTAGAAATTGAGCTCTTGCAGCAAGAAATTGCTATTGTGCAAAAATCTGATTATCGTGAGATAGTCAGCTCAATCTATGCAAGCTTAGGTTTTTTACTCTAGGTACCTAATGAAGCACTCGTAGGCGTAGATACTACAAGTTAAAGTGCACTAGGGTTGGAGGTATCCTCCAAGATGTCCGGGTTGAAGGCTTTCCTCAAGGATGTCCTTATGTTGAAATATTGGCCCGTATGTCGTAAATCTTTGCGGGAGGAAAGCGTTTTGATATTTTCTGATGATTCGCAGCTGTGCTTGCGTGGTTCATCCCCGTGAGAAAATCTTGGGATGTGCATACAGCGAACTTATATTTTGGACTTTAATTTTTTTTTCTTCTAGCGGGACAGTCAGTTAGTTTTCGCAACCGTCCATGCGAATAAAGAAGAATTGACAGAGGAATTGGCTGCTGCCATGCAACGACTATGGGCCGATGAGGGAGTTCGGGAATGTTATCGGCGTAGCAATGAGTACCAAATAGACGACAGTGCTAAATAGTTAGTAACTTTGCGTATTTTGTTGTAATTTCGTTCTATAACTTTGTGGATTTGGCTTTTAAAAGTGCGTCATTGCAGTTTTCTGGACAATTTACCTCGACTTTCATCGTTGAATTATATACCAAGTGAACAAGATTTATTGCGGACGCGAATTAAAACCACTGGAATCACGGAAGTTTTGTTCGAGCTCAAAGGATTGACGTTTAGGTGGGTTTAGTTGGTTGTAATAGACTGATAATGAGTTTTGTTTTAATATGCTACCTATGTCGCAATGTTTTGTTGCTTTTTTATAATCTTAGATTGCTTTACACCACAATTTTTTATCGAAAATATTTTTTTGCACCATGACTTGAGTTTCTGCCTTTTATTCCAACGAAATATATGGGGAAAACCTAATCCAATCATGCATGAAGCTGTCACAGTCATGAAATGCAAAATGCGTTAATCGATATTTTTTGTAAACAGCACAAACTTATTCAATGGTGCTGATGCAGAGATTGTTCATGCTTGAGAAACTGCCTTTTTGCTTAAAAAAAGCCCGTTCGATATTTCCCACAAAGCTTTCATAATGCGAAACGCTGCTTCTGCTACAGCGATTCATCACAGGGGTCGACGAAGAAAAATTGGTCATTTAGCAACGGTCTGCTTGCTCTCGAACAAAAAGCAGACAAATGATTTTTTTATAATCTTAGATTGCTTTACACCACAATTTTTTATCGAAAATATTTTTTTGCACCATGACTTGAGTTTCTGCCTTTTATTCCAACGAAATATATGGGGAAAACCTAATCCAATCATGCATGAAGCTGTCACAGTCATGAAATGCAAAATGCGTTAATCGATATTTTTTGTAAACAGCACAAACTTATTCAATGGTGCTGATGCAGAGATTGTTCATGCTTGAGAAACTGCCTTTTTGCTTAAAAAAAGCCCGTTCGATATTTCCCACAAAGCTTTCATAATGCGAAACGCTGCTTCTGCTACAGCGATTTTGTGATTCGACAAGTCATTATGGGGCTGGCACAACCGGGGGTCAAGTTAGATATTGTTTCTGGAGGAGAAGGCAGAGGCAATATACTTTTTGTGGGGTTGAGACGGACCTTCCCTTCCCCTTCAAAAAAGGAACGCAAAAGAAATGCAACGGAATCTAGCTTACGTCAGAAATCTTCAGCTTCTTCCCCAATCAGCTGGTACCGTCCTGCTGAGTAGTTGAGCTGGACCCGACTCTTTGTTCACATGATTTTCCAGGTGTTCTTTTCAGTAATGTATTTGCACCCTGAAAGTTTTCATATAAGTGCAAAACGGTTTCATTTTCTTCCGTTTAGGCAGTTTTATAGTCCTTAGAAAATTTCATTGTTGGCGCAATTCGCTCCGATCGCAAAACCCGCCCCTCGTTCAAAGGCAATGTCTCACCAAAAATGGGGTAATGCGGGTCTCCCCATTTTTGTTAGAGGACCCAATGAATAGCCGACCGCCCCTAGTCCAACTCGATGGCTTTCAAGAAACGTGGTTTTCCTACATTTTATGCGATTTTGGACTCGCATTGAGTTAGAGAGGGATAAAAAGGCTTGCAGTATGGAAAAATCTCAAAAACCATATTTTTGTGAGACACTGCCTTTGACCAGGGTTGAAGGACAGCTGAGATACAAAAAATAAGAAGTAGTGAGGGGCTCTAAAGGTCAGAAGGGTTGTGAGGAAAAATTTTTTACTTAGGGGGACTTTAAAAAAAACTACCTCGTTCCAGCTCGTGCTGAGCCTTGAATTATTATGATTATTGAGAATTTTGAAATTGACGAAAGAAGACGTTTCTGTTGCGTGAGGGTCAAAGTCCTTCACAAAAAAAGCTTTACGTCCCGTTGCATTGCAAGATTTCAGTCAGCTAAAGCTATATGCAAAAAGACATCTTCCAAACTGAGTAGATGCATTTTAGCGGACTGCGCGCTAATCTCTCGGTTCTCATCCTCGAGTCCTTTCTCTGCTATTTCTGCTTTCAACTTGGAAATGTGCACAGGGGCATAAAATCGATTCATAAGAGTTATTTTCTAGGGTGATCGACGTGGGCGGACAACGGTCTGAACGAAAGAAATGGATTCACTGTTTCGACAATGTAAATGCAATAATTTTTATCAGTTCACTGTCAGAATACGATCAAACCTTGAGGGAGGACAATTGCACGGTATGTTCAAGGTATAAGAATTGCAATGCTGCTTTCTCGCCAATTTGCACTTTTTTGGAAGTATATCAAACATTTGCAATTAACAAAACTTTCTGAAAATGGATTCCGCTACAATTTTTTTGTGATATCATTAGGCTTAAAATTGGCTACAAACTTCATCATCTCGTAATCCTATCACATTAGCAATTTCCGCTTGCTTTTTTTGTTTACAACTGCCCAAGAGTCTCCTGTCCGGCTCTTCCAAACCTCTCACCATAATGAAATTACGCGATAGTGCAGTCATCGAGCCCCTATTCTCAAGCTCGAACTGCAGGAAAGGGCTGCAAAGTATTTATTCAGGTTGTTCGTGGGGGTAAATTACACCAGAAATAATGTTCGCATTTCAGAATCGAATGCAGGAATCGCTAAAACTGTTTGATTCGATTTGTAACAGTCCATGGTTCGCCGACATTCATTTCATCCTCTTTTTGAACAAAAAGGATTTATTCGCTGAGAAAATTCAGCGCAGTCCATTGACGATCTGTTTCCCAGAATATAAAGGACAACAGAATCAGACTGAATGCATCAACTACATTCAATGGAAATTCGAGCAGTTGAATAGGTACTTATACTCTAAAGGCACCGTCTACTCAAATTGGGAAGGATGAGAGTTTGATACGGTACAATAGCGGGAGCCCCAACTAACTAATCGCCCAAAATTTGCTGCAGAAGAAGAATTTGGAGCGAGAAACTCGCTTTAGAAGGTAGAAACCGCGGTGGTCGCTCCGCCCATCAACGTGGGTGGTCTCAAGAGCACAAAGTTGGGCTCAAATTTGTCTTAATTCGTAAGTCTGCTGATCATAATGAAGAGCTTCCCCTATTTTGGACTTGTACCTTTAGACACCCCCCCCCCCTCATTGTAACGTCTCAAGATCTCAGCGGCCCCAGTTTGAGTACGGTGTTTTAAGGTTATGTATGGCTTTCGATCGATAATCGATTTTTCTGTCAGATCGTCGCAGCGAGAGATTTACTGCCATCACACATGTGCCACAGACACGAACAATGTACAATTTGTACTCGATGCATGCTTGGACATGATAATCGCAAAAAATCTAAAAAGTATGGGCTTGTGCTAGTGCCAAATGGGAACTAGAAGACACACTACGTTATTTGCTTCTACATTATATTCTTTGTTTATTAGCCTCTCCTCTAGCTTTATCCTACTCATTGAGAGTCCCAGTGGCGTCTCCGACTTATTGCAATCGATTTTTCACTCAGTTCGGGTTTCTGTATTTTGCTGTTACTTTTGTCGTTTTGTAATGGAGTTCTATGGCAGTTATCGTCTGAAAGTAACATATTTAACTCCCTGTCGCTGGACAGTAAGTGAAAATGCTCGTTTTTCTCTACTTTTCTCATCAAATGAATGTGATCTCAATTTCATCGGATTTTTTTTTACAATCAAAATACATTGCAAATTTTAGCATGATTTAAAGTCAATGCGCTATTTTCCTATGTTCGACTGTCTTACGGTTAAGTTTTTAAGTGTTTACACAACCTTCATTGTATTTTCAACCAATTTTGAATCAGTCACTGCTCTGATTTTGATTGCTCGTAATATTGTAATTTCTGTTTCAGCTGTCTGAACAGTGCCACTTATAACGGCCATCTTACTTGGAAGTATCCATAATGAATTCGGCTATTCTTACTTATTTTCGCATACAAACACGCAAACCCTGCAGGAAAATTCTAGTCATTATCTTCAGACCAGGGTGTTGTGACTTTAACATGTCTTGGTGTTTTTCGTTGTCAATGTGTGCAAATTTTTGTAAAATAAATGCTCTACTGTATCTGTTTCAAACTGTTGGCTGGGGAGCTTTGTCACAAGGTCGTCTGCTAGACTGGTTAGGATGGAGGCGTACGAGATATGATCACTTCTATGAGCAGGGCCCGGCTCGGGTGGCTTATAAGCAAACTGGATATCGTTTCTGGAACAAAAAGCAAGGGGGATATTGTTTTTGTGAGCCCAAAATTAGCTTTTTTTTCGTCGACGTTTCGTTTTCTTACAGGGGAAGCTTGTTTAGTCGAAGTGGCCTTTCTAAATGAGATGTATACCATGTTAGAGGGCACAAAATGCTGACTCCGATTTGCTTTCCCTATCTGCAGAACGTTTATGGACGAGGAGTTACGAGCGTTTATTGGAGCCAAAAATTGAATTAATTTTGGAAAATGAGTTCCTAAAGTCTTAATAGCCCTCAAGTAATGCAACCAACTGTGATATATTTTTTATTTTAGAGTATTTTTTATATTAAATGCGATGATTATCACTGCTCCATTGAAGAGCTAGAAAAAGTATTACGGCCATTTTTGTCCTACTTGAACATTCAATTTTTTGCTTCAATAAGGGCTCATAACTCCTCGTCCATAAGCGTCCGGTTCAGGAAGCCAGATTTGGAATCAGCATTTTATATCCTTCAATATGGTGTACATTGCATCTAAGAAGACCACTTCGACTAAACATGCATTCTGTGTTAGTCGATTCGCATATCGGATAAATGTCAAAGGGGACTTCGTATTTTGCCGAAGTCAGGGGGACTGCGTTTTTTTTTTCTGCATTTTCGGAGCCACCTCGTGCCAAGCCCTGAGTATGATAACGGCAGCAACAAATGCAGGGTTCGAAATTGCAAACTCGCGTAATTAATCTCCAAACTTCCAAAAAATCTGAAGGACTCGAGTCACATTATTTACGGAGAAGTTTTGTTTATCCGCTCGGGGAAATTTCTACGATTACTGCTTGATTTGTTGCGATCACCGCTTATGCGACATGTTATATCTTAAAAACAGGATTCTTTTTGGGTGAATGCCCTTAGCTGAAGAATGGGATCGGTCTGATATCCCTCTTTCTGTCGGCCCAGGCTGTTATTTGCGATTTCAAAGGAATAAGAAATAGACATAAGTTTTATTGAGTCATTTTTTGGGTGCGACAAAAAGATCGATTTTTCCACACACATCGTGAAACTTCCTCAGCATACGAGTAGTCTGCTTTATGCTCAGTATCATCAGAATGATGTAGTCAGCAAAGCGAAAATAATGTAATTGTGGCTATCGACTTCCACTCACGCATCCTCTCTAGTAGAGTGCGCACGAACGTTCACGAAAGGGGTTTCACCTCTGGCGATGTGTCCTTTTACGTACTTTCTTCATGTCAATGTTGATGTCCCGGATAGAATGGCGTATGCTATTTATGTAATTACTTTAGAATGGTGTGTATAATAACATATTAGGCTCCATAGAATATCCCAGCTTTTTTATTACTGTACTCCTACGGCTAATTCATGGCCTAGGTCCGAACATTTGGCCGGATGAATCAGACACTATGAGAGAGTAGAAGGTCTATTATAGAAGCATGACACGCGCATATGAATAAAGAAACAACTACAAACGCGAGATAAGATGCTTATACTAATACTAGTGAGACCGGAGTATGTACGAGAGATTTTTTCTGGCGGTGGCTCCTCTTCTGAGTCGAGCAATTGATCTTCGGCGGCGGCTTTGAGCATTTGCTTTTCCTACAAATGGATGATCTCAATACGGTGTAGAAAAGCTTTGGTTGCACAGGTCATTGATAACGGTAGTAGCTTCAGTCTTAAACAAGTCGAAACTTTGCTTAAATAGGAAGATGAGACGAAGAAGCTTTGTGCATCGCAATACCGAGTTTGCATATGTCTAGAAGGTGCACTGCTTTTTTTAACCGATGTGTTTGCGTGAGTGATGAATGTTCTGAGTTTTTTTCCGATTTTGTTTGAATGACATCAATGAAGACTGTGGTTAATGGACAACAACAGCGGGGGAATAACTGTCAGTGTCGCAAAGATTCCTGATTTCGCTAGTTCTTTACTAATTTAGAGTTTTACCTTCAGCCAGGTAATACATGAAGCGTTCCGGAATTCTGCCAGATACAATGGATCCTTCATATGTTTTCTTTGATCGTGAAGAGCGGGTGCCGCTTAATTTCTCATCGGGCATCATAAGCTAAAGAAGCGATGGAGCGACATAGTGTATGAGTTATCATGGGGGCAGTTGGACAGTGCTGACAAAGATCGCGTAGAAGTCGTTCATAACCTATATTGACTTCTGGAAAATGTCACCGATTTCATCAGTTTCATCAGAGCTGCGGTCATTGACAAAGATTTGATGGAGTTATGCTTTTTCCAGTTCTTCTAGTCTAGTGTATTGTAGTTTCAGGACGCGAGGAGTAGTGATAGTTTATTGGCGATGGAACACGAATGACAAATGGAAGAATGAGTATAACCAAAGGGGATGCTTATATAACCCGATATTGATGATTGTTAACAACACAAAAGACATTTCATTTCATACAGGTGTAACCGTTCACAGCCTGATCCTAATGGTAATGTCAATATTTTAAAGTCTGTCCCGATCCCATTCAGGCAAACTAAGGTTTTGCGTCACGCCCGCGGCCTGACTGTCTGCTATCTCTTCACACCCTTCGTACTCTCCGACAATGCGCAAACCCTTAGCGCTGCGAGCGCGTAAATGCACGTTAACGGTTCGGCCTGACCCCGATTGAGACCGACCATACGACATCTCCTTCCTTAAAGACAGCGTCTAGGCAAATCTGGACATATGGGGATCTCAGACCCGTGGGCGGTAATTTTTGGACGCTAACTAAGACACCGCCCGCAGCTCAGATGGTGCACTAACGGCTGAGATATTCGCTCTAAACTATACCCCAGGATCGTATTTCGCATGCATTCATGGCGCGACACATCAGTCTTGCGTGGGTCCTCGAGCAAAAGCATGAAAACGCGATGCAAGTCGTCCGATAATACGATTTGGAGTCCAGTTTGTAGGCGTATATCTCAGCGTTAGTGAATCGTTTAAGCTGCCGCTTAGGCCGTGCTTGTTAGGGCTTCTAGATTACTTTCCACATAAAATCCCAAATGGTCCAGATTTGCATGGACCCTGCCTTTGAACTGGTCATTGTATCGTTTCTCGACGGGTCGATCTCGAGTCGGCGAGTGTTGACACATTTGCGAGCGGCGGGTCCTCTCTAGGTTCCGACGATGAGTTCAGCAAGTCTATTTGATTGTGATTAAATGGCGGCGTCTAATGCTTGATGTCGCACCCTGCAGAAACATCGAAAAATGGGGAGGAAAGTTGGTCCATTGTCCGAAAAAGCGTTACTGGGATCCGAATCTGCTGGAAAGTTCACTTTAAGTCCACGATTTCGGGTCAACGAGAGTAAACGTTTACGATGACGAACATGTGACCGTAGAGCAGACCAGCGAGGTCGACATGAGTGTGTGTTCTATCGGTAAAGATTGAACTGGTCTTAGTTCGGCTTTTATGATATTCTTGGCGGCACCAGCCTTCTTGACGTCTTCTCCTATACCAGGCCAGCAGACATAGATAGTTGCGAGCGAGCTTCATACGGGTTTGTTCAGGGTGTCCAACTTGCAGCATGCGGAAAAGCTTTTCTTAGCGGGGCAGAAACGACGATCTTGCATTTGCAGAAAGAATTCGAAGCATTAGAAGCATATGCATCTGTGGTGAGTGGAAAGTCTGTATGCAGGTTACGGTATCTGAACACCGGCCCAGTGTTCTTTCTAGGTAACTGAACAGCTCAATCAACATAGCGTTCCTTTCCATGGCAGGACGTACATCTTCCAGGTAACCGGAAACTGATTGAGTGCTTGCCTGTAAGTGAGACATCAGCTTCTATGGTAGCAATGATGACGTCTTCATCCGGCGCACTGCGGCAGGACAACAGTCGGGAGAGGGCGTCGGTCTGTCCGAACGACTGTTAAAATTGAGCAGTAACCTAAATCGCAGGCCTACAGCATCATTGGCCATCGTTGTAGGTAATTAGCACTACATGCCGGTATCCCTTTCTTGCTTCGGAAGATGGTCAGTATAGGGTGATGGTTCGTTAGCAAAGTAAGTCTCTGTCCGTGACGGTAGTGGTAGATCTTTGACGAAAACAAGGGCTTCCTTCTCAGTGTGCGATTGATTCTTCTCTGCGGTAGTCAAGGCACGGATTGCGTGACAGACGACGTCTTGATTCATCCGGGTAGCGGAGGAAATCACCACTCCGATTCCATAGTTGCTGGCTGTAGCGGCTACAATATTCGGTTTCTGGGCACAGCAGTAGATCCGCAGTCAGAACAAAGCGAAGGCTCCCTGGCACTCCTTACTCCAGACAAACGCTGTGTCTTTCCTCTTCAAAGACTCCGATTCCGCGAAGTGAACGCATCTTTGGTATGAAAGACGAGAGAAATGAAACCATCCCAAGCTAAGATCCGAGCTTCCTCTACATTTTGAGGCGACGGCATATGGGCGATGGCAGAAATCCCTCGCTTTGACATGCACGATCTTCTTGGTGGTCGTCGGTGGCTGCGTCGCGAGTTTCAGATGCAGAAGTGATTGATTATATCCAGCTGATTTCTCACCTGGTCCATCCGTTCCATGAACATATCTGCACATCTTGCTGATGGTCTTCTGGGAACGTTTGGCTTCACGAGGCATCCATTCTGATAATCTTCAGGGCAGTATGTGGTAAGGTGCTTATTCTCCCAACTACGAAAACGGAGCCACTCCAGTGGCACAGCATTCCTTCCCCCTTCTCCAAAAAATTGCCCTTGAAACTGTTTGCGGCCGGTCTCGTGTGCGCGCGAGTTCGCGCTTTCCCTCCCATCGCTCAAGGCGCACTTCCGCAGTGCTGTAGCCACAAGGGTCCGCAACACTCTGCATCTCCAACATGGGAGAATTGTTCCCCCGTCGTATTTAAAACCGTAGATTTTAAAAAATCTTGTATCGCCATTTCCGGCTCTCGAGGGTAGATCATCACGATCAGCGGATAACCCCGGTAACCAGAAAATTTGGGTCGTGGATGCCGAGCTACTACCTTCAATGTCCATATGTCGTTTGGTCATCTCATGGTAACCGACAGTCGATATTTCGTTTTAACGACTATTTCACTGGATCACAAAGACGAGACATCCTTCTTATATCCGTACGCGATCCAGCGAGATGTTGCTTGAGTCGGCTGATCTACAGACTGCGCTCCAGTGCTCCACTGGTGAGCGTTCGACTGGCCACAGTATCGGTCCAGATCTTTGCTGCGTAACTTGCGGGACGCGAAGTTCCAGTTTCATAGGTTGGTCATGTCCTTTAGAGGCTAGGCGGACCAGGCTGCTCTTTTTTCTCCTGTTATAGGCAGTGTCCGCCACAATGGTTGGTCGCCTCATCGTGGCGTGGGGGTGACAGTGGGTGTTGAACTGCGATGCACAGCCGAGTGTATACTCTGGTAGGGCCTCCCAAGCTGTGAAGGAGTTCGATGTTTCCGGTTTCGGCCGGATGCCTAGCTAAGAACTGGCCACGCCAGATCCTCCGCCGTCTGGCCTCTTCTGGTCGCTAGGCGGTCCCTCCCCGCTCCAAGCCCAGGGTCAGCGATCGCCCCGTGGAAATCAAGAGTAAGCCTAGTAAGCCACCTCTTGTAGGGGAACAAATTTTATTACTCAGACAGCAAGAAAATTTAGAAAAAACCCTGTACATCGGATCCCGCCTACGGCGCCGGGTGGTAGCAAGAACGATGTCAGGGTACTCAGGGCGCCTTTCGGATTGGACAAAAACGACACGTCTGCCCGGACGACACGCCATGGAGATTGCCTCATGCTCTGCACCTAGAACGCCAGGACAGTCTCCACAAACGCCGACCTACACGCTCTTCTCGACGCTGCAGAGCACATCAACTACTACATCATCGCTCTGCAGGAAACGAAGTCCAGGAAGAAGGACGTGCGACAGATGAGTGATGGGACCCTCATCATTCGTGGTGAAAAGGTTCCATCACGAAACGTGGGAGGCGTCGGCTTTGTCGTCCACCCATCTATCGTCCATCTTGTCGATTCGCACGAGATCCTATCACCTCGACTAGGCATCCTACGACTACGACCTCCACATCAGAAGACCATCAGCATCATCAACTGCTACTCTCCAACATTAGCAGCTGACGAATCAGAACTAGATGCTTTCTACGAAGATGTGGAGGAGGTCGTCCGCAACGAGAAGTCCTTTTATAAGTTTGTTGTGGGCGACTTCAACGCGAAAATCGGGATGCCACTGGAAAAGGAATATAGGATCGAGAAGTTTGGATATGGGCTCCGGAACGAAAACGGCAACCGTCTTGTTGGGCTTCTCTCCGCCGCACGACTTTTCCATGGAAATTCCATCTCTATGAAGAAAGAACATCGCCGGTGGACATGGGAATCGCCCAACGGAACGACCCACGCGGAGATCGACCACATTCTCACCAACTGAAGGTGGAGCTTGCTCGATATCTCAGTAGTTCCATCCTTCTGCAATGGCTCCGATCACCGCCTCCTTCGAGCGAAGGTACGATTCAGTCGAAGGTTGGAAAAGAAGGTCTGCCACAGTGCCGCAAGAAGGAAGAATGTCGTTTATAGCGGTAACAGGCTGGAAGAGCTCATATCGAGTTGTGACTGGCCCATCGAGGAGGACCCAACGTACGACTACGACCGGCTTCTGAAAGGATTGCGAGCCTGCGGAGAGTGCGCCTCAGTGACTTCCGGGAAGTATGTTGAACGCGTTTCGAAGACCACCAAGGAAATGCTTGAAAGAAGAAGATTTCTGAGGCAGGATCCGAATGCAACCTATCTCGAGCGACTGATAGCCAACGCCAGTTGCAGAACAGCTTTGCAGGAGGATCTCAGGAAGTACAGGCAAGCCAAAATACTGGAAGCAGCCGAAGGAAGACGAAGTCTCAAGAAGTGCCGAAGGGACCTTTGTGAATATCGCGTACCGCTGGCTGCACTACTGAACGAAGACGAGACTCCGACTTCTTCCCGATATAAGATGGAATCGATCGCGAAGAACTTCTACACTAACCTCTTCCGCTCATCAACACCCGTGCCGATGCCCATTGTCCCCGCTGAAGAAGTACCACCACGAATTCTACCTGCTGAAGTGCGTACGGCGATTCAGACCTGAACGTCTACGGCTTCAGGATCAGACCATCTTTCCCTCGAATTTTTGCGAGCCGGAAGACAACGTCTACACAAGATTCTCGCTTCGCACCTGACATCTCCTTACTTTTAGAAGGAGAGGATTCCCGACCAGTGGAAAACGTCAAGAAACCGCCCCTTCTCTTCAAGAAGGGGAACGGGAGGATCTTTGGAACTATCGTCCAATATGCCTATTGAGTATGCTGTACAAGCTTTTCACGAAGATTACACTGGATGGAGCCCAACCCCAAAAACAACCTGGATTTCGCAAAGGATTCAGCTGTATGGACCACATCCAGACGGTTTCGAGGGTCATAAAAGTCTGCCGGGAGTACCGACTGCCTCTCGTAGTAACCTTTGTCGACTACGAGAAAGCCGTTGACAGCGTCGACAACGCTATCTTGTCAGCGCCAGTCGATCAAGGAGTGGACCCAGCTTACGTGAGGACGTTAGCCGACCGCTACAAGGACTGTACAACAACGACGATTCAGCTGTTCCATCACCCCCTGACCATAACAATTGGGAAGTTCGACAAGGCGACACAATCGCGCCGAAGCTGTTCACCGGGCCTTGCAGTAGGTGATGGAGTCACTGGACTGGGACGAGAGAGGCATACGAGTTGATGGAAAATTCCTGTCGAAGCTTCGTTTGCGGACGACATCGGTCCCTTCTCGAGCAATATCACTGAAGAGAGACGATGCTGAAGGAACAAAACGAAGTAGGGAAGAAAATCGGATGGAACTCGGAAGAAGACTCAGTTCATGAAGAAAGTCCTTTGCGTTGATGAAGAAATGGAATTGGAAGGCACTCTTATCATCGAGACGTCCTCTTACGTGTATCTCGGACGTTCGATGAACATGGAGTACGACTTGAGGGGAGAAGTTTACAGGAGAAGAAGAGCAGCCTGGCCGCCTTCGGGCCTCTGAAGGAAGCCACTGACCAAGTGACGGACCCGGAGCTTCGTGCCCACCTGTTCGACTCAACCGTTCTCCCGGCGCTCTATTACGCAGCTGAGATTGGCCCGACACTGTAGCCACGTCGAAAGCTCTGCGGACCACGCACAGAGCGCTTGAACGCAGTCTTCTGAAGATGAGCCGACACAAACAACACCTTGTCGGACTTCGCAGTACGGAATTAAGAAGAATGTTCCGTCTTCGTGGGATACGTTGCGAAAGCGGAACATCGATGGGCCGGTCACATCATGAGAAGAAAAGACGACAGATGGACAGTAAGAACATCGGAGTGGATTCCTCGCAAAGCGAGACGTCCCCGAGGAAGACTTCCAACGAGATGGGAACGTGTTCGTGGAACGGATGGACCAGCTGAGAAATCAGGATGCGATTTTCGCCCCTGGAACTCGTGGACGCGGCCATCGACGACAGCCAAGAAGATCGTGGATGTCCGAAGCGAGGGACAGGGAAGAATGGAAACTTCTTTACTGGGGCCCGTACATCACGTGAGGACGGGCCATCTACGTATCTAAGTAAGTAAAAATCCCGCGACTCAAATTCTGAAGAGACAGTGCCTTCAAACTTCTTCCGCTGAATACGAGCGATGATTATCAGCGCCATGCTCAAATAGTCGAGTGAGACTCTAGAATGGCACGACATGCGATGGTCGGTGGCCGAATATTACATCATCCACGCTGTTGATGACATCCTCTTGATAACATCGAGCGTTATGTGAGCTAAAAGAATGCTAGTTCACTCCGACGACATGCGTGGAAAACTTGGCCCGCCAAAGTATGAGAAAGTGTTTCCGATCCTCCTTTCACGCTCAGGAGAACTATTCTCATCAAACGCTACCAGCTATTTTCATCCAGACCGGGACGTAAATGTGATGAACGAGTTAGCTGCAGAATTGTGCGAGAGGAAACAAGCAGCTTCACTTATATGCACTCATATGTTCCACGAGATGCAAAGTATAGGTGCTACGGAAAGCGCTTTGAATTTTTTTTTCAATATACATATTTAGCGTGAAAGAAGGTTGGCAGCTCTAACATGGATGACCAGACAAAAATGACACTGTAATCAAACCTTCCATAACTCACTCTAAAAAAGCACATGGCAACATTTTATACAGTAAACATCAACAAGAAACAGAAACAAGCAATAAATTATGGTGTATAGTGATCTTTCCATAAATCCCCGTATTTATAATCGATAAAAGGTTTTGTCCCGTATCCATCTGGCAATAATCGGCGCATGTTTATTTTACCATAAAATTGGAGCCGATGAAAGTCGGGTTTCTGAACATAAGCACGTAATTAGAAAACAATGAACGTATTGAAAATTTGAAGTCGTTCTTATCAACCCGTACCTCGTAATTTCCATCGGTCACTGGATTCAGCGCTTCGTACACCCGTTCGTCTCCTGTACCATGAATAGCAAATGAATTGAATTTGGTTATGTCTAGAAGCATGGTAGAGGCAATAAAAATTCACGGGAATAAGGCAGTCCATGAGAACAACTTACTTCCTGGAAAATATGCAAGAGGGACCTCGAATTCACAATGCCATACATTCCCAACAAACTTGTTAGTGATTTCCAGTTCAAGTTCTTCACCTGAATATAGCAAACTAGTCAGCGGCGAAAACTTTATTTTTATGATTTTCCACTTCATACAGGATAGTCTGCGAGAATGGAATACAATGAAAGTTACAGAACATACCCGTGTTGAAAGGCTTCCGAACTCCATCAAACAGCATGACAAGCCAATGCCCATGAGGTCCAACTTCAATTTCAATGTACTGATCTTTCTTGTTAGCGAAGAAAAATTCAACAACTTCATACTCCCAAAGCTAGAAACACAAATATATGGACATCTCTATGTGTAAAGAATCATGTTGAAAACCACAACTCACACCATGTAGGATCCCCGGAGGATCCGGCGGAGCCTCAGGATCGTCGAATAAAGGAGCCTTAATGAGGACTTCGAAGTCCGAAGCTTTATAGTCACTCAACATTTGTGCTTACCTGGAAGTTCACTTTGATTACCCTTTTGTGTGGTTTACCAGGTAGTCTGGTAAAATACCATTTCATCTCGACGGTGATTGGATCATGATCGATTGGTAAACCATCCCAAGTTTTGTCGATTGTATACTTAAACCCCGATAGTGTAACGGGCGTATCAGACATGTACCTGCAATATTTTGGAGTAAGGTAACGATCGAAGGAAACGCACTGAAACAAAGAGCATCTGTGTCTATATAAATTAGAGGAACAACGACGATCAGCTTGAAATTAGATGTAATAAAGCTGTGTTGCGTAATAGCTTATGAGGCCTATGGAAACTATTGACGGTGAGCTGTTTCAATAACACAGCCCGCAGAACCAAAATAATACAAGGAAATCGATAGAATATGATGAGAGCATGGTGCATAAATGGCTGCTGAAGTCTTCTTCCTCTGACGGAAGAAAGATCTAGTTTCAGTAGCAATTCACGAAAAACAAAACAAACTTCAAACGATATTCAACTGTCGAATTTCAAAATCGAGGCTTGCATGTCTCCGAACAATACATATGAAGTGCGCAGTCATAGAGCAGATTTACAGAAACTTTCATCTGCAAAAGCTAAGTACTCAAAGAGTCGATCCGGAATATTTAGTAGTATTTGAAAAGAAACGTATAATAATCTGACAGATGCGTTCTAACGCATATATTACATGGAATCAACTGGCAGAATGACATATTGCCCAAAGACGATTAAGAGACGTGTCAAGCTTTTTGTATAGGATAGAAAAAGAACTCGACAAAAATGCATGCACTGCCCGTAACTAGGAAGCGTTAAATTGCACATTAATGTGTGCACTATTTTTTATTTCGACTTGAAAAAACACAGAATACTTGGCGCTATTCCAGTATACCGACCCCAAAAATTAAAAATCTCGGATTTCGCTCAAACTCGGTATAGGGGGGTTATTCGACCCGCTGATGCCGAATATCATATCGATTCCGTGCGATAGCGCCATTTTCTGGGGGTTACGGTGGGTATACGGTAGGGGGTCAAAATCACAAAATTCTCTGAAACTCGGTAAGAGGGTGTTATCCGACATGCTGAACACGAATACGATATTTATTCGTTACGGTAGCTCCTCATTCCGGGGTTATGGTGGTTATACGGTAAGGGGTCAAAATCACGATATCCGCTGAAACTTCGTGTAGGAGGGTTATTTGACATGCTGATCACGATTATGGTGTTTATTAGTTACGATAGTGCCTCATTCCGACGTTACGTTGGGTATACACCAATACCACCGCTAGATCGAGATTCAGGGCTTGAAATCTCAGTCACATGTCGGAAATTTCCTCCCCCTGCTTTGCTTAGGCAAAAGCCGCCGCAGGGTGTATCGCGCGCGGCGGTGGGTGTGGAAAGCAGTGAATTAGACCCTCCTACAGTATACCCACCGTAACCCCAGAATGAGGTGCTACCGTAACGAATGGATATCATATTCGTGTTCAGCATGTCAAATAACCCCCCTGCACCAAGTTTCAGAGAATTTTGTGATTTTGACCTCCTACCGTGTACCCACCGTAACCCCCGAAAAATGGCGCTATCGCACGGAATCGATATGATATTCGGCATCAGCGGATCGAATAGCCCCCCTATACCAAGTTTGAGCAAAAACCGAGATTTTTAATTTTTGGGGTCGGTATACTGGAATAGTACCGAATACTTCGCAGAAAAACTCATCAAGTGATAATACATGTACGAAATCAAAAATTTACGAAAACTAGTCCGAACTGAACTCGTTTCATTTTCGGAACTGTAGAACGCACATGTGATTGTCTGCAATTACAGATAGATTAAGCAAATGGCGTACGATGAAATTTTCAAGCGGGTTTACCTCGTCTGATGTTTGTCCAGCTCATTTTCTATGTTTGAATAAGTGAATACGTTATTTCCTGACACGTAAGTCTGCTCCTCTCGTGTTTGTCCATCCTCTTCGCGTTCGCTGTTGTCTTTTGTCCGATCGGAAATCGTCTCGGTTTGTGTTGAGCAGTTTTTTCGCGTTCTCAACAGCTTTCTTATCGTAACTCAGTAATCGCTGGTCTTGAATGGGGGAGTTTGAGGGATTTTTTACTTTTTTAATTTTTCTTTTCGTAATATTTACGGTTCATGCATAACCTAATATTTTTTTCCAAATTCGTACCATAGTTTTCGTCATTCGGCTAGTAAAACCTCACCGTTACAATGCATGCTCCAATGGGGACATTTTCTGACTTTTTTCTCTGCTTCATTTCTGTAGATCGCAATTTCTTGATAAGTGGTCTCAAAAGTTTTTTGCTTTTGTCAACTGAATTGGTACCTTGCATTCCATCTTTTGTACTGGAAGGTAATTATTTACTTTCTTTTTTTCATTCTGCTTTTATCAAACATTCCTTCCTTTGGAAGTATCTTTGTCTATGCTCCCCATAATATGCATTCTTCCTTTTTAGATGTTAGCATTACTTCCTTTGTGCCGTTTTTTTTTTCTGTGCGCTGTCGTGCACCATCTTATTCCTACACGAGTCGATTGCTAAATGTGCGGTTGCTATGCTTTCTGGGATTTTTCATTTCGCTCAAGTATATGTCGCTGTATTCTAAGCGTCTTTGTAATTTTTCCAAGTCTTTCAAAAATTTTATTGACCAACAGACCTCATCGATGATCCATTTACAAACTTCTCAAGCGCACGGCTTTTCAAATGCCTGCCGAAGTGAAGCTTTACTTCCGCATAGCTGATGAACAAAGTCCTACACATCACATGAAAATACTGAATGTATGAGCGCTCCTGTCTGTGAAAAGCATAGTTAATTAAAATATGCTGGATTTATCAAGTCCAAGCCACAAAACAGTACTCTCCTATCTGCAACGAAAAGCATTTTAATTTCATCTCTTGATCTATTGATCGGTTTTTTTCATGTTCGTCTCACACATTTATTTTACAGAATTTTACGGTTTAATTAGAATCTCCTGTAGTTCACTCCAAGACTTTGGTAATTCATGTTACTCCACGACTTTGAGAATTCATGTATGAATATGATTTTCTGTCTTCTTCATGTCCAAGAGTATGGTGAGAAATTTGAGCAGGCGAGTGAAACTAAAAGCTGCTATCAAGTAAAACCCTTTCGTGCCTGACTTGCGTTCTTCTTTTTCTACTTCCTTTTTACATTGGTCTTTTTGCATCATGCTTCACTTTGCTTCTAACTCGCAAGGTCATTCTACCCCATTTATTCGATTTAGCACTGAGCGCGTATTGGCGAAATGATTCAAATCGATGCACAGACTCTGCCGATTAACTTTTTTTCTCTTCGAATAAATGCAGTTCAGCAGGCCGTACGAGGCTCCTCTCTTCAAAAGCTCTCGGAGAAAAACTTTTTGAAGAGGTATTGATTTGGGCAAGGCTAATGTCAGTCTTCATAACAAGGAAGTGCTTCTCGGACAGCTGCTGGTCAGGCCGGAGCTTTTTCTGTTGTTCTGAACATGACGAAGGGGGAGATTTGATGGCTATGTTTTCAAACTAGTCGATGACTCACTAGGATATTTTCATGTGATGCATCCGTTTAAAGCGGAGATGTTCAAAGAACGATGACGTTTCGATATTGGCTTCGACTCACATCTGTCTTCTAGCGTTCCGCAATTGCACTACAGCGCTTAGGTTGTACGATGTGGAGCTTACACAGCGTTCAGTCTTTGAAGTGTAGGCCACCTGTGCATCACAAACAACGTTGCTTGGTCGTAATCACACAATTGCTGGCGTTAGTATTCTAAAGGAGCAACACTGCTACTATTCCATTATTTTCTAGACTTCTGACTGTTCATTGACCTCTCATCAATATTCTGGGCATCTTGAAGTTTTTTGAACAGCCTTTTCCAGTCCCTTCCATCTCGATTATCCTTGCGTGACCAATATGAGCCTCAAAAGCTTAGCTTTTTGCTATGAAAGTGTGCAATAGCCTTCTGCTGAATATCGGTCCTGTTTTTTGCTGCCCTATCGCTGCGCTGCTGACCTCGATGAGGGTAGAACTGCTATTGATACGTATTCGATTGCAACACATTCATAATCCAATTGCGCACATTATTCTCTAGTCTTGTGTCTGTTTAATGGTCTCTCATCAGGATGTTTTTGCTGTTCTTCAGTGCTGTAACTGCACATCGGTTCATTTGTATCTGGTGTAAAAGCTCCTTTTTCCGGATTTTGTATTATGGCACCATAATTTCCTCACAATGTGAGGGTCCAAGAGCAAAACCAAACACTTTTTCCAGAGCCTCCAGTACATTGTAAGAACTTTTCCAAGTATTTTTCGAAACCGTGAATTATTTTGTATGATATATTACAAGTTTTTTGTTGAGTTTTATCTCTTTTTTGAAGATCTTCTCCCTATCATTCTCATAAAATTCCGATACATTTTTTATTGACCTCTCTTATTTCATCATAGCGTATGGAGATCTAAGTTTGAATTGAACTCTTTGCACCATAGAATCTGTAACAACTTAAACTCTGCGAATGTCTTCGGTATGACATCTTGCAGGTTTCTTGTCGTGTTTTATCTATTTTTATAAGGCCTCTTCCTGTCGCTCGTGAAATCTTGTTACATTTTCATTAATCTTTCCCGTTTTATCTATACCGTACTGAATTTTTTGAACTGGTTTCTTATTGTTAGCCCTTCCATATTCTCTGAAAGATTTTGCCCTCGACACCTTGCCCGAACAGCAGATGAGTCTCGATGTCCTGCTAATTTCGATTATCTTTCTTTTTCTCCTTTTTCGTCTGCTTTGTGATACTCGTATACTTATCGAGCTCTATTGTTTGCCGCATGTTCTTTCTGTGGTCAGTCTCAATCCCATCTCTTGACACACAACCAGTGCTTGTCAAGGGAAAAAGTTTGACAATTGTTGATGTAGGTTTCGGGGGTGTACATACCGTTTTTGATTTCGCGTCTTTACATCTTTTCGGTAGCGTTTCTGGAGACACATATTCGATTGTCACTAACTCCTTTGATTTGGATCAGGTATTAGGGTGTGATTGTATGCCAAAATGAAATAACTTCACTGAGGATGGTTTGGTGTTCTACGTGATTTTCACAAAGTGTGAAGTTACAGTAGTTGGCCCGAGTGTGAAACAAAGCGTTATATATTCTTTTGGTTTTTGGAATTAGCGAAAATAAAAATTCGTTTTTAGTACTTTTTGGTCCGTCTAGCATCCAGGTTCACTCTTTTCTTTTTCTTTTCTTGTCGTCGGTTTGTATCTCCTACTTTTTCTTCATAAATCCGTCTTATTTTTCTCTTCCTACTACATGATTTTTTTTTGTTCGTAGTTATTTTGGCTTCGATCACGCAAATTAGGTAAACATTCTCACGAGTATCCTTTCATACTCTATTGTTAATACGCTCCTACTACACTCTTCATCCAACTGACCGTATATTAAAATTAGGTTTTTGAGAGGGTTGCTCATAAGGTGTTTGTGCGTTGATAATAGTGCAATTTTACAATAGTTTTCATAGCACAATTTTTGCCATATCCCTCATTCAAAAATTTCCTTTTTGTAAATACAAAGAGAAGAATTTGACTTTGCTATAGCCTTGATGATGGATCATATATCCTGGCGTCGTTTGTAACTCAATATCTTAGTCTGCACACTATGCGCGGTAGGCGACGACATGCTATCAGAAACTCTTCAGTAAAACTTGACTGACAAATTGTAGAAATGTATACTGCTAACTGATACATATGCAAGCAAATCAGAATAGGCAAGCAAACAACGAGAGGTCACTATCTAGCAGACTCCAATGCAGTAGCATGTCAAGTTGATTAAGTGACGGTTTATAGAAATGGATGACTGCAAGCTCTTTTTCTTAATCTTTTGTATATAGTAATTGCAGCTGTTCAAAATACTACGTACTTCAATATGTCATCTGTCATTTACCCACATTTTCCTGCCTAAGTTGGGTGCAGATGTCCGCCTTTTACGTTCGTAGCTTTATCAGTCACAACTCGACTGTTTTTACCGCTCCCTTGGCAATCAATAGACTCTGAAATACGACTATTTGCTCTCCCATCAAGCACTCACGTTTCTTCTGCTGCACTTTTGTGGCACGCGCAATTTTTTTCCAAGTTATGCCAGCTCATCAGTAAGTGCCACACTATCTATAGCGCTACTTGTTCTGTTGGAATACTTGTTGTAATATTGCCTTGGTTGCGAGCTGATGAAAAAGCCAGTAGGCATCTGCGGCATCTTTGTCATCTTCGATATTTCGTGTTCTCATCAAGCCTGCCTTCACTTTCGACTCGATTTTCTTTCATTTCCGGTTCTCGGCCATCTTTATGGGTAGTCGCCTAGCGCGCATGAGTGCTAGACCTAAGATTCAAATTATTAGCTGTTTACCAATGACGGGATCTTATTCTCCGCTCTATTTACCCTTAACTGTTGTTGAAGTAGCCGTTGCTCACTCCGACATCGTTGTAGTGGGGCACAATCTGCAATTTACGCAAATTTTATTATGGTGCCTGCATTTGTGCGAGCGTCATTTTTCTTTAGAAAAAAAAATGCTCGTAATGTTTGTTTACGCGGCACAATGAGCACCTGAACACTTGATTGCACACCTGCTGTCAAATTGTGAGGAGCCTGATTGTTCAGTTCAGTAGAGGAGAGTAGTTTAATTTTTCTTTTTTTATCGTTTTAGCATGCTAGAGAAATTTATACTATAAAAACAGTTTTGAGCTACCTGATTCAAGTTCAATGAAGGGTGTCAAACGCTTTTGGAGAGGCTTCCTTCGAACTTTTCCACTTTTCTTCACACAGCATTTGATTTTGGCTCTTGAATTTCACTCTGCCTGCATGCAGTCATTTTGATTCACTTATCATTTCGTTTTTACCCAGATAGCAACGTCCCGACGATATAATATCTTGTCAAGTTCTATTCGTCCATCCGAATGTTGATTCCTCCTTCTTCTCATGGAACTCCTGACTAATTCTTGCTACGGTCTTACGTTACTGTGGCAGTTATTGCCATAAATTGTGAGTATCCCATCGTTTGATTCTTTCTTAGAATTAGATAGATCAGAGTTACAGCAGTAACATTGTGCTAACGAATTTCATCATTGAGTCATTCCGTGAGTCAGACGACCACTTGCGATTGATTTATAGTGGTGAAAGGCTGTGAGCCTATTGTTCACACGTCCTTTTTATGCTGTTTGTATAATACAATTATTCTCTAGATCCATAACTTTTGTAATTTGAATAGTTTTTTGAACTACCGGTTCCATTCTTCATGTTCTTGCCCAATGTTCTCATTTTCCAGCCTTCTTTATCAAGGCAATCGTGCTGTTTCCATTCTATTCACCTAGTTTATGGTTCATCCGGGTCGTAACTAATGCGAGACACTTGTATTGCCACTCTTTCGGTTTTTAACCAAGTGTTAAAGTGTGTTTGCTCATACTATTGAAAGACCGTGATGTAGATTCGACCGAACATCTGTTGAGAGAAACTTTTGACTAAGAAGTGGTGTAGTGAGCAATGTTTTTACAGTCACGAAAAGGAATTCAAACCACATTGTGTGGACCGCGGGCTCTCTATAAACTTCTGCTTGCCGCTTTTTTCTCCGGTTGGTCACGTCTCTCATGCACATGTGGCTTATGATGACTGTTGATGACAAATAGCCAGGAATCGGGATGCATTGATTTCAAAAATTCATTGTCCTCTAGTCTTTATCATACGTAGACGCGTGGTAAAGCGAAGGAGGGAGGCGACGATTGTCCTCTAGTCTTTATCATACGTAGACGCGTGGTAAAGCGAAGGAGGGAGGCGACGCTTCTGAAAGTGAATTTGTGAATTTATGGGTTTGTGCGAGCGTCTTGTTTTTATTTGTAAGTTTGAAGAATTATTCATTAAAGTTCTTACAGAATTACTTGTATAAAAATTTTTTTTTGGGTGGCTGCTCTCAGTCTGCTTTTTGGAGTCTGAAAACTTGTAAGAATTTGTGAGACGCTCAAACTTTCGAAGGAGCCAGTTGCACTAGATTTTCGAAGTGGTCCCCATCTTCTCCCTTTTCTCCGCTCCGCTTTCAAAAAAATTTAGGACGGACATATGCTTTCCTTATTGCTAAATTATAATGCTCTGCCCTAAAAGAAGCCAGCCAGAATTCCGCATCTTTTGCCCTCAATTCTTGCTACTTGCTTTCCCAGCCATCTCATCTCTGCTGCAGCCTTCGGATGTACGAGAAAAACTGTCATTTATATCCCCTCAAGAATACATTGAGGCTCTGTTTTGCATATTCTCTCTCTGCTCTTTCCTCGAAATTGCGCTTGTCTTTCATGTCATAAAGATTTTGTACACGCTTTGCAATTTAACTCGTATTTTTTTCTGAACGAGGCATTTCGTACGTCCTTTTAAGGATTATTGTTTTTCTGTTGCTGTCTTTATCCTCCCTCTCTCATTAGTCACCACATCACTCAATCGTATAGGAACGCCTGTCCATTCCGCTGCTTCCCCACAAGCGCCTGGTCAGCTGCTCGTCCGAAGGCGTTCTTGCTTTGTAATGGTGTACTTCTGTTGCATGTTATCGATCTCCAATTATGGTGCATTTGCTCGTCTTAACTTTGTTTTGGAAACTGTATTTCAGTGTGCTTGTGCTATTCAAAGCATTATTTTTGCGCAATTTTTCGTGAATTCGTTGAATGAAAAAAATTTACTCTGACAAATCTGTTGTGCGTCGCTTCACATGCTGTCATACGTTTAATTGTCATAATTCTATAATTCATTTACAGCATAATTTTGTCTCTTACCGTTTTATGATGTGCTAGGCAGGATATCTTGCTTTTTACCACATCTAGACTTTTCAGTAGAAGGTCAAAGGAATGTCAACAGGAAAAATTACTGGGAACTGACCGAGCAGATAATCGTCAACAATGGTTGCACCATTTGTAAAATACATTGCTTATCGAGGCATATTGCCGTTGTCGCTTCTTTTTGGTAATATTTTGTCTTAGTCATTGAGAAATCTCTGGAAGCTAGAAAATCATTTTTTACAGCGGCATTCATACGGCCATGTTTCATGTCGATTGGATATGTGATATTCGCACTACTTAGTCCTATACTACCGTCGATTCATGCTGCATTACCGTTACCAGGTGAGCATCTGAAAACAGAAGCATTCTTGCTTAATGATTGGACGGTTATCTTTGTGTCATTTTGCTATATTTATTTAAACGTAAAAAGTTGTTTCTCAGTAAAGCGATGGCTGATGAATGGAGATAAATAACGTGATACGGTAGCGCGATCAGCGGCATATGTCAGTGAGCATTATTATTGTTTTCATGATAGTGGATGACTCGATGAACAGAATTTGTACTTTCTAATAGGGAGACAACTTCGATAGAGTAATTGCACTAATTTACGGGCACGAAGTGCCAATGCGATCGCGATGAGCGATAGTATAGTCTTTGAATGTTCTGGTTTTACTACTTTGTAGTCTGAATGGAGTCTCTTAAGGAAGTTTGTAAGGTATAGTTTTGGTTACTGGTGCAGGAGAGGCGGGGATTACTATATGGTTGTAAACCTGTAGGAGGACTTGCTTAGGGTGGACTTTATGCGAGGCAAAATGGTTTTCTAATTACCGCTTAAAGCACCCAAAGGTGTTTGAAAAGGACTTGAGACATGGATAAAAGTTACATTGGATTGAGAGAGAAAAACAAAATCTTTTCGTTTATTACTGGGTTTGTTGCTAGAGGTTCCCCGTGATGAAATATTAGAGTTCTGGATTTCATCGGATTGACTTACAAATCGCAATAAGAGCTGAAAGTCTCTGCATGATGGTAAACTTTTGCGCTCAGCGAAATTGAAACACTTTAATGGTGGAGGCATCTGATGTTATTTTGAATAGAATTATCATTACTTGTTCAGGCAGTATACGAGTATACTCATGGGCATGTCTGCTGTACTGCTTTCTGACAACCGTGGCCATGTCAGCCTATCAGATCTATGAAGCTGTTCAAAACCGAAGTGAAAAGGAGTACATCAAGCACTGCAATGACTCGGACCTGCGATGGCTGCGTTACGCTGGATTAGTAAAGTGAGCATAGTACCGGACATAGTAGACAAATAAGGATCACCTTGACTGGATATTCTCTAGATTCCATGGAGGAGAGGGTTTTGAATCAACCAACACAATCCTTCCGGAGATTGCAGCATTTTTTGCATCTGTCATCTCTTTTGTAATTGTTGCTGTACTTCCACACAGAAGGGAGAATTTGGATGTGGTTGGTCCAGTTCGACCAGTGCGCATGGAAGAAAATGGGTAAATTTTAGTGATATACTTGTCATGCTGTTTTGCTCACTTATCTCTCTATATTCCTCGTTTTTCTGTTAGTCTCAGTATTAGTTATCCATTTTTTAGTAGCAACGTGAAAGGTATCGGCACCAGTTCGTTGGTGATTGCTTTGAAGAGATTCTCAAATTTTGCTATAATTGTATTGTGCGCAATAGTTGGATGCATACAGGTTAAATCACTATTTTGGTTTTTCTCGAATCACAACATATTTTTTCCAGCCATCACTTCTCAATATCGTTTACTTCTTGTCTTTCCTTTTTGTGGCCAGCTGGTGGGCACTTTACAAACCCTTACGACATGGTGTCTACAACAAAGTCAAAAAGGTAAGTTCACGCTTTTTCACCGTTAGTTTTCTGACATATGTATAGCTCTCATATTTCAGTTTCTCCTTTTCTTCGCTGCACTGCATATACTAGTAATTTATATCTATCAAATCCCAATCATACAGCAGCTTTTACCAGGAAGTTCCATTATAGCGAGGTGGGAATAACTTCAAATGTTGCAGTTAGCATCACTGTTTTATAATGGAAGTTTCGTTCCTTTTGTGTTGCTTCAGATAATCATACAAACAGCAGCTGCTATGCAAATAGCTGTTTTCAAATATGAATAAGAAAATAATTTTTGAAGACTGAAATTTGGAATGGCTTGGTAGGAAAATTTTCGAAAGAACGGCCTTCTAATGACTTTTTTTTAGAAATTCAGTGTTGAAAGTTCGCAAAATGTAGACTTTCAAGCCCTCCACTCATGCAAAATCCTTCGATTCTTATTTGACTTTCTCTTTTAGAATCATTGGTCTGTCACCAATAATGCTAACGGACTGCTCGTCATGGTACACGTTCTGGTTCAATTTGGACCTACAGTTACCGGCAATATTGAATCCCATGGCTGTATTGGTAAGTGACACTCTCGCATGGGTTGTATCTCTCTAGGATTTACACTTTGATATTTGTGTCAGGTTTTCTATCACGCCTTAATGGTGCAATTATTATGGACTTACAATGGTAGCCGAAATTATGTAGATGATAACGACGGCGGATCGTCTGTGCATGAAGAGGTAGGTTTCTTTCTTGTCAATTTACTCTTTATTGGTTTCATTCTGCTTCTGCTTGAAGATAGTGTAGTTATCGTTGTTTTTGTGTTTGATTAGATAGAATGGTGTCTTCGTGTTCCGTAGTTGTGTTGCATGTACTTGTTGGTTAGTCTTGGTGAGGTGTTAGGCGCTGCGTTATACACTTCTCTTCTGATGGATATCTGGCTTCCTGCTGCTTAGGTAAAGCGTAGACAAGATTCTGAATGCACCGACTACGGTAGTTGCTCTAGAAACTGAAAGTTCTTCTATGTCACACTTTTAGTAGATGCCGACTGGATGATTAGTAGAGTAGAATACGTAGTCTAGGCCTAGAGTAGAGGACATTACGTCGCTGATGGACTCGGCCTGCGTTGGTAACTGATAGGAGACGTATTATGTTGTGATACAGGGCTTGTGGCAGGTTGTCCTCGCAGATGGACTCGGACATTCGTGGTCAAGTCCTGCAAGAGTCCGCACACAAAATGAAAATTGCGAAGAAAATGTGGCTTTGCTCCAAACCCGATTTTGTCCCGAACTCAGGGCGGGGCATATATCGCGTTTTTTCATCGTCCGGCAAGGATCAGGATAAAATCGGTTTCGAGCGAGACAACCCTTTTTTGTGAACGGGCTCTTGCGGGATTTAATCACGAATGTCTGAGTAGGCCATCGGCGACATGGTGTCCTTCAACTATAGCCTAGTTCAGTAGTAGAGATGAGTTAGAAATTCATAGATTTCATAGAACACAGTGCTGCTGAATTATGGAAGTCTTGAGGTTCACGAAGCACAAATCCTTGCTTGGTGGTCCTGTGCGGTTTTTGACCTCCTTGGCTCACTATCCCCTTTCTTGCTATAACCGTTGTATAGTAAATCTGTTTTCTCGCGACTTCAGAGGCCGAATGTGGGCAATGACCGGGAGGTGGTGGTGGCGGCGGCAAGTGACGTCGCCCAGAGCTTGCGTCGACGAGGACCGGTAAATTTCCTATGATCCCTAGTTACGAATATTGTATTTACCTAACCAGACCGAGTCCAACTGTCGGACCCCTGTAAGTCGGCGCGTAAAACTGTTGCATGTCTGCGGTTTAGAGAAATCTTAGCCGTATCGCTGTGATCTGTCAGAATGTGATCGTTGAATGACCCTATGTCATATGTTCTGCATACTAACATGCAAATTTTGGTTGCTGTTAGTCTTGATTATTTCATGTGGAAAAAAAAATCTTTAGCTGCTAACCCCTCAAGAAGGGGAAGACGTGGATAATGGACATTCTATCCCGCTCCGAAAGGTCACCTCACAGATTGTGGACAGGCACAAGATTGGTCAGATTTTCGGAAGTGAGTCAAATAAAAGTGCATTCTGATTTTTGTAAACTTTTTTGGTGGTGCAATACGTTTTCCATTCACATTTTTTTTGCGATGTTCAATTTTGGCTTATTTGATTTTTAAAGGTCAAAATCAGGCGGTGAATGTGGCATCTCAAGGAATGGTTGCGATTATATCTTTTGCCCTTTATCATTCTTATACTTTTGCGTTATTGTCGATGATGGTTAGTTTGTAGTCACGCATCTTATCCTTATGCTCAGTTACTCCTTGGAGCCTTTTCGACTTCATTGTGTAAGGTGCTGAATTTAGGTGTGGGCCCTTTTGTACCATTCCATTTTTGGACTGATTCTTCTTGTGCTGAGTTGCACCCTTTGGGTGTTCAAAGATTCACGTGGAGCTTCATTCGCCATGGCACCAACCATCATGGTTTACGTAGAGGTAAGCTTTGAAATTTGAACTTGTTCTGTTTTTTTAACACCTTGTCAATCATAATATTCTTGCAGTTTCTCCTATTGGTCCAGTATTTCTGCAGCATGAACATAACCAAGGAAGAGCTGAATCTGCCCGATTGGTTGAAAATGGTCGGTATCGTGATTGCGGCAAATATGTGGGCAGCGTTTGTCACCCTTACCGTCAAGGTATGTCTTTCTTGATCCTGCTTATTACATATTATTTCATATTACTGAGAGATGACAGTCACTTAATTGCTCGAAGCTATAACTGTGGTGAAGAGCAGAGTCATGTATTAACTACTGAAGTATTTCTGATGCATCGTGGTATGATAATCTGAGGCGCCTTTGAATGTATAGCAGTAGCAGCTGATTATCTGCTTCTTTTTTTTTACTGTGAGAACAGTCCACATCTAGTTTGCAATCATTCGCGCTTGCTTGTCATGATTTCATGGTATTGTTATGATAGCCCAGAACTAGCTGAGTATAACCATTGTACTGGAACGTTTATCCGCTCTCGATGCGCTGTGTTGAAGACAGCGCATGGGATGCGTCATGTTTAGGTTAAATATTGAGTGAAAGGTATTCGTTGAACTAGCTTTGGCGAAGGAACTTTACTCTAGTAATTCGATGCTTTAGAGTTCTTATTTCGTCTCTACGGCTCCATCCACCTCTTTTTTATTTTCTTTTCGCTCAATTGCGGAATTCTTAAAAATTAACTTTCCTATCCATCTCATCACTTTTTCTTCAAAATTATCTTTATTTCACATGATATTTCATGCTTTTGCCGACTCCTTTCTCTTTCTTAACGTCTGAAACGGATCTCCTCTCTTTTCGTCTAAGCAATTTATGACGCTTGGAGATTTTGGTGTGAAACTGGCTTCTGAAGTCCAAAGCAGTTGGTCAATCTGATTGAACTTACATCTGCCCTTTATAATCTCGGGGTTTCGATTTCATCTTCCATTAGATTTGCGCTCTTCCGCGACAACGATGGTGGAAGGTGACTATCAATTGCGGGCATGGTCTTGTTTGGAACTATTTTGAAAAAAGGAATTTTATAGCTATTTATGTGCACGAAATCATCGTTTTGTTTGCCAAAACTCGCGGCGTCTGAATTTTTCTTGACAACTTCCGATTGCAGTCATCATGGCTTTCAAAATAGGCTGTCATGAGAGTGCGTCCCGAGTTTCCTCGACAAACTGTAGGGAAAACTTTTCCCAGAATTTTTTCATCGCTCAAACGAAATGCGATACTATTCATTGCGCGGAACGAAGAAAAGGTCACGCGCGACAATTCTTCTGATTCAAAGCTGTAAGAGAGTTTTTGCTTGCATCGAGCAAACCATTGAACGTATCGATCTCCTATTCCATCTGATCAAATACATTAATTGTGGGTGGACAGTTCTGCGCGCATTGTTGGGATTATTTCGATGTCATTATTGCTGGTGTATCTCGCAATAATCAAGACTAGCTCATTGATTTAGCATTGTCAGCTTTATTGCTTTATTATAAATAAATTGTAGGTCCGAAATTTGGTTAAAATATGAAAAGCAGTCGTTTTTATTGTCTTACTTTACATATAACTTTTTTATTACAAATTTCGACGCGGCATCTCTTGATGATAGGAAGTTTATATTCTGCTTGGAGAGGCCATGCACATTTCTTCACCCCACCAGATGCTGCACGTGCAAGTTTTTTCACCGAGGCTAGATGTCCTCATACTGTACATTTGATCCAAAGTACTTTCATAGTTCATCAGCCATTGAAAATATGAGTTGCTCTAAATTGTCCAAAATTCACTTTTTTCTCGTTTTTTTCGCATGTACTTTAGCAAATTAAATGATGGCAAGTTTTGTGTTCTTTTTGTTCACAATTTTCATCGAGGGACTCGAGCCTAGCTTGGATTTTGCCATCATACGTTAGCTTTGTTAAGAAACTAGGGTAACGGCGTTTCGAAGTGAGTAAAAATTTGTTTTTTTCACTCTTCCTTAGCCAGATTTTTTTCGGAGCTTTTTATGGCGTGGCGTTATTTCTGGTCATATTCTTGTTATCGTGAGAGGATACCCATTATACTTGAATTCTTTCACAAGATTCTAAACTTTTTCAATACTCGTCAGTGTGAACTTGAATGGTACTAGGTACACAGTCACGAAAATTGGGATTATGGCTGATGTTGAACTGTCAGTCGGCCGAGCCAACTAGTAACATTCCTCGACTAGTTTTGCGCATTTCTGCTATCCTGCCATCGTGCCTATCTACAGCCTGTGTAGAAATTAATATTCTTGAAGTTTTTCAGTCTTTTTCAATTCTATTTCTTACTACACTCACCACATTTTTCCCCATATTCATAAGGAAACGATTAAAAGAACTGAGGACTTAGGTATCTTTCAGTTGCGAAATGTAAGACACTTCTCTTTTATAGCTTGACTTACTGATCTCAAACATGCACATGTGGTCCTTTTGAATCCAATAAAACCAAGTGTCCAGCAGCGGAGGAGGCGGTTAACTCGTTTTTTTTCTCCACAAACTTAGACTTCTGGATCGAAGAATTTACTATGTACCTACAAAGTCATTACTCCCTAAGACCCCTTTCTCTTATCTGAATTCGTAATCTGGTGAAGAATCTTCCTTGGCTTAAGCTAAGCTGTGTACTTAGAAACGCCTCTGTATGAATCATAGGATTGTTGACCCAACGGTTGAGTCATTTTCGAAAACAATGGTACTAGAGATAAGAACAAGCGTTCCGAACCCAATACATGCGCAATTTCATGCATTATGTGTTAATGTTGTTACATTGTGGAAGTCTGACCTCTATGTTGACGGCATTTCATTTTTTTTTGTTCAAGAACTAAAGAATTTAGATTATGTTACGTTCTCCTCATCTTTCCGCTGTAAAACCAGGGCTCGAAAAAAGTGGCTTACAAGCAAGCTGGATATCGTTTTTGGTACAAAAACCAAAGCGGATATCATTTCTATGGCTCGAAAAAAACACACACACAAAAATCACGACGTTTTTTTAGTGGACGTTTCGTTTTTTGGGTTCCTTACGTTTACGGTTTAGGGTCAAAGACTTGTCAAATTTTTAGGAAAGTCAAAGGGGACTTAGTTTTTTGCATTTTCGGAAACCGCCTCCTGCCGAGCCCTGTGTAAAGCTCCTCAATCATGTGCTAATTATACTTTTGCCTTTTTGTTTCATAAATGCCAATTCCCAGACGAATATTCATCTTTAACAGTCGTTGAAAAGAAAACTGTTTCATTGGAGCAGCTTTTCTTACAGATTTTGAAATGTAGTGTAAATGATGTGCTCTCACTGAACTTTCAATACTGATATAATCGTACTCATACATGCAAATGCGGTTTTTATCTTTTTGCCCCCGCTATAACTACGTATAAGTAAGAGAAGATATACATATGCGTGGTATATTATGCAAAGTGCAGTGCAGCGGTGCTCATTTTTCATTGTTCTGTTTTTTAAAGGTGGAATTACTAAACTGAAAGATTTTCTAGAATTTGGACTGAGGGTTTGAAATTCAATTGGCATGATGTTATGCATAGAAATCGTCTCCTAGGATTTTCATTGACAATGGTTACTGGGATACTTGTGCGAGTTGAAAGCTTGCAGAAGCTATTCCAGCCACCGAGTGCCCTATCTTTTGTAGACGGCCTAACCGTAAATGTCGGGACCTAACGTCACCTTGCACGATATTTGTGTTTATAAAATGATTCAACGTTCGCGCATCTCTTACTCGCACATGGTCTCTCTATTAGCACTCGAAGATGTTTGCTCTTGATCGCTACACCATAAGGTGGAGTTCTAAGAAATCATGGAAAAGGGAGATCATTGATGTGCTCTTTCTCACGGGAGTAAACACCGTGTCGTAAATTTTCGCATGATATATCGTCCCGAAAGTTTGTCCGTTTTATCGGTCACCTAAACTCGTTATTTCCTCTCCTTTTATTAGGTCTGTTTTTTTGAGTAGTTTGAGACATGGTTTTTTGAACGGTTTTATAAGAGCCCAAATTTTTTGGTTTCCAGGAGATATCGTTTTAATTTTGAAAAGCCCTGGCAACTTTCTTGCAGAAACCTTCTGCTACATTATATATTTTGCTCGAATCAATTCATTTCCAGCGGCCATTTATGAATAAATAATCTCAAATATTCGAGTACTTGTATCAGTCTTCCAAGTTTTTTCTCTACTAGTACATAGATGCCTTGAAAGTTTAGAAGTCCGAAAACTTCAAAAACCTGCTTCGAAAGTAATCAGACATTATCTTTAACGACTCCACTACAATTCTTCACTCGCCGAAAGTCTAGGCTTATGTTATCGTTATTTCAGTCATTTTCAGCTATTATTGTTATTTAGTCAAACGTTTGATGATTTTACCAAAATTGAGGTTGAAACGTTTACAAATCAAGTGCGATAATAAGCAGGTAGAACTGATGCGTGAAGGACGAAGTTATTTGAAAGCATTCGAAGGCTTTTCGTTTGTTAACACAATCCTTAAAAACAGGGCTCGGCACGAGGTGGCTTACAAGCAAGCTGGGTATCGTTTTTGGGACGAAAAGCAAAGGGGGTTTCGTTTTTGTGACCGAAGAGACACGGAAAATTGGCGACGGCGACCTTTTTTTCTAGTCGACGTTTCGTTTTTTGGGGGATTTTGGGGAATTTTTCAGGTTTTTAGAGGAAATTTGGTTGAGGGTCAAAGGGGACTTCGTAAAAATTCCCAAAAGTCAAGGGGGACTTCGTTTTTTCCATTTTCATCTAGCCACCTCGTGCCGAGCCCTGCTTAAAAAGGGAAGAAAATGCTGCATTGAATGCTCAAATGCTTTTTAGTTGCTATTTTAAAACCTTCTAAAAACGGTCGAAACTTTGGGAATAACCTTTTATTTGGTTTTTGGTTATCAAGCTCTTGTCACGTTCTTCTTATCTAGCACTTCTTATCCTTCCTATTCTAAAAGCTCTTCCATCGTTTAGTTTTGATTTGCAATGTATTGACGCTAATCTTCTTGTTATGATGTGTAAAACTGGATTTGATTGCGAGTTAGAACGGAAATAAGTGCAGGTCATGCGTCGTGTAACGAGGAACACGACGAGTTGTTGACAACAGTGCAGCTTGACATATTGATTTGATAGGGGGGTTGTATCAAAGGGTCAAAGATGAAATTATTCTAATCTAAAGCATTTGACCCTCTGAGCAGTGAGCTTGTTTCTTTGGAAGCTGTTGCTTAGAAAATAATTTCCTTTTTGTATTCTTTGCAAAGTATTGAATGAGCTATTAAGTTTATGTAAACTTTATATCCCACCTGTTTCCGCCACTCATAGGTTACATACCTCCACCATCTGCTCATTGCTTTATATACCCGTTATATGCATGGTTTGAGTCATAATCCCATTCAAATTCCGGTGACAGTCTCAATTTTCGGTCACCCTCGACATCCCTCTCCCGCAGTTCCAGTTCCAGTTTTTCTCCAAAGCTCTTTTCTGACTTTTTTCAAATGTGAAAGAAGTGGGTGAGATAAGTGGTGGTGAGGAGAGTCTTCCTTTTAGGTTTGGCTGAGCCGTCTCCTGTCTTCCTTACTATTTTTTTCTGATTTTTTGAACGTTTTATCCTTTTCGAGTCTGAAACTGTAGCTCTGAACTTCAAGTGTCAGTCATGTAACCAGTCATGTAATTCGAGCACTTGTTTGCTACCCTGCTTTATCCTCTTGACAACAGCATTAGTTGATCGCTTTTCTTCAACTTACAAAGATTCTATAGTTTTTGAAATCAGATATCTGATTTCTTGTACAGAGTGTCCCAAAAAGATGTGCACAGTGCCTGTTTGTTAATAACTCTTGCTTTCATGTCTTTTGCCGAATTTGAGGTATCTTTTTGTGGAGCGAGATTCAACTTAGATTTACAGCATGGAGCGAATCACCCTCTTCATTATTGTAGAATTACAGTATGAACATTCAGCATACAACATCATTGTGGAATAGACCTTTTGATGAAATTTAAAAAAATCTGAAAAGTTGTGCAGCAAGGTTTCCAGACGTGCCGATTTCACTACATAACTTTTCTACAGTTTTTCGAGCTTTTCTAGTGGTGTAATCACATTTGTAATGAATATTATAGAAATAGTTGTTACCTTAAACATGAATTAACTTATAAAAGAAGCTCAGCGACTTTGATTAGCCCAGTTTAAGAGTTTCTGACTTGTTTGGCTTTTTTTCTGAGGCAAAATACCACTTTCATTGACTCAACTCGAAGTTCTACCATAATCCTACAATAATGAAGAGGGGTTTTTGATTCGCTCCATACTACAAAAGTAATCTGATCAAATCTAGCTGAATCTCGCTTTACAGAACGATACCGTAAGCTCGACAAAAGACATGAAAGAGAGTTATTAACTATCAAACAGTGTGCACATCTTTTTGGGACACCCTGTATTCTGTTGGGAGGCTTCGTAAGCCGTTGCTTAAGTAGCAGCAATTTTGTTTTTTACTTTGTTGAGAAACTCGCTATTGAATTCTCGTCCAATGCCGTACTACCTAGAGGCTTCTACTCAGGAATACGGTAACGGGCGAGAACTTAGAGGCCGTTTTGTTGGTCACGTGAATCATATAAGCTCCGCCTGGGCCCCTTGCAGGTAAACCTTACGTCTCCATATACTAAGCTTTGAATTTCGGCCTGGTACCGTGTAACTGATTAGTTCCGCTTTTGAAGGGTACGGTACAGGGCAAGAGTTCGGGACATTTCTGACTTTGGTTGAATTATATGCTCTGCGGTTTAGGAAATGTTTTATAAGAGCCTCTTGAATCATTTTCCGCATAAGAATCCCGGGTTACGAGGTTTGCCTGCATCTACCCCAACCATTAATTTCCACGTTGTATACTGAAGTCGGCGCCTTTCACATCTTTCAACAAAACGTTCGTCAAAAGTTGTCAAGGTTAAACTTAACGAGAACAATTTAATACCTGATTGACACTTTGACGTTTTTGTTGTCCCTCATGGCAATGAACTTTTGCCGAGTTGTAGGCAGTTTCAGATGTGTTTTTGCAAAAAAGATGTGGCCTTGAGATTACGAACATTTTAATGGTCGTCGTCGATGCGTGGAATGTTTGTGAGGGAGAAAAGGAAGCGAGGGAGGAGGTGGGGGATGGGGGGGGGGGGGGGGGAATGGGGAAGAAATAGAATAGAGATTTTATTCGTGCTGTAGACTATGAGAGGTGTGAGCAAATAGGGATTGGAGCTGAAATAATTTTTCTCGCAAAATTTATGGTTTAGCAAGAGAGAAAATATTTTGATTTTTTCCAGGAGAAGTGCTAATGAAGTATTTTCATGAGCAATCTCAGAGAAATTTTCTGAAATCTTCTTAGAAAACCCGAAAATTTTTTTTGAATGCATAATTGCTAAAGCACAATTTTATAGAGTTAGCGAACACCGTATTTTCTCTTAATAAGTCTAGAATGTTCTAAACATATCTTCCCGAATCGTACAGAGACCGCAAATCTTATCAAACGCTCGTCCAAGTGCAAATGGCATTTTTGAAGGATTAAACGTATCGTTCGCTGACGTAAAAAAAGTATGAACAAAACCGGTTCCAAAGCCGAAAGCCGAGGACATTCATAGAGGCTGCCATCGTGGGTGTGTATGGGTGTGTGATTATTGCCAATTTATGTACAGTAATGATTAGATTCTCGGGTAAAAATGGTTAGCAGGCGTGGAACTTCTTTTCTTTCAAATGATGCTTTAGTGTTATTCAGTCGAAAATGGACATCAGCGGGTGAAAGCCCTTTTTTTAATTTGCAGTGCAGTCGTTTTTTTCCGATTCTGGAATCTTCTCACAAGTCCTCGAGTTTCTGCCACTTTTTTCATGACTTTCGAGGTCTTTCTTTGGAAGCGCCAACTCATAAATTTTCTTGATTTTTATTGATTTTATTGATCTTCGAATTTCCAAATATCATTGATGTACACTTGCAGCTCCTGCTCAGCCTACCTGTGTTCCTGCTATTGCGCTTGAGCATCCGTGAAACGTGAGTTCCATTTTGTAGAAATTGTTTCTTTTCATTTACAGAATTTTTGAAATTTGCACCATTGAGTTGTAAATGTCGTTTTCAATTTTTTTAGACCACCTAATATATTTTAGCTTCTACAATAATCTAAGCGAACATGAACGAGCTCGTCGCATTCAAAACTACGGCACATTCACCGGTGATCCCCGTGTATTAGTAAGAACCCCGGCTGGAGTAAGTTTTGACCTTAATTTTCGGTTGTTTTTCCCTCGTTTATAGAATCTTTTTAGAGTGACGTGGCTGCAGATTTTGTACATTGGCTATCGAAACAGATCACAAAGTGTTCGATATTCTTTGTAGCGCTAGTTTTGTTGCTAGTAGCGTGTCAATCGAATCCTGTTCTCTATACGATAGGATTCTTCTGCATATGGTCGTTGCTTATTATATACTTTAAGGTGAGTGACGATGTGGAAGCTTGCTTTTGGATTTTTTTGTATTTTGTGCAAACTAGATTTTAATTATATCAGCACTTTTTTCTTTTCGAAATTACTGCGCTTCTACAGCTTGCGTACCCTTTGTCCTTTCTTCTCCTCATTTCCACCGAATTTTTTATTCACTTTGAATCTAAAGCATGAGTTAGTCGTTGTCCGACAGGTTATACTGATGCCTGTAAGTGCTTTTTATTGGCCGCAGAATACGCTGATGACTCAGCGTATTCTGCGGCCAATAAAAAGCACTTACAGGCATCGGCCTCTGAAAAATGAACTCCAACATTCACTTGACTGTCAGCCGCGCGCTTAGGAACAATTGTAATTATCATTAATCTGAAGGAAAAGTGTGATGCACTTCGAGGTCTCTTGCTTTTGGGTAATAAATTGTGGCGGAAATGTGTCCTGTGGGTAAAAATCAGTCAACCGATATGAATTTTTTTACATTCAAGCAAAAATTTGTTGAGTATAATATTGGAAGTAATAAAGCAGACTGAGTAAAAATGGCTGTAAAAAAATCTTAGCTGTATTTTGATGAAATTAAAATTGTATTGTATCGCTGAGAGTTTTTTTGGGAGGATTTGTAGCTAGTGTGACCAATAATCGTAAAGGTGCTATATTGCATCCGCGCTTCGGGACCCCTTTGCGGTTCACGCTTCTGATGTTTTTTGTGTGGCGTTACAAGATAAACTTAACAGCGAAAAGAAAGGGTAGACAAGTTGAAATTGATTATTGACGTAATCTGACCTTTTGCATTATCGATTGACATTCGCAAACGATCTTTTGAGGATTGTTGAAATCAATCGCTAAGAAGAGACTATCAACAGCGTATATGATTGGCTTGATTTTGTTTTACAAAATTTTTTCTCCTCCAATTTTTCTTCTTATTTTTGTAATAGATGCTTCAGTCAACACACCGCATGCCATCATTTGATGTAACCGCCAGCAAAATGCTGGTCGAGAATTCTGAAATAGTTTTACGATGCTAAGAACAGTTTGATACTAGAGATCAAATTTGAAAAATTGTGCTCGATATTTTGCACATTCTCAAGTTAATTTCTTTTTGATTTTCGAGTCTATTAAACAGCACCTTTTCTGATGAGGGATGCGCAACTCCTTCATCAAAAACAGCAATCTCATTTTCTTTCCACCAGATCTTTGTCATTTTGTGATCATTATTGTTTACTCCTAGACCTGGGTATGAAAGCATCCCATCACCTTGATTGAAATCTTTGAAATTTTCAAGCTTCGTTGCTTGAGTGAGTGTCAAAGACTTCAGATTCTCGTACTGGTCTCTGTTTGTTTAGCTAACCGCTCTGTGCATTCTCACACTCTAAAGACTTATCCATTGCTTATGGTCTTATCCTTGGCTCACCATTTTTAGGAATATTCTCTAAGGCGCAGACGAAAATCTTTTCATAAACTTAAGGTTGAAAAGAAATTCTCAGAAATGTGCGAAAATTTTCTGAAGTTTTCTATCGCATCAGATGGATTTATCTCGTTTCTGAGTCTAAAGTGGACGCAACATGACCTTTTCAGACTAGTTTTGGATTTTTCTGCCGAATCGCATATCCATTCTGGTTGAGCTTGATAATTTACACATCGGTGGTGATTATCTCGCTTTACGTCTATCAGTTTCCAGATGTGAGTTTCATTTATTAATTTTATTGATCCATTCATTATCAGCTGGTTTGAGCAGCTGTTTACCTTTGTTGTTCTACTGAGTAGTGTTATCTTTGGTACCGCTTAGGGTAAGGTTAATGTTTACCTTGCTTGGTTTTACGTCTTGGATTTTGTCTGATCTTTTCTTTTTGTGCTAGTTATTTTGAGTTTTGAGTGGTTTAAGCTGTATATAATTTAGTTCCCTGACGTCTGGACGAAGTGGACGGGCTTGGACAAGAAGTGGAATGACGACATTGGTCTGATCAATTACAGTAACGCTGGCGAATCGGGGTAAGAGAGGTATTTATGAGGATCTCAAAATTATGAGCGACCATGTCCTTGACTTTTCTTACATGGCTGCTCTAAATCTAGTCATACAGAAATACTGTGCTATTTCGTTAATTTTGGTGATTTTCAAAAATATTATTATAATAATGTTTTAGTACACTCTTCGTTCGACTTTTCACACCGATTTCATTATTCGTGGTCACTATGCTGCAACTGAAGTTTTTCCATGAACCATGGCTAGCTTTGGTCCGGCGAGGCCCATATGAGCAAGAACCAGGAACCTCGCGTTAGTTTCAAAGCTTTCAAATTTTCGCTGATTGTGTTGCTTTGTGAAGAGAAGGAAGGATTTTTCTTACATGAACCAGTCTCTCTTTGTGCGTCATCGAGTGTAAGCAGAGTTGTATGAGTGTGCTAGCAGTTCTTACAGTGAGCTGTTCATTTTCTAAGTCGGGAGAGGCTCTACATGCTATTACGGTTCTCTCTTTTGAAATCTCTACAGCATTTGCAATTTTTTCAATTGTATCCATACTGTGCGTCAATTTTCTCTTCATGGCTACGCACCCTCATTTTATACTTTCATATACTCTCTTTATATGCCTTTTATACCGTTGAAGCGTTGCTAAAATGCAGAAATATCTCTTCATGCTTTTTTACCGTAGGTTTATTACTAAAAATGCAAAAATTTGTTGTGTTTGTGGTCAGTTCCAACCGTCAGATTTCTTCTTTTTTATGAGGTAAGTATGGAGATTCCTAATTGTTTCCAGAGAGCAACCAATTACAGAAATTATTTGAAGAAATTTATAGTATGAAGTGTACCGTCGACCGCTTTTTACCACTATGGGATTATAGCATTACATGGGGAATTCTAGCACTCGAAACGCACTGTAACCTAGCCGTTCTAGGAAGAACTGGAGGGTTGTTGCGCACGATAATTGTGTATAAAACTTTGAAAACGTGATTAAGCTAGTAACAGAGTCTTTATATTTATTTTTCGAGATTTTATGGTTTGAAAGCCACATACATTGTTTCGTAATCTTACATCAACGATGACTACTCGGTAAATCGTTTTAGACTGTAAACCGCAGTTGGAGCCAGCCCTCTAGCGCGGGAGGTATAGCAAACATTGAATACACACTTCTGGAATACTCAGTACTTGTCATCTGTCTGGAATGTAAAAATTTCGTTCCAAAAGAATGCTCAAACAAAAAACTGATTTATAAGTATGTCCTTTGCTGTGTATATGGTATTGCAAATGTTGTGATACACTCTAGAAAAGTAATTTGCAAATGGCTGTGAAGAAGTGAAAATTTAGTTAGTCATAGCCATAGAGACACTACGAGGAACTTTCTCATGAAAGATTGTTCATAATACAAGGAAGATAAATTTAGACATTGAAAAGGTTTCAGCAATTAACGGCCGAAATTTATTGAACCCGTCTTTTTGTGTTTCTTCAGCTTCTGTGGTTGCCATATGCCAACCAAATTTTTACATAAGCTTTCCTAAGAAGTGCAGAACTTCTTACCTTTATCATATATCAGTTCAGTTAGATATTAGGTTGGAAAAAAGGATATCGCTTTTTCTTTAGGTTTTTTCCAACTAAAATTTATATCTTTCAAGGTCTAGGGCATATCCAAAGCTAAAACTTCATGGTCAAAGTAAAGGCTTGTAGTACACAATTTTGTACAGTAAGTACGCAGTGAAGGCTTGTAGCATACAAGGGAGGAGCCCAAGAACATTGGGGCGGAGCTTGCCATTTTCCGTTTCTCAATTCTTTCTTGTTTTCTAACCATGAAAAAATGTAGCAAGTGTATTTGTAGATAAGTGCATGTGTCTGTTACATTTAGAATCAGGTGGGAAGTTTTTAAGTTTTTTTTCCTGGCAAAAATCCGATTTCTGTCACCATGAGTTGCTCTGAACTTTGCGTAAGTTATGACTTAATGTTCATAGGTCATTTTGTAGAGTTTCTTTGCTCTATCGAATGGTACCCCTAAATATTTTTTTGAATTCTTATTGTTTTGCTATGAAAACCGACATTCTTTTCTTTCCAAACTAATAGTTTGAGATTGAAGAAGATACGAAGTTTTAGAAAATTTGGTAGGGCTAAATAAAAAAATAAAAAAAATGCAAAATAGGGCTCATGCATTGACTTGATTGAATAATTATGGTGCTCCAAATGTTTGAACAAAGCGAAGTCGGATTAGTGCTTGGGTAAATTTTGCATAGTTCGTTCTCTGGAAAGTACCAAGGACTGTTTCCACAGAGCCGAGGATTTCATGATAGTTAATTAGTCCATAGTTTGTATAATCAAGTCAGCTGACCAGCTGATCAATGATTATAGTGTACGGTCTATAGTACTATCTTCATTGTTTTTCATCATTGTTAGACGATCTGGCGCTCACATTTTTGTCTTTTACAACCGTGTGATGTGATAGAATTACTATGAGTATCAGTTTTCAATCGGAAATCGGTTCGCTCCTCTTGAACTTTAAGTAACTTCTAGAAGTACCAGGATTGATTCTTGACGCATTTAGCGCCCTATTTATGTCTATTTCTTCTTTTTTTTGGCCATCCGACTTTGCAAGAAATGTTCGATTGCTTTTTTGTAGGAATCGCTCGTCTACCTTGACCTGCTTTGCAATGAACATAAGTTTTTTGGAGGAACGTTGTTCAGCCATAGCCATTTAGCCTTGTTTTTCTTCGTTCTCTAATCTTCTGTCGGTGGATATCGTTGCCGCCAATGTTTTGATTGGAATGCGCTCAGGAGAGGACATCATTTAGTAAACTACCGATTTCGATCGATAATCTGAAGGTTTTTGGAAAAGCAAATGATGTTTGGACAAGGGATTTTCTACTGTATTTGATTTGATAGTCAGGTCGATTAATCGATATTTTGGGAAGTTCTAGTACCAGAAAGTCGATGTTTTTGAAGGAAATCTGATTACTTTTTGGATTTTCGTGGAAGCAAAGTTTTTTACTGCGCGATTATGGGTTCGCGAAGTCGCTGGAACATGACATTCACTATTTTGACTTTGTCGAAGGACAGGTTTCTTTTGTACAAGTTGTGTGCCGAGCTGCTGTTTGACAGTGAAGTGCATTGACAGATTTCGAAATTCTATTAATCATTTGTCTAATCATCGCTTTTGCCCAATTAATTGCTTCTGTTTTCGTTTGATTAGGCGCTAAAGCACCGAGAAAACTCGTCCCGATATTCGATATTCTTGATCGATATCCATCATCAATCGATTCGCATCGATTCAATGTGGCTACGTATCCAATGTTCCGTTCAGCAACCATTCATTCGTAGCCGCCTTTCACTACCGACATCAAACGTAGGCGTTGAGACGATGGTCTTTCAGCGATTTCGTACAGTTCCAGCATATTCGTCAGCTGACATCATCTGATGACTTTTACTCAGCTGACTGGTATTTTGTCTTCTGTGTGTAAACTCTCAGATTAGTAATACTGGGTGGTTTCTACAGTATTCACTTTCCATTAGCGCCAACTCGCCCTTTCCTAGATCTTTAGTGTCTTCATTAGGTTTTTTTTTCTCTGCAAAGTAGACTTGTTCCGCCATCGCAGAAAACTCGTCCATAACGCAAGTAATATTGATTTCTCACTGTATGACGTTGCTTACCGAAGACTATAGCTACTGTCAGTTGTCACTTTTCCGCTAACTTTTCCCAATAATGAAGTTCTAGCTACTTTGAAATGCAAAATTCTATCAAAAAGTGTTGAAGTTTTTTCTTTCGCCGTACTGCCTTTCAAGGTCTTTTATTGCAAACAGCTGAGTTTGTTATCTCTATTTTCACCAGCTATTGTGTCTCACGTTTCCGGCTTTCTCTGACAGAAAGCGACGAAATTATCTTATTCATTGGTCAAGTTTTTCTTGTGGAATGTGGTTTCTCAGCAATTTCCGAGTGCAATCTTTCTCTAGATGCACTTTCTTGCAAGAATCAGCAATATCCAGTTTTTCAGTGAAAAATCTTACACTGTTCTTCTTTCCTATTTTACAAAACACTTATTCTTTTCGTAACATTCTTTTGTCTCAACATGGTTGGCAAAAATTTTCCAATTGAATCAGTACCCTCTGTTTGCATTATTTAAGATCAGCTCGGGTATTTTTTGAAGTATTTTTTGAACTCAAGGATCGGAAATCCGATTAACCTTCCATCCAATAAGAAAATTATAAACATATCGATGTACATCTCTAATGCCTTTTTGCTGATTCTTCTCTTCTATCGTTGTAATCTAGCTCTCTTCTGATTTTATATATGGAAAGATTGTATGCTGAATTGCTAATGTGCGACATAAAGTTGGTCGTCCGATCAGCGCTTTTGCCACTTTGTTTGAATTCTTTTCTTTCAGTAACATAGCAACAAAGATAACATTAGTTTTTGTATGTTTTGCTTGAAGAGAACGCTTCTTCCTTCCAATCTAGTATTCCGTTTCTCATCCTAAAGTTTTCAGCTTAGGATCAAGTAATGCGGGAAGAAAATCAACAAATATCTGTTCGTTTTCGGTAACAAAATGAACTCTTAACTTGATTTGAATCTAGCGTTTTTTTTCTGCTTGCAATGCTAGTTTATCCGCATCTTATTTTTTCTACTCGGTTTTCTTCCCCACTTGTGCAGTATTTTTGTAAAGTTCAACAACTTTTACTTCATCTCATGTTTCGCGGGAACTCTCAGTCTGATAGCTTCTTTAAATTTTTTTTTGATTTTCTTCTTGCTCGCTTGACTCTATTGAGAATATGGAGAAAACTGAACTGGGAGTTAATTGTTAGACTACAGGACATGAAAATAAGATGGTCTAAAAGTTTTTTCCCAATCAAAGCAGGACGTGATAGTTCCCTGTGTTTCCGTTTGGCTTTGCTTTCACTTTCTGAATTGGAAATTGTATCAACTGAATTCAGACCGATAAATTGCGAATTTTCGATTTGGGACAATTTCTTAGAGGCATAGAAGAAATTCTTGGAGAATTACATTTCAGACTCAGACAGAGTGACGGAAAAAAATTGTTGGCTCGAAAATTTGATTTAGCTTATGGTTCCTGGATTTTCTTGAGATAGACATCTAAAAAATTAGCAAAATTAACGAAGAATCGGAAATCATCGCGAAGAAAAAAAAATCGTAGACAGCTGTAAATGAAGCCACTTGTAGCTGTATCAATTTCGGTAAAGGCTATATGTATGGGATTTTCTTTTCAGTTTCTGGACTGCTCATTTTTTGCTTGAAAATATTTCATCTCATTCTTGTCCACTTTTTCATGATTTAACGCTAGCCTATTATATTCCCATGCTTGGTTTTATGCATGTTCTCATCTTGACGGAAATTTGATGTGACATCTGCAATCTGCAGATTGTTTATAGTCGAATAACCTGATTTTGGCTGATCCTCTTCCTCTCCCTCATCCACCACGGAATTTTTTGCCAGTTGTCCGAGGTGGCCGAATGTTTCGCTCCGTTAAGCCTGGGGCGGTGCGAATGATAGAGGTGAAAGCCGCGCCGGCCGTTGTAAAAGAAGCCATGATTGAAGTCCGTGCCTAGTCTCCTATTCTGACTAGTACATTCTGTTAACCGTCGTCAAGTTACCGTAATCCTTTACGTCCTTTAATCGCTAATCAACATGTATGCTGAAGTTGTGCACATCATCGACTTCTACTTCAACCAGTTCGTAGCGAACGCACGGCAACGGAGCGCAGCTAAAGCGCAGAAAGTGTTGAATGCTAAGAAAGGACCGCTGACCAGAGACGTGATGAGCTCGTCGGCGGTCAGCTCAACTGATTCCGGCATCGATGATTTTCCATTCATCGACTATGGCGATGATATGACCACACCTATAATTACTGCAAGACCATTTGAGAGTTATGGACCAAGAAAGAAACCTTGGGGTAAGCCTTGGTTGCTTAGGGGTAGAGTGAGAGAGCGTCGTACTTAGTCATTAGCAAGGTCTTTAATTTCACTAGTTTTGATTTTATTTGGTTTTCTTCCTCCTTATGAAATGCAACCCTTCAAATGTATGTAAATGGAAATATTTGAAGAAGTACCCAGTTTTCTGAATATATAATTATGTTCAGAAGTGTGAAAATCAATACCAAGCCTTTTTCATAACAAAAATGTGCTTACAGTAGGAAATTTTTTGGTCTGCACTTTCGTTTATAAAAGAACTTTACAGTATGTACCCCAAAGGATTTTTGTTGATATCGGAGATAAAGGAAGAAAATTCTAAGAGAAACCTGAGAGAAAATTACCTTTGTTTTCTTGTTGATTTGTTCTAATTTCTTTTGATCGACTATATCTACAGTACTCCTTATGTCAACAGTCACTTTGTGCATTTGCACTATTTGCACTACAATCGACATAGGGCTAATGTAGATTAGGATTTATTGCTACTTCAAACTCTGGAATATGGGAGAAAGAGAAGTTTCTAGAAAGCTAACATTGTTTGTCAGTTTGCGATTATGTAATAGTTGAGAGAGAAAAAGAAACGTAGGAAAGCTTCAGAAAACTAAATTTTATATCTAAACTTGAAGGAGAAAAGATCTCTTGAGACAAGCTAATGTCATATTCACGCAGTGAGACTAATTAACTGGAAGGAAACTTTAATTTCCCAAATTGCTTTATATCCCGGGAAGTTATCTAGAAACGTCAGTTTAATGAAAGGTGCGGCAAGATTGAGTGGTGATACATCCGATCGACAGGTGCTCAATCATGTGGAAATAGCTTGCTCTAAAAAAACTGATTGTGATCTGTTGCAAATATAAGGCAGAAAAAGTTGGAAGTGGATATTTCTGAGATTTGTCGAAGGTTTTCGGAAAGTTTGAAGTTTTGATTATTATCCAAGGAAGGTTTCGGCTGCCATAACTTATAGCTCTACTTGTAAATAATGATGAAATTTTTGTTACCTGAAATTCTTCAGACTAGTACTTTCTTTTACTTCTGCAATGAATACTTCCTTCCAGAGTTTTTAAGGGAGAGAGAAAGTGTATGTGCGTGTCTGGCTTTGAATATTCAGAATGCAAGAATAAGTCTCAGCTTTACGTGCAAGGATGCAAAAGTTTCTTTTAAGTTTTTTTGGTGTTGGATATAGAATTTCAAGTTTTTTAGTTCTTTGTATTGTCTTTCTGAAGATGTCTGTGCAACTGAAGTGTTTTTGTTTAGAAGCAACTATATCTGCAAAACTCGTTCGATGGATAAATAATCTGATCGATCTAATATGGCGATTTACGGAAGTACATATCGCAAAAATTGTATTCATTGTTGTTGCCGTATTCGCAGCCAAACATGTGAGTTTTTAACTTGATTTTCAATTTTTCACACTTTGGTTTCTGTCGATATGTATTTTCTAATTTTGCAAAATCTTTTCCTGTTCTCCTGCTGTTCTTGTTTTCCTTTTCCCATTTATGCTCGACAGAGCTGCCCCTTCATGCCCTTGTTGAAAATGAAGCAGACGTTTTTTTGGCCTTCGGTCCAGTTTCCCAACATTTCCGCCTAAAAGACAAATGTTTTGAATTGATGTTACACATCGTACCCGTGATGAATAACATTGAGCGGTCAAGAACAAATGTTTCGTTGGAATTTAGCCAAATGTTTGTGGAAGGTAATGGATCGAAAAAAAACCGCTTACAAAAGCTTAGATGATTGATTAGGGCTGGTCAGAACCATTTGAGGTATTTTGTGAAAATTCAAGAGAAACCCATGTTCCATGGGTTTATAAGGGTTTTTTGTATCATAGTATTTCTCACGAGCGTAATTTGAAGCAGATCACCTCTGCCGTCCAAAATAGTTTCTTCTCCATTGCAAATATTTTTCTTATTTTCAGTAATAATGAAGCCATGACTGCATAACTTTCAACTTTTTGGAGATGAACCATTGCCTCGAATGCGCGTAATTTGCTTGAAAAATACTTTTCATATTTTTTCTTTGAATACTAATTTTGTCTTGCTGTAGAAAATACTAACTAATCACTTTTGGACTTCTTTAGCACTGGCCTCTTTGCAAATAAATAATACATTTTGCAAAGCAAAAAAGCGAACCGCATACACAGGTGGCACAAAGCGGAGGTTTTTGAGAGCATTAAAAAAATAAACCGGGTTGATGAACAATGACATGGTTAAAATGTTGAATTTCTTCCCTTACTGTTATCTGATGTTGAAGTCAGGGTTTTATTTTTCCTAGATTAAAATTCCATTGGATGCACTTTTTTGCACCTTTTCTGTAATCCGAGCCCATGATACAATTACATTCAAAGCTCGCGACCAGGACTTCCTTGTTTGCTGGAAATAAGAAAATTAGGGGGAAACAAAGGCCTTAATATCAATCCCTGGTCATACTAGTTATTCATTTTTCCTATATTCCTTCAATTTTCATATGTTCTCTATTACAGATATGTGCTCTATACGTTCCACTGGTAGTTTTGGTCAGTTTGGCGCTGTTGCTGCCATCTGCTGTTTCATGTATTCTCAGCTTAGTAATGTGTTCCTATTTATGTGTAGTCGCTGTAGTAAAAATGATTTATCAGGTAATTTTTGATGATTTTTTGATTTTTTACAGTTTTTTTTAATCAAAATGTAAAATTTCATTTCCAGCTGAGCCACTTCCCAGATTTAAGTTTTGTAAATAACGGTGAAGTGTGTAATGCCACTAAAACATTCCCTGAATGGATTGGAATCAGAAAGGAAACCAATACATGGCAGCTACTTGGTGTACGTTATATTATTCATTTTTTTGCTCATATAAGGTAGACATGGCGATTTTAGGGTATGGTTGTAGCCATAATAGCATTAGCGCTGCAATCTGTCGTAGTTTATCGGCAACGACATCATCGACGGGTACGAGGAATTCCAGAATCAAGCTCAGTGAGTTATCTCCGTCGCTTTTATCATCACCTCTTTTCTCTTGTCTATTTTTCTTTACATTTCTTTCCGTTTTCTTCATAGTTGCTGACCTTTTTTCTCCCAGGATCGTGTGTTCCCATCATTCCAATTTGACGATTTCGATCGCAGCATGACTGATTGCTTGAAGTTCATTGTTGACTTTGGATTTTACAAATTCGGCTTTGAGGTGAGCTTCTTCCTACATAATTCTTCTTCTTTTCATTCTTTGAATTATAATAATAATACTTGTCATTGTTTGATGATTCTGTCATCCTCTTATGTTTGTGTCTCACAGAAGATTGCGTTGTGACAGCCTTTCATGTCCTGAAGGAACAGCTTAGGAATGAATGGAAAATGCACTTCTGACGTGATTTCTTGAATCTTATTCTTTTTTGCTTGTCTCAAGGGGATGGGAAGCTATGCAAATTTCTCGGATTCTTGTCATCCAAGAGACGACATGAGGAACTTGAAGAGTTGTAAGGACACCAGAGACAGCATGATTAGGAATCTGTCGTTGATTATTAAGAGTGCAAAGATTTATGTATTCTGAGTGATAGATTTGAGAAAGAAGATATGTGGCGCTGAGCTTTTCTATAACTAGGCCAATATTCTTGATTTGTCCATGAGCAGAGCGAGGAAGAATTCGAAGAAAAGGGGAGATAACAAAATTTTGAGTTAAAACTCTCATGTTAAGTCCGCTAAAAACTGGGTTTAACAAATGCGAACTTATGTAATAAACAAGGTGTGCATCATTTGAGAAAACTCGAGTATTTCAAATAATATTTAAAAATTTGACGATTTATGGACTACGCTATGCGAGAAGGGCGAAAATTTCTTCTTGCAGCTATATAAGCTAAAACGGAGATCAAAACAGGGGACTGGAATTTGGCCAGCAGTTTTGACAGCCTTTAACCAAGCTTCTCATTGTCGGGAGCTTTTGGCCGACTTAAAAAGACCTCATTTTGCAACTTAATCTGAATCTACATAATTTTTGAGTAGAAAAAATCCAAGTTCTCAGAGGAGCGGGTTAACATTTTGTGTCAACTATGTCCGCAAGATAAAGCCAGTCACCTTTGAATGTACTGATTTATGCGATAAAATTTTGTTTAAATCTGATTTTACTCACTTAAGATTTGTATGATAATGATGGGTATAAACGCATGGGTACGAATGGATATGCTTGGTGCTGTTATGTGCGTATGGTTAGCAGTTTTTGCGCTGAACAAGAGGTAAGTAATAATTTTTTTGGTCATATGGTATGGTTACGATCGTCAGTGTTTCAGATCGGTTTGTCGCAAACTCTGGTACATCTTCTTAATATACCTTGCCATACTGTTTCCGCTACAATATGTCGTATATGTTGGATTACCAGAGGATAGTTGCCTGGGTAAGTTGGGTTGACTTCTGTGTGTATTTTGAAAAAAAAATCCTTTTCATGCGTGTATCGTTCATGTTTTCAAAGTTTCATGTAATTAATTTTTGTTTTTCATGTTTTGTAATTGCGTGCAAAAGCTAAATTTGAAAAATGAGCTGTTTTTTCTAATGTTTCCTCCACGCGCATTTTTGCAATTATCTGTGCGAAATCTTTAAACTTTTTGTGTTTTTTACAACAAGTTGAAGAGGTTAGCAATGCCATATCGGGTTTTCATTCCAGCCTATCCATGGGATCACTTCTTTGGTGAACCAAGTAGTTCGACAAAAAATGTCAACTTTAACATCTGGATGGGTTTGGCTAACTATGCTGTGGATTGGCCTGCTGAGAATCTCATCGCCGACTTTTTCTTATTGTTGTTAGCATCGTGCCAGGTTTGTGAATAAGCTTTCTATTACTTCATGAAAAAAGATCGTCCGTCAGAAATATTTTTCCGTTGAGGAGGCGATAGGAAAGGTCAGCAGAAAATTTTCCGAATAATCTGTGAAAGAGTTTGTGCAGAATTTCTCATGCTTTGAGCCTGCTACCCTGAAAGTTTAAGGAAAGGGAAGGGGAAAAGTGGCAGAGAATCTCAGGTTTTTTTTTCAAGAACGTCTAATTAAATTTTAAAAAAATCATTTCAATTATCTACAAATAAGAACTAGTCACATATAGTTATAACTCATGTAACCAGTTTCTTAAACTCCGCTATACCCATTCTTTTTGTAAGGTTAGTCGCAATATCAAGAACCGTCCAAATCTTGTAGTCGTCGGCACTTTTGCGTTTTTCAGTTATTTATATGAGCTAAGAAACCCATATCTGTATTTTTGCTTTCTTGTTAAAAACTATCTTCACGCGCTCTGCTCCGGAAGTGTTGTCTGATGAAATCTGATTCGACTTCTTATACGGAAGTTTTGAGTCCTGTTTATCAATTCTACCGTAGTCAGCACTAAAAAAAGTGCATCTTCGCTGCTGAATTGAATTCGCCCTTCATAAAGTGAACTTGAGCTTGTCTTACGCCTTATTCAGGTCAGAGACCCTTAATGAAATTAGATAGAGTAAGGGTTGTTTTTACGAAAGTATAGGGCATTCATAAAATCTTGACGACGGATTGAAATGCGGTCCTTGCGCCCAAACGAGCGTAAAACACTCATACGAAAACAAGCATTCCAATGCTTAGCTCAGCACTCAAATACTGTAATAGGTATATGCAAAAAAGCCATTTGAGCAGAGGTAGAATTCAAGAAGTGCGGTTGCCGCAAATGCGTATACGACGCGCGCCGCCGCGCTATCACGATCTTATGAATGAGCTATATGTGCACTCGATCTCTAGTAATCCCAAAGGCAATTCATCGCCTTGTGTCGGGTGATCCCCCTCCCCCCCCCCCCACCACTGGATACGGTAAGGGTTTCGAAGTAGCTTTTTTGGTAATGGAATGGAAGTGCAGAGATCGCGGTAGTCCCCTCAAAAAAAAAGAGAATTCTAGGGCGATTCTTTTCTGATATATCAGACTTTTGGTTTCCTAGGTTTTTCATAAGGTTATGACTTGAAACTCAGAATAAAGTTGCATGGAGCAGCCACACACTCAAAGAATTTTTGCGAGGCTAACTGCGCTGCGAAACGAAATAATCGATACCTCAGAAATATAATAGGCACATATCCCTCCCCCTGATTGAAGTAAACACTACAATGTAAGATTTATCTTGGAATGCCTGGAAAGGATGAAGTCGTATGTATATTGTAAGGTTAATAAACTTAGAAAATGTTTTTTGAATTCTGTTGGGTAGAAAATGTTATGTTGTTGATGAATTCCGGCTATGCGGGTAACTATGGTACAGGCTAAATGCTCTGAGATGCATGATTTGTGGCAGAAATCTGGCCTCAAGCTTCCCCGCGACATAGCGATCCAGAAACGGGTGACGATTTCTGTACAGTAAAAAAAAAACCGCAAGATAGAATCAGCTTATAATCATAGAGCCCCTGGGAAAATGCGTATATAATTTTCAGATGACCGTTTTCCGAACCGAAGGCAATGACAATGATAGCATCTTTGTCAATGAAGATTATTCGCTCAAGCCAAACAATCCTCGCTATGATTTTATTGCTACCCAAAGGTTTGATTGCTTTTCATCAGCATTTTATCTGCAGCAGCAATCTGATTTTTCTAGAAGCTTCGTCGATTTCATTAAAATAGGCGTTTTTCACTATGGACATTGGGTGACGCTAATTATGACTCTAGTAGCGGGTATAGGTGGCACATCGCTGTTTGCTTTGGGTAAGTTTGTTGAGTAATAGCTCCCATGTATTTTTGCCAAATACGCGGATTTCAGGTTACATCATGCTGACATTCTGGATCCTGTGGAAGGGCAACAATCTATATGTGATGAATGCTCATACAAATAGTTTCAAGAGCACATTAGCGAAATGGAAAACTTTGTTGTCATATACGGTATTTTGCATGTTTTGCAAAGTTGCGTTACAGGTAAAAAACGCTTTACTTCTATTATCATAACAAAAACAACTTTTTTGTTTATAGCTCGTTGGTTGTGTGTTCTTGGAGTGGTTCTTTGATGGTGGAGGAATACACAAGTCGATGAGATGTACGATTAGGCAACTGTTCAGGTGAATAAAAATAGTATAGTTGAGACAAGACGCAGAGATGAAGAGGGTACTGTCATATCATGATGATTACAGTATCGTTTGCGTAAACACCGTTATGCAAAAAAGAAAGGAGGCTGGAGCAGGACCACTATTTCCATATGGTAAGTCAATGAGTAAAAGCTTATAAAGCTACTTCACTGGCCCAAACAGGGGGAAGGAGGCTGTGTACATGACTTATAAATTCGTAAAAACTTGACTTTGACCTATGTAGATCTGAAATACTTGAGCAGTACAATAAAATTAACTCTTGGAAATTGTTCTAAAGGTGGATTTTTCCTCCTCAACCCATCTCGACTTCGAAAATCCAAGACTGTAAGCGAAAAATGTTAGAAACACAAAAAAAATTTTCGGAGGGCCTGGAACAGTCCCCTTTACTCGGATACAAATTTGCGTTTCTCCCTCTCCCCTCTTCTCTACCGAGAAGTCTCACCGACCTCTGCTACTTGATGATAATTGCTGAGAAGAGCAGGAGCAGATATCACGGTAACCAAGATGTCCTCTGAAAACAATATTGCCAAGAATAAATCTGGCACTTTTTTTCAAAAAATGCCCATGTAGATGGCATGTAAAAGGGTTCTTAAACTGTATTACCCATCTTTTTTCTTCATCGTTTTGGTTATCAGACTCTGTTTGATTATGGAAACTTTTGAAAAATTTGAAAAGGAACAAGAATCCATGAAAAAGAGACTACATATTTTCGGATGGAAGTTATCGTAGGGCTGACTGACATAAGCGTTGACTTGGACTCATGCCCGTTACCAAAATTTCGTTTTAGAAACTGATTTGGATCGGACGTGCTCGGTGATACCTCAAGAAGCACAAATCGGCTTTGATGTCATAGCCCTAGCGTTCTTGGTATTCCAAATACGCGTCTTCCATTCATGGTTCTTCCAACACTGTATGGTCGAATACCGTTCTGAAATTATCTTGGCGAACAGGTGAGGTCCTAGCTAGAACTGATTATCGTACACATGGATGTCGGTTGTTAAAGATACGGTAACTCATCAGAGACTATGTAAGTTAAATGAGTGAAAGGGTCTAAGGGTTTTCTATCTCTGTAAGGAATTTAGTTACTCGCAGTCTATTCTGCTATGCTTTCGTTGTTTGATTAGTTCTAGTCCTTTTGTCTGTCAGGTCAAAGTCTTGTCACGACAGCTCAAACTTCTTTTTGTTTCTAAAAATTTTTAGTTTTCTTTTCTGCAATTTAGAGGAGCTGTGTTGAAAAATCAGTTGATTGAGAAGGAAATGAAGGAACAAAATGAACAACAATCGGCGAAATTCGACGAAATTCGCAAAAGAACAGCAGCGATTCGTGAGAGGTAGGTGGAAATCATTGTACACATTATTTACCGTTAAATTCCTCAATTCTAGATACAATAAGCAAATGGAAAAAGGCGAAAGCATTCTCGACCCACAAACTTATGCGCAAGGTTGGTATCGGATATTTTTTATCATTTGAAGCTTCATTTTTTATTCATTTTCAGTCCTTTGACTATTCTTTCTTTCCCGGTCATTCTGGGCCTTTGTAATATTTTTCCTTTCCATTCCTAATTTTACTATCTTTGAATTTAACTTTTTCACTGTCTTTGAACTTGACTTTGCGAGTGCTATAATTTTTCAAGTCCTTTGAGCTTTCTAAAACAATTCCTTTTCTTTTGTGGTACTTGATTCTACTGCTTAGATTGTGCTAAATTTGTCGTGAGTCACATATACAGTCAGGCTAACTCTTGTGCGAGAACTGGTCCCCACCACTAAGTGCAGCTTAGGTTATGATTCATCTAGTCTACCCAAGAACTACTTTCTCAGCAGTATGTCTTTGCTTAAGCGGAAGCTCATATGGTTCATTTTTGGCTGAGAAATTCATCTCCAGATTTAGTCGATTAGTTTTCTCAAGTGGACCAATCAGCGTCCTTGAGTACGTGCGCTGATTGGTTTCGCTGGGAAGGATTACGGTTTAGGCTTGAGTTTAGGGATTGATTTCTCGGCTATAAATTATATTTGCGTGCGCTCTGGGCAGTGTTGCGGTTGGGGTCTCAACATCATCCCATGTGGATATGTCTGACCTTAACGCAAATTTGTAACGAGGATTCCCTCTAGGACCAGCTATCGCATAAATTTATAACGTCTCGAAACTTAGTGTAGTCAAATAATACGTGTTGTAGTACGCGTTGTGGTGGTGGGAAAGTGAAAAACAGCTTTTGTATGCTAGAAATAAACTAAATTCTCGTAACAGCTCATCGATACTACGAAGATGAAGACGAAATGGATGAGGAGGATTTTTTCCGATTCTACTACGAGGCTCCATCGGATATGGAAGAGACTATGCGCATACCCCCGGGTTCGGTGTCCTATAACAGTTTATGGGCTTTGCACTGCTGTTTTGTTTCAAGCATATGATGTGAGCCCCACTTGATCTGGTTTTTCAATATATGGTTCAATTTGAACCATATATTGCAAAAATCGGCGGCACTCACATTATATGGGCTAAGACTGTGCTTTACTTTCAAGAGATCCATAGAATATGGAATCTTGCCAAAAGTTGCCAATAGTCTCCTAATTTTGCGCCCTCAAGCTGTTCGCTTGCAGTCCAGGGATGTATGTTCGCCATCTATGCTTGGATTCGTTCCGGCAAATCTTACCAGTTTTGTTTTCTTCTAACTCCTTTCTGTCTTTTCTGAGTTGTACCTGAGCTAACTTTCAGGCTTAACAGCACGTAATGATTATGTTTGCGGGCAAGGGCCATAATAATCGATGATTGATTTTTCAATTTCAGCAAAACGTGCTGGAGATTACTATATGTTTGACTATGATCCATCTACGGATGAGTTAGTCAAGCCTGTGGAAAGCTTTGTACCTGAACCAACCCCAGGAGCTACAAAGTTCGAAAAGCTGGATCCAGGACAGGTGGGTACTCATTTCTTTTTACTCACTCATAATCCGTGAAATTTGATAAATCAGTTAATTTATTTTTTATTTATATTTATATTTTTTATTATTTTATTATCATTCCGTTTTATATTATGCATTACTGGAACCAAGTATGAGTGCTATGAATAGATGTAGAAGAGTGTGTTAATGCCTTTTAATTTTCTAACCGTTTTCTTTTCATTTTAACCTACTTTCTAGTTGGTTTATGCTGCTACTGGCCATGATTTGGATTTGGCTAAGACCTTGGAACAGGTAAGAGAAGCCGAAAAGATGAAAACAAATGAGGATCGAATGATTGAAGCGATGAATAAGGAATATGAAACACCTGCTGTAAGTATTTTCTCTTTGTATTTAGCTTTTCATGTATTTCTAGCTTTTTTATCTTTCGTCTTCTTTTTTTTGTGTTATTCACCGACCCTAGAAAGAATAATGTGTATCTAATTTTTAGTGGTATTGAAAAACTCAATTCAGAGATAAAAAAGGAAGTCGCTTTTTGAGAAATTTACTATCTGCTGATAATTTTAGTTTATTTCGATGTTTTATGTTGATGTTTCAATGGATCTTCATTCAGGGAACTCCTCCATCTACTGCCGTTGAACCCTCAACGGATATCGCAGCGCCACCTCAGCAGCAACAAGGTAAGTTGTTTAGAGTTGTATCTGAGATTTTGCAAAATTTTACTTTATACCAACATAAAATTCAGAATCTAAAGTGGCTGCATTCTTCAAATTCATGTTAAAAATGGCAGTAAATGGACTTGAAATGCTCAGCGCCTATTTGAACCGATTATCCAGAGAGCATAGATATGTGGCATATGTGCTGAAGAAGGAGAAGGAAAAGTTGAAGGAGGGCCATAGTGAGGTAAGATTTAGACAAATCATTTTATTAGTAGTTTTTCTTTTTGATGAATCCTTTTTTCCAGTTGAAAAGACAATTTTTCAGTCGTTATCCGACACATCGAGAAAATTGACCGACGTGAGGAAAGGATTGGACATGACGAATCTGCTATTGGTCCAAAGCGAGGGCGATATTCAAAGGTTGTCATGATGGTTTTCACAATTCGTTTTTCAAAAGTCCTTTTTAGGATGGAATCTGCGGCTTTGACAGACTGGCAACAACGATCTGTACTGGCTAAATTCGTGAACGCCGTTGGCAGTTTCATCGCAGCCAACACTGATCTTCTTTGTTACCTGCTGGCAGTTCTTGCACATGCTAGTGGTGCAGGTTCGTGGCTTTAATTTTCGGATTTTTTCTTCGTACCCCATTTTTATTTATTGATTTATTTTGATTTATTTTTTATCGAATACCACTATAATTGTTTCAACGCATTGCCATATATTTATAATGTCCAGGAATTATAACCCTTCCATTGCCATTAATGGTCTTCTTCTGGGGAACGCTCTCAAATCCGAGGCCGAGCAAGTTCTTTTGGGTAGCAATGATAGCGTACACTGAGTTTGTTGTAAGTTTTTACAGGGTGATTATTTGTCGACGCGGTTTTTTTCCTTGAATGTAATTTTTCCAGATTGTGACAAAATTCATCTGTCAGTTTACTATCTTTGATTTCAACAGTATATCTACTCAATCAAAACAAGCCGCTGATCCACTGACACCAGAAAAGGTAATGATTTTATGCTAAGATAGTCCTCGAACAATTGTGAAACTGATTCCAAAGTCGCTCGTACCAGCGCCGTGCTAGCGCCGTTCCAGAACACCGGTCGACCATACGTGGCTCTCCGCGTAAGTTCCGGCACGGTGGCACGGCTCTGGAACGACGCTAGCAGGGCTAGGCCCTGCACATTGATTTGATATTGTGGTGCGGAAGGCGACGACTTGTTCGTGCCTAAGACAGACGCCCCCCCCCCCCACCCCTTACGATGGCAAAGACATCCCTTCCACGTTATCGTACCTGCCTTTTGAGCACCTATGCTTTCAGGTCCTTGGCGTCCAAAGGCAGAATAATTTTGCTGCTTACGATGTACCATTGCTCTTCGCTCTCTTCTTCCATAGATACATGCTGAGAAAGTTGGGACTATGGAAGGTAGACAATGATTTTTTTTTTATTTCTCTCGTAGTCTGTTGATCCCAAAAACATTGAAAGTTGGCTTATTTCAGGATGCGAATTTGACCGTAACGTTCCAGGATCCAGCTGTGAACGAGGAAGAGGTTTATCTCGAAGTATGGATTTTTTTCCTGGAAAGAAATCGATAGCCAAAATAGAATTGCTTTAGGATGCAACCCAACGAAGTCAAGCTGGTGGAAAATCATCAAATGGAAACGCCCAAAGATCACCCGAGCAGCTCAGATCCGACAAAACTGAGAGAACTGCATCGGATGCTAGCAGTAGCGGTTGGATAGATTTTCCTGCTTAGAATTCTGAAGGTTAGTAATTTTTATTTCAGAGGAACGTTTGGAAGCTGGAAAGAACGCGCCAGCCTCATCTGTCACCACCACTGATGCACGGCCAGTGAATCCGGATACCGCTGGAAATCCGATCACTCGCTTTATTAAGCAGCTATTTAGACCAAAGTTCAGATATATCAAGTACGTTAGGTGTACTGTAACATCGACCAATCAATTATCGATTTCTCGCTTACAGAGATCTCTATCCGATCATGTTCGGCTTGGATGTGGTTGCATTCTTGATAATCGCCTTTGGGTATTCGTCATTTGGTGAAGGCAGCTCAGGAAATGTACTGGGAGATATACAGGTGAAGAATACTATAACAGAGCTGTAGATCAACGCGTTTACGACCAAACCATTTTGTCGAAGCAAAGCGTTTTTTTTCGAAAGCCGTATTGGCTTAGTTGCGTAGCTTAGAGAATTCTATGAAATATCCAGAACTTTTCCTGAGGAAATCATAAAGGATGCATTACGAAATTGACAATCGTAGATTCTAGGCACCTTATGACAAAATGAGGTTTCCGGTGGTCACACAGTAAGTGATCGGAATCGCGCATTATTAGAAAATTCCTAGAAAACTATAATATTTAGGAACTGTTTCAAATGGTAATTACAAATGACAGCATGATATAATTATCTTACGAAAATCTCTGCGACAGTTTTCGGAACCATCATGGCGAATTAAGGTTTTTGTATGAGCTATCATGCCGCTCTGTTTTTTTGAGTACGCGCATGCTTGTTGGAAAAAAAATTATCGCAATGATAAGATTTTTGAGTGGTTTTTGTGGTCTGCAATTCATCTACTTCAACTTTATCTCACGAATTCCAGTATTAAACGAAGCTGATGTAATGCTTCGTTTAGATGTCCCTAATCATATATCAGAATTACATGAAACTTCAAAAAGGGACAGAAGTTTGTGAAAAATTGAAAATTGATTGAATTAGCAGGATATGAATATGTTAACAAGTCTAACATAAACCCTATCATTCGTTGAAGGTGGAGAAAATTTTCATTATTCCTCATTCTACATCAAGTAATTTTTCAGTCCAACCGCATCCCGCTAACGTTTGTTGTGATGCTGATAGTGATGACCCTTTTGATCGTTATTGATCGTGGCTTATATCTTCGTAAATGGGTCCCTGGAAAACTTGCTTATCAGTTCCTCATCGTCATCTTCCTGCATGTATGGGTATTCTTTGTGCTGCCATCGCTTACTAGGAGGTAACGAACTTTACTCCGTCTTTTCTTGTTTTTTAGGCTGCGCTCAGAGTTGCTATCGTGCCAGCGCTGTGCCAGTGCCGTGCCATCGCCCACATATGCGCCTTTATCTATCGACCGATATAACGGCGCAGCGTTAGCACTGCGCGGCGCGGGCAACTCCCAGACGCAGCCCCAAAAGCCTTTGGATTCTGCATAACGGGATAATCCAGCAACTAAAATTCAGATCGGCAATGGAGAACTCAGTGGCCAGAATGTTCTACATAGTGAAATGTTTGTATCTACTGGTATCAGCTTGGCAAATCCGTAACGGTTATCCACAGCTGTGTATAGGAAATCTGCTCACTCACGCCTATGGCCTATTCAACATGATTTGCTTCAAAATGTAAGCCATCTAGATTTCTCGACCATCTATCGGTCCCATTAGATTGGTCCTTCACCATCGTATTCACTTCAGATTCATGGCAGTACCGTTCCTCTTTGAACTGCGAACTGCCATAGATTGGACGTGGACGGATACTTCTATGCCACTCTTTGACTTCTTCAACATGGAGAACTTCTTTGCTGTGATATATAACTTGAAATGTGCAAGAATGTTTGAGCAGGTAAGAGGGACATCTTTGGCAGGGAGAAGAACAAAAACAAAGAACAATAACTTTTGCAGAGCTATCCAGTGCCAAGAGGTATTCCGAAAGGTGCTATAGTGAAGTATATGATGGGTTTGCCAATGATCCTACTAATTATATTCTTGCTTTGGTGCCCCTTGCTAGCTTTTTCGCTGCTGAATCGGATTGGTAAGTTTCAGAGCGATCAGTTGTTTTCAAATGGTTTCAAATGCGGATGTTTCAGGCGCTATATCCATCCCGGAAAAAGTGCGAATGACTCTGCAATTGGAAGGTTATCCGGTAAGACTTACGCCATATGCCGTCAATCTCGTTGTTATCTTGTAGGTTTACAGTAGGCTTACGGTGGATTTTTCATGTAACGACTTACATCTAATACAGCAAAGCAGAAAGTGCCATCATGATGATATAGCGCACATCTCTGATTTTCTTGTATCTTCTCTTGACTTCCGTTTGAGTTTCTCTTAAAAGCAACCTACCGTAATCCTACCGTAGACCTGCAAGAATATTGAATGTTGTCGTCGTACTTTTCCATCATACATTCTTTATTCAAAAACTATATACCGCTGTAGAAATTGAGTTATATACGTCAAAATGGATAGCGGAAACTACCTGGCTGTAGGCGCTGGCGCGGACATCTGCCACAAATCTTGCGTCTACATAAATCACAACTGGTGCCACCGCGTTGGTGGAGCCCATTGGCGACGCAATGTCCTTCTAGAAATTAGCCTATGGGTAGCATAATTGAGCTTCAGCCTAACATAATCAGATAAAAAAATATTTATAACAATACCATGACCGTAGAACTGTGGGAAAAAGTTCAGAAAATATGCGTAGACTGAATAGACAGTTTTACAAGTATCTGTTACAGCCAATTTACGAGATCGAATCGCAAGGAGCAGAGTTACGTTCGATGCGTCCAGATGAAATGAAGTATCTAACCGATGCAATGAGCAAGAGGTAGCGTTCGTTTTTTGTCTCGCTCGTCGGCGTCTGAGAATACTTATTTCAGGTATTCCCCATATTCGAACGGTACAGATTCTATGAAACGTTCTCGGGATAGCGTGGCATTTTTGAAAGAATACAGCCCAAGTGATGTACTGGTACGTGAGATGTGCATGTTCTTTGGACCTTTCGATAACATTTGGGATTCAGGTGATCAACTTACGTCCAGAATCAGAAGTTCCATGGGGAATATCCGGCGAGTCGCTGGATGCGCTGATGTGAGTCTGAAGTCTAGAATTCCAACGGGTGTACAGGAATTGCCCTAAAATTTGAGACGTTTTTTTTTTGAAATCAAACTCCCGATGCCTGTTCAGGCGCTGTCTCACCGTAGTCATAAGGTGAAGCAGCGATCGATCATTCACTGTAGGTATTTGTCAATCTTCCAATCTCTGATCGGGCACCAGTTAAGTTTTTCTGAACGAGCGCTTTATTGGGCGATAGGCGTTCCCTTACAATGGTAAAACAACGCCCCATCGAGATCAGGGGCGATATTTATCAATCTCCCACTCGTTGTTTGGGTCATTGTTAACGAGAGCCCGGACAGGCGAGAGCGCCATGCAAGCTGTCGCTTGGGCGACGACTTACAACTTGTTAGTAAGGAGCCTTCTAATCAGTTTCCACGTAAGAAGCATTGGCCCAGATTTGCGTCATTTTCTGTATGAGCCGTCGGAACCAGGTTTGGCCTACGTCAAGTGTGAAGACCTTCAATTTCAGTGAGCAGCTGAAGGGAAATTCGTCTATCAATTTTATCGTGACGATAGAAGTAACACGGCCATACGATGCGGGTAAGAAAGCAGCTGTGAAACATTCGGCCATATACTCGCAAGAGATACAATGGAACTCAACATTGCGAACGCAGTGGATCAACATACTCAACAATCCAGGATCTGGAGAAACGGTGAATTGATTGGAAACATCAGCGCGTTTCAAGAAATTTTCTGAAAATTCGTTCTTCAGGTTTCTATGACTGAAGCTTTCCCCAGCTATCTGCTTGTTCCCAGCGAAGGCGCGGCCATCTTGCCCACTCCATTAGTGGCAACGATACAGTTGAATCAAGATAATTATCAAAGACCAGACAATGCTAGCGATAAGGATTGGTTTGATACGCTGAAACTATCGCTGGTCAACACATCAGCAGGAGTGCGTTTGGTTTAGATACCTGTAGGTTACAAAACCTAAAAATTGTGTGTTCTAGGGTGTTTGGGTGGTTGAAGCACAGCATCCTTCCCAGTTTACCAATGTGTACTTCAATGCGTCCAAGATTACGTATGGAACACATCGAGACCGTACTTACGTGCAAACAATCGCATTTGTGGACAGAGCTTTCCCGAACATCTTTGCAAAATACCTCCAGGACGGGTCAGTCTTGAAATTATACTTGAGTCCATTATCCCTAAAAAATTCATTTTTACAGTGTGATAGCGATGTATGTGACTGTGGTGATCGTCGCTGGTCGAGTAATTCGTGGATTGTTCATGTCGTCACCGACAAGTGTAATGATCACCGAAATTCCAAATCCTGACTTCTTGCTCAAAATTTGCCTGGATATCTATCTTGTACGGGAAGCTAAAGATTTCTTCTTGGAACAGGTGAGTATACTTTCTTAATCAGTGGTCTTTATCTTCATTTTGGGGGAGGGGGGTGGGGAGGGAATGTGTGACATTTTTTTAACGAAAAAAGGGGCATGTTTAATTTGGATCGTTCCAAGAACAATACCGAAAACGGCTATTTTATTTGGCGAAACCCATAACTTGGAGTCAGATAAAGATTTTGGGAAATAGGGTAATATTCACTCACGACAACATTGTTATCTTGAGGGTTCAGTAATTTCGAAAAAGGCCTTCAAAATCTATTCTGTCCAAATGTATTCGATAATAGTCTGATTTGGAATTTTTTATAGGACCTATTTGCTAAACTGATCTTCTTGTTCCGATCACCGTCCACATTGATACAATGGACGCGATACAAAGCAAAACGAGATTAACCTCCTAAATTCATCGCGGAGCTCTCGTAACACTGTCAATCTTTACCTTTTCCATAGGTATTAACTCAAAGCCATATCATCATTCATTTGTTGTATAATATATATTTCTCATGAATTTGTTGCTTTTTCTCTTGTTGTTTCAATTGACTTTCAGATTTTCTTGTTCTTTCTAATTCAACTATTTTCTCAAAGTTTTCCGTTGTACCAGTGACAGATCGGTATCTGTATGCTTGCCTTTTTGTGATGATTTGTATTGTTGAACACTCACATGATCTAACAATCTAACAACGACTTTTGTAAAGTTAACCTCCATTTCATCCTCCTTGACCGGGTACTGCTACATATGTTGACTGTAGCCACACCCCATAATCATGCAACGATCCATGCAGGACCAGTTACAGTTTTAGAGCCTGTCGTTTTATGCTTTCTGACAATGTGTCACATTCTTGACGAGTCATGCCTATCTGTTCGCTTTTACATAATAAATTTTGTTCTTTTTGGGATAGATCAATCGTTGACTTGCATGCTTTATTCACTTCATTTGTAGTGGCATTCGCTTTATGGGACATCTACTTCCTATTTATTTTTGCTAATTTTAGTGTTTAAAGTGAGACAACTGAGTCTCACATGAAGTCTTTATAATGAACGTTCGAAATATGGTGATCTCGGTGTAATGAGCTACGGTATTAAGCAACATTGATCAGCGAATTGTGAGAACCCCACAGCTGTTTCCGGAAGACTCGATCATACTCTCAGAAATCTTCATCTGCAAAACCTCAGTGGAAACGCGGTTGTCCACTCTAGCACAGTCAGGAAATGTCATAATGTCACTCTCATGTCAGACGATAGTGAGATCGCTTCATTCTAGCATCGTCGGTATTGGCGGAATCAGCCGAAGAAGTTGATTTAGAGGTATGTGAAGTCCACCTTAGTAAGCTAGAAGGATGTAACTGCTTGCACGGAGCTCACTGTAGCTAATTGTCAGTCATCATCGGAAAGGACTGCGACGGTTGATTTCTATATTCAGTGCTTTAAAAATAGTAAGTTTACTCGGTGATCCTAGTATATGAACGGACATCGATTGATGCATGAACAAGGCAGTGTCACAACGGATCTGTTTACATTCTTCTTCAAGACACCTTGCATTACCATATATCAGCTGATCCAATAGTCAAAAGATTCCCATGCAGTACTTCCGCACCGTCCGTGGTTTGCAGATATCACGGTACCTGACATAGAGATCATATAAAAAATCATTGGAAATACTTTAGCTACGCTCGTATCAGCGTTCCTCGCGATCACGACCTACCTGTCCATCTGTTTTAATGTACGCTACCAGTATTTTGGTCTACATCGTCATCGCATCATGAAGTGCTCTGTTGCTCTCAATCAGTAAAGAAGAGATTTGTAGAAAATGTCATGAAGTTTGTTGAAATGCATATCTGTCTGATGTATATAAAACTAGTCATACATCCATCAAGCAAGCTCTCCATGCTACTTCGCATTTCATGATTTCCAGGTAGTAGTCTGCTGTGTCAAGCAACTATAAATCCACCAAGGATACAAAGTACCACACATTGAACTTGAACTAGTATGAAGGAATCCTAGATAGGCACTAAAAGTCCGAATTAGATGGACTGCATCACATCACCAGCATGTCCTTACCATCCAGTGACAGATGCGATATCTCGGCGCTGCTTCATACATCATCCCATATTGCAAACCTTCAAGGCAGACATGCGGACCATCTTCGAGCACCAAGCACTTACTCCGGATAATGGCGCCCGAATTAAGTTGCGTTTTTTGCTCACGATCAGTTGTGCAAAACCGGGATAGTCACTTTAGCGGAAGGTGTGTGCGTTTTTCCGATCCAATATCAAAAGCAGCTCGAGCGACGAAGACTTCAAGTGTCTGAAGACAATCCACGAAAACGCCCCGCAATTAAGTGCAGAATATGCACCTGCTTTGCCCGCAAAACAGAAGACCGCAGCAATCAGCAAAACCACTTACAAGCACTGAACTTCTTCCGCCAGCCGTCAAGTCCATCTACAACATCTCCTAACTTGCCACCACACCCCTTAATACCTATACAAACCTATCAAATCGCCACTCAACCCCGGAGCTGCCGCCAAGACCCACAACGACATCACCCTACATCGAAGTCGAAGAAAGAGTATTGTTGAGTTCAACATGCGTAATTCTTTGCCCATGATTCATTAAGTGTTGCTTTTGGAGGAGGAGTATCATCGTATGCGATACTTCCCCATTGTTGTATTTATACCATCCGCCCAGTATATGGGCTCTACCATCATTTTGTAGACCTCACTTTCTTTTTGCAACCAACGTACCATGTTGTACTCATCATACCTTTTTCAAAATTATTAATAAACCCGGACCACAATATTTTTGTCATACCACAACATACCTCGCGACCGGGTCCAACGTCATCCAAAAAGTCTCTAAACCGCGTACAGCTCTAGTTGCAATTGATGTGAGATGGGCGCACGAACACAGAGCAGATCACGCATCGGGCGATTGGATGGTGGCTTGAAAAAGGGTGTGTAGCAAGATGCCCCTTTCCACTTGAACATGAACTCGATAGCTAAAGTGGAAGCTAGCATCTATAGAGGAAAAGCTCGGGCAGAAGCAGGAGGACCGATTCAAATGTGATGGCGTATTGCGTAAGCAAAGCCGCAGCGGATCGGCTGTCACGATTGCCGGAATCAGCAATTGGTCAGTGCACGAATGGCGTTGCATAGCCACCTTCTTTGAACCACCTAGAATTGAGAACATCTTTTTGACTAATTTCTTTTTAGACTATAAATGAGTTTCATTATTTTAAGGAAACTGTTGGATATCAAAAACAAGAAACTGCTCTCAAATCTTGCACAGAGAGTTGTGCACGAAGATGTCGGTATATCTCGTTAAGGCGACATTGTCAGCGCTCTTAGTCTTGTCACGACGATCAGAATGAGATATAATGATGCAGGGTTTCGCGAAACCCGCGGAGATCTACGCCAGAACCAAAACCTCGTCGGCTCGGCTATTTCTCTTCTCCTTGTCTGCGCCTCCGCCTGTGCGCGCTGCCTCGCCAACACGGGGCATGAGCATTTGGCTCTGATACCTTTTCTTCGTTGTTCCAAATCCAGATCCAGCAAATTGAATATCTATTACCAGTGCGTCACCGCTTCGCAGAGGCTCGCACTGGCTCTACTATCTATGTGCCTTACACATTCTCGTAAAATCGTGGCAATGGAACTTACCGCACTATGCCGACTACCACGAATTAAATGTAAACAGCTACTCATTCAGAAAGTTTTTTCACGTGAGATCGGTGATTTCGCGTGGATGAAACTTTTCGTAGGAAGACAAACGCAAATTTGAATAGGTTTTTGAAGTTGTCATGGCTTGGTAGTCCCCTTAAAGGCAATAGTAACCGTGAGCTACATCTCCGTGCGAAAATCTTTTGAAACGCTTAGCTAGAACCTTAGCAAATTAACCATTTACGCAACCAACTCTTTCTGGCGCCGTTTTCGTTATGTAGCAAACTTTTGACCACTTTTTGGGCTAAAGTCCATCGCTTGCACATTTGCTTACCAAACACATCCAGGACTTTGCAAAAAGTGGTGATATGGACCCAATTTTGCGGGACAGAAGCCAGGTGGATCCGTTTGGCGCGCAATTTCTGAGGGACCCATTCAACGAATCTATTCGTGCTTTTGCACGTTGAACTTTCATGAAGGTAGCATGCGCTATGCAAAATTTGGGCTTAAAACGCTGGCTGGAACACGCTCTACGAATTTCGTAACAGACGGACACACACACACAAAAACACGTAAACAACCCTTAGCCCGTTATTATAAGGTCTTGATAGCTCCTGATCCCTACTTTCACGCTAACAGCGTCGCTAAACTTCATTTGGTTGAGCGGATCTGACAAAAACTGGATTCTCGAATTTCTTGTTTCATTTACAATTTGTTTTCTTTCGCGTTTATCCATGCAGTCGATGGATCTTGCTTCTGTCTATGATTTGGACAATCGCGTCGGTGAGCTTCATCTTCGATTGTATTAGAACACTTAATCAAAACTTCAAAAAGTGTGTTGAAACACTTAATCAAAAGCTTCAAAAAGTGCGTTTTATTTTTTCATCGTTCTTTATTGAAGTGACTAAGCATCAATTTCTTTCACGCTTAGGAGCACCTTGCACAGAAGATGAGCAGAACAAAGCTGACAACGTCGCTGGGAACAGAAAATACGAGGTGAAGATAAGAAGTTAAGGGACGCATCAAAAGCTAGATTGACTTTGAAGTTCCGACCTAAAAAGCAAAACTTTGCATTTTCCTGGCTAGTTCTTTTCTTCTTTATCTTCTTCTCGGTAAATACCTTCCCAAAAGTGGTCGTCTTTGAAATAATCAGAAAAGAAATCAATTTCCTCTGTTTTCCCTTGACTTGTGTGCTGGGTCCTAGAGCAAAACCTGCAATTCGAATTGCCGCCAAATGAAAGGTTTCCAAAATTTATCGGGTTTCTGAGAGTGTCCTCTTTCTGATTTGTTGATTGTTTCGCATCTTTTTCTCTTCTCTACTTTTCTAGAAACAACTTTCATTTTTATGGAAGGCAGATCAAACGACTTTCACTTTTGAGGCCCCATCTTGAACCTTTTCATGGAAGGTATGGTGTCAAGAAAAATCTGCATGAGTTCAATAAGTCGAGATACTTGACGCCTTTGAAACGCACTAAGGATGCCATAGCTGCTGCGTTCCACGTAAGTCATCATTCTGCCGTATTAAGTCGAATCTGCAATGGGTTAAGAGCAAAAATGAACAAAAAGGAGTGCATAACATTGACCACGAGCTTATATCTGATTCACAGTACTGAGTGTTTGCTTCCTGAAGATTACAGTATTTAGAAAGTGATATCTCGATAGCGGTGTGCCTTAAATGGTATGACAACCGACGAAGCTAACCATGGTGAAAGCTGGTTTCTGGAATCTTAGACTTAAGAGGGAAGCTATAGGGCATTTGAAAAATCGTGACGATGGCGCGACCGCGCGCGATACGCACGCATCTCCATTTATTGGTTTCTATCCCTACTAGGGTGGTTTTTCTGCTTACATTGTTAGTACTTAGACACTGGAAGTCACAGTGCTGAACGTTGAGTTGATGCCTGTTTATATGGGTGTTTTATGCTCGTGTGTGCGCAAAGTCCGCAGTCAACTCATCGTCACGATTTTAAGAATGAACCATACCTAACTGAGCTCGCTCTTTCGGAATAAGACACATATATTTGGAATCAGCCTGAAACGCTGATGCCAAATATGCTGTTCCCAGGTGCCACGCATCATTCGGAACGGAGTTACGAGGACCTCCTTCCGTAGGATTCCTCCACCGGCAAGTCTAGGAAGACTAGACAATGACCAACAGAGGTCGTGTGTTAAAGTGATAAGTGTAGTCCTGTTGGACGTTTTTCGTTTTGCAAAGGTAGTCCACCCAAACATGATCCACAAGTGGTCGTACGTAAGTACGCCCCGATCTGATCGTGAATTCAATTTTAGGCTGACTTATTAACACTTTCGAGAGCTTGCAAAAATAAGGACGTCCAACGGGACTCAAACCACGGACCCTCAGCGTACGAAGCGAGAGACTTGCCACTTTATCACACGACCTCTGCTGGTCATTGTCGAGTTTACCTAGACTAGCCGGTGGAAAAGTCATACGGAAAGAGGTCCTCGTAACTCTGTTCCGAATGATGCGTGGCACCTGGGAACAGCATATTTGGCATCAGCGTTCCAGGCTGATTCCAAATATATGTGTCTTATTCCGAAAGCGCGAGCTAAATTAGGTAGCTTCCCTCGTTAGTCATATACTCTTATACAACCTTACAGAGTGTATCGGTGATGTAGTTAAGCCGACCCCGAGAACAAGCACTCTTCGATCAAACAATGCAAGCTGTCGGCTGTGTGGCTCCGCAGATAAACGCTAGTTCACTACACAATCAGACGTACTGTATACAGAGTCAATGCGAGTGCAGTTAAAAATTCGAGGTCTTGTGTCATTTTACAACATGGCTGTGCATAGTGGTCGTGTACAAAGTGCGACTTAAATCAATGGAAATAAGATTGCGCAATAATCGAATTTTATGACAAAATAACATCATGAACTAAAATTAAAGATGTTCTGATATTCAAAAGAATAGGGGGGGGGGACTACGATCATACGACCATAGGTTATGGACAGAAAGAGTTATTACAAAATCGGCTTTCTCAGGGAAGGCAGCGGCATGCCATAATGAATGTACTGTAATTGAAGGGCAGTACAAACGCTGACTTACGAGGGCTAATTGTAGTGAAAGCCTTGTCTTGACTAAATACGCTGCATAGCACATGTGAAGTGAAAATCATGCAAATGGAAAAAATAGTTTATCTGTCTCAAAAAGGTGTAAACAGAACAATGTAAACTGACCAAATTTCGAAAATACGTGAAAGAGCCATAACTTCAAGTACTTGGGCAAAAGGCAACAAACTGTGGCACTGTGGTATAATGTGGAAAGCGGTCAAGAGAAGACGGACTACACGCATTTTTCGTGAAGCAATCCGCGAGCGACGTTACTTGATATAAGAGCCAGCTTATAGACCTTTTGGGTTTCGCTCAGCCCAAAAGCGGCAAAGTATGGCGCGTGGCTTGAAAATGTGCTTTCGAGGCGCCTTCGCTGGAATGAAGTTACGCGCGCTGCATGCGCAGCAAAGCGATTGCCATGCGCGGCGTGGTTTCTGAATTGAAGCGCACATGCCTGCTTCAACTGCTTTTCTGAAGGTTCTGCATTTTAGACAAAGTTTAGGCACTATGTGATCTTATGTAATTGGGAATTTAGGTCACATCTCGAGTTGTTTTTCTAGGCTTCTCTTCAGGAAAGGAAACCAGTCGATGATGTTAAAATAGTGCAGTATGATGAGACCAACTATGAACAAGGTAGTGATGATCATCAAAACAATACCATAGACGACAAGTGTGCGATGCTGAACACAGATCAAATGGGTAACTGAAGAAATTGCCAAAGAACTTACTGAACAAGTTGGACATCTACATCGTTTGTTGTTCAACGTGTAAACCCTGCAAGTATTGGGATTAATGAGTGTAATGAAAGAAATTGTGAGTGGATGTAACAGTTTTCTGTTCGGATTTTACTGTATTTCATTCACAGCATGATTAAATTTTTTATTTGGGATTTTTTGATAGTTTGAATCATACCCATGACCTGCACTCCGCAACTTTTCTTTGCTTGAGGTATCCCATCTAAGGGACCTCACTGAGCATCTGAAGAGTGGTAAGGACTGATGCTGAAGAAAGATAAGTTTGATTGAAGGTATGAGAGCAAAGTTTGCATGATTCATGTAGTTGGAAAAGGTCACTCATCTTATATATAAAGCTGAATGTCTGTCTGTATGTATGATCGTCTCCACGATTCGTGTAGAGGTGTATTGCAGACTTGCCTTATTACACAGGTAAACTTATTAAACCTCCACGTCATAGCATTGTTTTTTGTACTCTCTCGCTATCAAAAACCGCCACGCTTTGAGTTGGCAAACCCCCCCCCCCTCTACACGAATCGTGGAGCCGATGATATTGTCTGTACGTATGTGCGGAATAGAAATTTTTATTTCTGAACCGATTTGGACCAAACTTGGCACACATACACTTCGGGGCAGGGAGCGTGTCACAGGCTACTTTTCGTTATCGATCGATATCAATTTTATCGATTTTTATCGATTTTTTTGCAGAGTTCACCTACGGGGCTGGGAGTTGGCACAGGGGGGTAAGTGGGCATGATGATTCCGAATACAGTATTAGTTTCCAGAATTATCGATTACTTTTATCGATTTTATCGATTTTTTGCAAGGTTTGGGTTACAGGGCTGGGAGTTGGCACAGGGGGGTAAGTGGGCATGCTGATTTCGAAAACACACAGGGAACGGGAAATGAAGTGTAGAAGTGGGCACAGGGAAAGGCTGTACAGGGATAGGAATGGGACCTTTATCACAGTGTTTTGATAGGGCCGAGCGGAGCCGGGTAAGCAAGCTAGTACACTAATATGGGAACGAAATTAGACTCGAATCTTGTCGAAATTGTCCATTGACAAGTGACGTTTGCGAATTCAATATTGTCCGTTGTAATCAACAAGTATTGCGACCAAGTTGTTTGCAACTTCTCCCGTACGCTCTTTCTTCTGGTAATGCACTCAGGTACAGGCACGTCTGGCGCCGGTTCAAGCCAGGTCCCGTGAAAGAGAAAGAAGAGGGGCTTTTGCGGGATTCGAGACAAAGTCCAAGCAGAGAAATACATCAAAATTAAAACCTACGTTGGCAATTGTCCATACATTCTGGCGTCTGAAGTAGAGACAGGCCATTGCTTGCATGCTCTAACACGATCTCTTAAGGCGGAAAAATTCAAAATTGTGCACTAATGAATGCTTTATCTACAACGAACAAGCAATGATAGGGTTGGGCCAGACTGAGCGGCCCATGCTTCATACGCAGCGAAGTTTGGTTCCACCCATATGATACCATTCGGTCTACACGTGCGCGTGAAACCCTTGAAGTATGGTTGATATACTTATGAAAACTTCCATATAAGAATAAAAGCCTGACCAACTTTTCCTTAACTAACTGAAACCACTCCGGGTGATACCAGATAAGCTAAATCCTACCCTTAGCTCACATAAATTTCCATAATTTTTTATAGACTGTATCTACATATTGAAAGCTTCCACAAACTCACTTTTTTCATAGCTCTCAGAAAATGTATTGGTGGCGTAATCCTGCTCCGATGGCAAAAGTCTCCTTAAGCCTATCAACGTTCACATGTCTTATATTTATCGAACTAGTGTTATGTTTTCCTTTTCTTTCATCTCTTCTCTACTTTGAACTCTTCTTTTAGAATCTCAATGGTTCAATGTTGAGCTGTCCATTACTTCTGTCATCACTCGCACGAGATGGGAGGGGTGTGGTAGGGAGGAAGGGGACAGGGGAAGTGGAAAGTGAGGAAGGGAGGTGGAGAAGAGAAAACAGAGTAGCGGATCTGTGCGTTGAGTGATTAATACGGATGCCATAACGCTCCTTGACGATGACGCTTTATGTACTCTATCTTTAAGTGTAACCGCATTTTGGTTGTCTAAAGGGAGCTACTTTAGAGAATTCCGTGTGGGACCCTTTACGGTGGATCGCATCAACTGATAAAGTGTAAGCGAGAGCTACTGCTTCGTAAGCACTTGCGAGCAATGCGTCCAGGGGTTTATCGACTTGGAAGGTCGCATGCATAAAGGTCCTGCATCATGTTGAGCGGCACCCCTCCACTGCGGAAGATCGCAGCGTGTTTGCTCGCAGCTCATTTTATAACTATAGGCCGCTATCCTCGCCGGAGAGGTGTTCATGCATATTGGCCTCAGAAATGTGGTTCGGCTTGTATACACGTAAAGGTGGGTTTATTTTAGGGGAACAGTCAACCTACTTTATAGGTGGCAGCTGACTTGACGATGGGCGGGGAGTACGTGCTGCGGGCACTGACACAGTTTCCTGCGCTGTCAAATGATGTGGAACTCTAAAAAATGGGAGTCGTCACTGTGCAACCTAGGCAGAGTTCTTACCTGACTGGTGGAAGCGGAGACCTGACTGGTCGAGGTGAGCCAACTTCGATAGCGGCAACCGAGTATGGTCTTCTATGAAGTTGTTTCATACGGAAGGAAAATCTTAAATAAATTTCGTAGAATACGAAACTTAGGAGATTATGCAGGAAAATTCTTGGAAGTCCAGACAAGCGAAGATACTAAAAGCAGCCGAATTAAAGGCACGTCCAGGCAGATCTGGGCCTATGGGGATTTTACGTGGGAGGTAATTTCGGGGACCCTAACTAAGGCACTGCTCAAGCGGCAGCGCACGTAAATCACTAATGCCTGAAATATGCGCCTCCAAAGTATACCCTAGAATCGTGTTCGCATGGATTCAAATGCAGTCTCGCGCGAGGACCCACATTTTGCGCCATGAATCCATGCGAAGTACGTTCCCGGGGTCCAGTTCCGAGGGGTATATCTCAGCCGTTAAAGCACTACCTGAGCTGGGCAGCCGGTTGGGCAGTGGCTTAGCTAGGGCCCCAAAATTAGTATCCACGTGAGATCCCCATGTGTCCAGACTTGCCTGGACGCTGCCTTTAGAAGAAAGTCTCAAGAAGTGATAAAGAGATCTCTGCGAATATCACGTGCCAGTGACTACTGGATGAAGACAAGATCCCAACTTTCTCCCGACAAGAAATGGAACCGAACGCAAGAGATCTTTACATAAAAACTTCTGCTCATCAACGCCCATTCCGACGCCCGTTGTACATACTGAAGTGCACGGTGAACATGAATTTTTCCTGCTGAAGTGCGCACCGTTCAGATTGAAACTTTGGCGGCTCCAGAAGCAGATCATCTTTCCGTCGAATTTGGGCAAGCGCACGACACTTGTCTCACTAGATTCTCGCGTCACATCGAACATAATACCTTTAACACAAGCGCTCCCGATCTCAGACGAAGAAAATAGCCGTTTTTATTTTTGAGAAGTCGAACGGGAGGATCCACTGTCCTATGCTTGCTGAGTGTGCGGCATAAGCTGCATAAAAATTATTCTTGCTTGCATTAATGACACTAGAATTGGAGCTCAGCCCCAGGAACAAGCCGGATTTTGCAGAGGCTTCGCTGCTTGGACGACACTTGGACGAACTCGAGGGTCATAGAAGTCTACGGAGTGCCACCCGCCTCTTATTCTAACCCTAATCAATTACGGGAAAGTTTGAATCCCATAAACCCCTGCCAGTGATGATTGGTCAAGGTGTAGATCGACATCGGTCGCTTGAAAAGACTTCACAAAGATAAACTGCAGTTGATTTATCGCCCATGGATCTCAGGGAGTCCACGATTTCGCCGAAGCTGTTCCCCCCTCCTTGCTGTGCCTAATGAAGAGAGAGGCTTGCGAGTTGATGGAATCCCTCTCGCGCCTTCCTTTGTGCGAACGCCATCGTTCATTTGAGCGGTAATGCGCAGAGGAAAGAAACTAAATGAGATAGAAAGAAGCTCGAACTGTAGATAAGTCGGAAGACTCAATTCATGAGAAACGCTCTTTGTGCGGAATTGACTCTGGAAGAACCTTTTGGGCCTTTTTTTTTATGTAGGACTTTCGTCACATGGAGAATGACCTGAACGAAGAACTTGACGGGGGAAGAGGAGCAGCCTGAGCCCCTTCGGGCCTTCAAAAGCCACCCACCAATTGATGGACCAGGAGCTTCGTGCCCACCTGTTTGACTCAACTGTTCTCCCGGCGCTCTGTTACGCAGCTGAAACTTAGGCTGACACTGCAGCTACGTCGAAAGTTCTACGGATCACTCACAAAGCGCTCGATTTTCGTGCCAGGGTCACTGTCTCTAAATAGGGTCTTACAGCGAATAACAGTAGTTCTTTTTGCATCTCAGAAAATAACGCTGACTCTGCAAAGTAAGGTCAGTTCCTATCTCAGTCGCGCTTTACTATCTGAGGCAAAAGTCATAGTTCGATTGATAACGAAAGCGAATACTTTTAAAGAAAATACACAAGCTGCAAAGTGTCAGAAATAATAAAAATTGAAAGATTGTTCATCTTAAGAAAAGTGTTAAACACTTTTTTGATATTCAGGCGACATACTGGTACCAACCTTACAAAGCTAAAAAAAAAACTGGCAGTGTTTTCGCAACAGAACTCAAGAATAAAGCAAAATTAATTCTTATGCAAAAGTGGGGTTTTCTGTTATAGCTGAGCAATAACAAGTAACATAAATGAATTCGTAGAAACTACTTTGCTGAAAAATGATATGGTGTAGTTTTTTGGATACGTTTCGTGTGAAAACATTGAAAATGAGCGGTAACCTTGGTAACAGACTCGTTTTCATTGTCGAACAATAATTACAATTTGAATTTTATATTGGCAGGAGAAGAATTCAATTAGACTTGGTGTAATGGACTTACTTAGGTTTTTATAATGCAAATAGTTTTGTAAAAATGCTCGCTTTTTTGAAATTATCATGAATTTTCTGCATGAGTTGATATAATTTTTATCAAGGTTACTGACAAGGTTCTGGATGAACCGGATGTCTATTTCTGGCAGCAAAAGACCCAGCGATCGTCTGGAATGCTATAAAAATGTGCAGATAACGTAGCGATTACGTAATGTTGCCGCTGTTCTTCCTCTCCCGTACAATAACCGACTTTTACCCACCCAACTTCGGTTCACTAACCTCGGTGGTTCGGTATGAATATTCAGGCTATAATCTGCTCATTTGTTACTGCATTTGGTACGGTAATGATATGTATGACAACGAGAACGTAAGTATGTGCCAGCGGTATTATTATTCTAAAAATAACAAAAATAGAAGACAGTAGATTTTCTTGCAGTGTTGACGACGATGGTGAATTCAAAGGAAAAACAAAGGTGGTGATTATGTCTGTGGGAATTGCGCTGACGGCTATTGGTGGACTAGGATACGTGTTTACCATATACGAAGTGGTAAGTAGATTAATTTTTTTGTAATTGTACCCTGCATTTGTACCTTCCGCAATTGTTTTTGTAGTATAATAAAATAAGTCAATACTTCTGGGAAAAACAAAAACTTTCTTTGCAGAAACTTGCAAATTTTTCCGCTTACTAGAATTTGCTGAGCTTTGTTTTTTTCTTTTTTTCTTATATTAAGTTGTCTCATAACTAATGAACGTTTTTCTAACTTTTTTCTGAAAAGATGATTCTCAAAGAAAAATCATTTTTATACAAAACTCTTTATGATATCTGGAAGCACTATTTTTCTAGTTTCTTACATGTGCTTTCGTTTTCGCATATCTTTCTTTGAACAAAAGCTTCATCAGCAACAGCCTTTAAAAATAAGTGACTAAAACATAAGAAATTTTCCTTTCACTTTCCTTCCTCCAAATCCATGAAAAAAGGTAGGTTTCAAAGAAAACACTTAATGATCGCGAAGTTTTGTGCCACGAGATGCTCTTTATTTTTAGATTTTTGATGGATTCTGGGCCGAGAAATTTTGACTCAAACGACTAATTCTGGGGTTCATTTATGCTGCATAAAGATCTCAAACAAAAAGCAATTGCAGAACTTTTGCTCTATAGCCTAAAATGGACCTAGTACAACTAAAGATAGGAATTTGGCAGGATTTGCCTGTTCTCTAGAAAAGAAAAAAATAAAAATTCCAAAACGGTGGCTTTTTGAACGTCTCAAATGCCTCAAAAGTGGGTACTTCAATTTTTTGCAAAATTTTCTTGCAGAAAAATGCAGTAAATCCAAGCTTTACTCGATTGCACAACCGACCATCTGCTATATAATCAGCACAACTCGCGCGATCCTAGTTTAGTTGAGAGCAAGTTAAGCTCTCTCAAAGTGTGGGTTTCTAGAGAAATGTTTTTGAATTTTTCGGGCTAGAAGTCTTTCTCGGAGCGGCTACGATCCAATAAAAGAGTGCCTTGCATGGCCAAAGGTTTGCTATTTGCAATATTTTTATTGCGCTCAAAAAGATGGTTTTAGAAATGAAACATCTTGATCAGAAGTGGAAATGCAGAAAACATGCATTAATTATGAGATAACTCAATATTAAGACATTTTGATAAAGCATGTAGAAGAAAATTACTCTTTGAAAACGTTTTACTGTCCTAGACCATACGACTATAGAATGTCTGCTAGATAATTTGATTGCATAGAAAGTTCATATGTCCTCTATGCTTTTGAATTAGATAAACCTATAAAGCTCATGAGACCATGAAGGGTGTGTTCATGACATTTTACCAGCAAATAATTGCAGTATATATTAGGTTGGTGCAAAAGTAATGAGCGTTCTTTATTCTGCCCTGCATACTTTTTGCAATTTTTGAATGCCATTAGGGCCCGCTTTGCCCTCGAATGATGTGATCCATACATTTTGATATGTTCTCCATCGCGACTGTATTAAGGAGCGCTCAATTTTGCACCAACCTAATAACTTTAAGGCCAACTACACGAGCCTTTTGATAACAAAAGAACTTAGGTGGCACAGTTTTCGATAAACAAAATGCGACCATTTTGCACCGTTACAGTATGGTACATGACCTGCGCGGCTCTAAAATGAATACGTTTTGAGGAAATGCTAATTATCCACCCCTTACTGATAGACCCCTTAAATTGTTGAAATCCGCACATGTAGCGTGGCGCACTTTAGCCTCCCAAATGCTGCGTTAAAGGCATTGTCCAGATCAACTGAAGGGTGATGGGATTTCGACGCACTGCGGAAGCACGGCTCCTGATTAATGTACTCTGCAAGTCCTATAGAAAAAGGTGGATTCTGAAGCGAGAAAATCGCTCCGGAAAAAAGGAGCGATCCGCTAATCCCGCCTCCTTGACAAGTTTTGACGTGGCGAGTGCTGTAATCTAATGTAGCAACCAAGTCAAAACTTGTCAAGGAGGCGAGATTAGCGGACCGCCCCTTTTTTCTGGAGCGATTTTCTCGCTTCAGAATCCACCTTTTCAATCGGACTTGAATTGTTGCATTAATCAGGAGCCGTGCTCCCGCACCCCATCACTTCCCAATCGACATGAACAATGCTTCAAGGACGGTAACATACGGTACAGAATAGCCTATACACACTGATTCTGCTGTATGCTCGAGCATAGCTTTGAAACCGCGCTTTTAGTCACAATCCCTATCAAAATCAATTTTCAGATTAGGCGAGGACATCAAAAACTCGTAAAAGGAGAGAAACGCAAACTTGAGGAACAGGTCCAACGAAGGAGAGAAACATTGGCCAAGGTAATGGGAGCGACAATTCAGCTGTGTTTATCGCCGAGTTTTTTCTTTGCTTTTTTTTGTAGGAGGCTAGCAGAAAGGGAACGATGAAGATGATGAATGGAATTGCTTCAACACATTCGCGTGATGATACAGTTGTGAACGTTTAGTGATATTTATCGTAGATTCGTTGATCGCACGGACTGCTCAAACGCTGCGGACAACGCGCGGCGCGGCTAAATTGTCGCGAAAGCACGCTTGTACAACGGCGATTATACTGGAGCAAGCGTTTTACCTCGCGGCGCGTGCTCCGAAGTGAAGTCCAGTCCGTGCGGTCAACGAATCAACCATACTTGTTGGTCCTTAACAGAATCCAATAATCAAGTGTGAAAATGGCTGAAATAAACTATACAGATTGTTTATTATGTTTGTTTGACTTCACGCATATCCCATGAACAATACCGAGGAATCTATAAAGTTTACCAAAATTGGTAAGGATACCAGACGAAAATGCCCATATGAAGCAAACGCACGCGAAGCGGCATGCGAGCGGTTGTGTCACCTCAAGTGTTCGCATATCCACATCTGTCGCTTATGTGAAGTTGAACTTCATGGAAATTTTGTGATTGTCTGGTTAAAGTTTGCTGGTGAGGAAAAAAGAATTCGAAACATATTTATTTATCCCTTCGAATAGAAGTTTGTCAACAAACCAATAGATGCTCAATTCTTTATCCATCGTGTGAGCTAACAGCCGTTTCCGAATCAGCTCCACGATTGAACAGCTTCATCGTGCTCAATCCCAATAAATCCAGCACACCTTGCCGGATACTAGGTATGTAAATAAAATAAACCGTCCAGATAAATGGAATGGCGAGATCGAGACATATCCAAGAAAGTAAGGTGATTACCTGAGCAGAAATTCAATCTTACTACTAGGTTGTTCCAACATTGATTTTCTTCTCTAGGTAAGTTAAGCTCTTTTTATTTCAGGTAAAATTTGCAGCCAAAAATCAAAATTTTTCAACTATTTTAGAAATCGGATCTTTTTCCAGAAAATTCCTACGGATCTCCAACTTGGTCATTATACAGTAGACACATAGTAGACCCAAAAACGCATTTAATGGATTTTTCGGGTCTCAAAATTAAGAAATATAAATGGCCCGAATACGCAAAAAATGTCACTTTTTTGATTCTATGTTAAACTTGGTATTGCTCGATTACCAGGGCACATTCAGAGATAATATCTTGAGTTCTACTAGGACTTGCAGTATACTATCTATCTATGTATGAAAAAATCCAGCAAAAGCATTTTTGAATACTATTCATTGTCTACTGTATAACTATTAGGTTGTCCGGAAAATAATGTCGCATCGTGTTTTAACATGCAATATCGCAGCAGGATGCGCACAAAAGTAATTGGGGTATCAACCGATAGATAGTGAGAGCAAGTTCTACAAAATGAAGCTCGAACCTTCGCTCCAGGTTAGATTTGCGTGAAGTTTGGAGCCAAATTCCATAAGGCACTAAAGATCTAAAAAAACGAAAAAAATCGTATCCCCGTTCAGAAAAGCCTTGGGAACCCCTAACTTGCTCACGCGTGGACTCGCTACACGAGACACTCGTATGCACATTTTTGCGGTTTTTTCATGGTTGAAAATTGAGAAAACGAAATTTGGCATATTCTTGCCAAAACAACTCTGAGCTTTTCTCACATGGGTGATTCTTTAGTATGAACCTTTAGGAGTATAACCATGAATTTTCAGCTTTAGACAAGCACTAGTTTTGAAGAAAAATCAAATTGTTTGCAAAAAACCCAAAAAAACGCGACATACTCGCACTTTTGACCCATCTTTATTTCTCGTACTGTAGCCATGGAAGAATACCACAAACTATACAGGTGAACTCCAGTGTAGAGAGTACATGCCTGTGCAAATTGGGGATCCATAACGTGTATGAATGGAGATACGATTTTTCGGAGATCTAAAAATTTTTGTATTTTGAATTCGAACTTCAGGTGGAGCACGATTTTCGCGGAGGTTTGTAAGCTTTCTTGTAGAGCTTGCTTTGCTCTATCAAATGATACCCCAGTCGCTGTTTTTTTGTAGTCATTCTGTCCCGGCAGAGTGCCATGCGACATTATTTTCCGGACAACCTAATATCAAGGCGGAGATACGTAGGATATTTCCGCCATTATGAAGTGTCCTTGGTTGTGGCAGGCTGTATAGACTAGTAAATTGACGTTTAACCAGCGTTCTTGCTTTGCCGACAAGATTTGCGCGTCAACAGTAGCTATTGTGCGCACTATGGCCACCTTTCGCGCGCAAATCGCGAGCAAGTCCACGGCATTTACAATCACCCTCGCAAATGGTGTCGTCGCCGCATTTGCACCATGATAACCGACAAATTACCATGCTGTAGAAAAGCTACAAAACTTAGTTACTGATTTTGTGTAATGACAAAGTTGCTGTAATATCGTTTTTACCTTGATATGTGCCCCAAAAATTGCATCGACTAGTGTAACCAGTATGGTTGGAGTAATAAGTATAGCCGGTATTGTGCTACAAACGAAAAATAATGATACGATGGAGCGATCACGATAATAGCGTTCTTGCGACTATAAATAGAGATTGAAATTCCCCCTCCCTTTATGAAAGCGATAGTTTGGAAACTTACTAGATTTGTGCTCTGGTGTTGACTTTGAAAATGTTTTGTTACTTTTCTGTAGATTCGAAAATACAGGATAGTACCAAAAATGAATGCGAACCTGGAGATAAAGGTACAGAATAACCAAATATGATAAAATCAAAGAGATGCCTTCCCATTGTACTGCAAATAACAGGTCTACACTCCAAGAACTCCTCCTCGTTATCACGCATACCACATCAGTTTTTACCCAGTCAGTAGTGAAAAAGCTATTGTATGCAGAAAACATTATGCTTGTGATAGGAAATAGAGCGTAAAGTATGAAAATTCTGTAAAAAAATCGTGTAAAGTGGGTGACGGCCCTTTTGCACCGCTAACCGTGTGCTATAATTGACTGTACGGAATCGCCCTGACTGAACGCTCGCGAGGGTCTCTTGCGGGCTAATATTGATATTCGCCGCATGAATCATCATAGCGCCCGTACCCGGCAGCCGCGTTGCAGGCACGCTCGCGTGCGTTCAGCCTACAGCGGCCCGGGCGATTTCGTGCAGTCGACTTTACCGTTGCGTGCAAAACGCTACACGTCTTTCATGTGCAACTAAAGAATTTGCTCAATCATCTTATAATATCTATCGTACGGTATCGTACAATGTATAAGTTAATGTCAATTACGTACTCCCATTCGCATGCGCAACGCAAGGGCCCTGCCCGCGGACCTCCAATCGATAAGGCCAATATGAATGCCCTGAGCCATAGGCGCGCGAACCTGGCGCGAAGGTTATTGCGCTTACGGAAAAGGGAGCACGTGATTAACAAGGACTGTAGATGCAAAAGGACCAATAACTTAGGGCCTATAAGGTGCAAGTCACAAGTTGATGCTTTCATTTTTAAGAAAATGGACCTACGTAGTTGGCTGAAGAACTCCGTGATCAAAAATGATAAAATATCGATCAATAGCCTCTACTAAACCCTGTGCAGCAATTGGATTTTGGATAAAATTACGTATAATTGAACAATATTGAATAGTCATCTAAAAGAAGAAATTACGGTAGCAGGGTAGCAGAGTCAATGCCTTCAAGTGTAGATACATCTAAACAGTCATCTGAGGATGATAGTGGGGCTTATGCGGTGAAGTTAACATTTGCTCGAAAACAATTGGCATGCTTTCAATGCCGTCTCTTGCTTGTGATGTGCGTGTAGAGGCCGTATAGTGCATGTTACCATTTACGCGCAAATGTTGTCAGCAACGCAAGAACAGTCCCATCAACTACTCGCCTATATGCAGTGAACTTCATATTATATTTTTGAGTAGCCTTACCTCTCTATCTTTCATTATGAGATAACTGACATCTGTCAAAAAATTATATGCGGCGGCTAGAAAAAAGAAAAATCCACTGAATAAAAACATCTTTTTCGGCCGATGCTGCATATAAGCGTTGTTAGCAATACTGATAAGCATAATAAGGACATAAATAATTGTTATAGTGTGTAGTGGTAGATATATAAGTACATCATTGAAATAATAGTCATCGACATATATTGCCATTTGGAAATTTCCAGAGAAATTTGCATAGATGGCTTCATAGGCCATGATGTGAACGGATAGCGAATTTGTTTCGCTTCAGAACGCTCAGTGATATGTGAAAAATGCACCTGCTATGAGATGTAATCAGGTTAAAAGATTGTGGCTTTAACGCAGCTAATTAGAGCAAATGACGGTTTTTGTAAGGATCTTTGGCCTTGAGTAGGGGAAATTTTGCGACTCTAGTGATCAGTTAAGCACATATTCATTTTCAGTGAGAACATATCACTTTGTGATTTTACTAGCTACCTAAAAAGAAACAGCACATCTTAGTGCCGCTGCGGTACTAACAACACTTGCGCGGAAAACCAAAAGCAAGTCGTACGTAGAAATAGGGCGCCAAACTTTTCTCGTCTTTTTCTTGCCTTTTTTGACTGTTAGGACGCAATCAAGATCGAAGAAACATGAATGATTTTTTCGTGCAACCCTTACCGGAAACGACTGCTCCTCGCAACTTCCTGATCTTGTGCATTTGCACACATGCAAGGAAACCTAGTTGTTAACTGTACAAACGATTCATAGCACGGACTGCGGACGTATCGGCGTCTCTTCGATCGAGCTCTCTTTCCTTTCTCTTACCGTCTGCTGCCTCTCCCATGCGCGAACTATCTCGGCCGGACGCAGCGGCGCCCAGTCTTTGAGTGTCATGAATCGTGTATACTATCTCACCAATCCTGCAAGAGAATGCATTTTTTTTGTACTTATCAAGGGTTCTCTTATTTCTGTACAGCATATCGGCCATTTTAACACTCTTTTTCTACAAAAAAAAACATTGGAGGTGTTGTAAAGCGTCTCAAAATCATTACGAAAAAGAAACCTTACCTTGAAAATGAGAAATTGAGATGAAATATTGATCAGATGAGCAGACAATCAGCTGTAATCAGAGAATTAACGGAAAAGCGTCGAATCAGAAATCGCCATTCTGCGGGATTTTGTGAGGAGGTTCGACATTTTGCAATAATTATGCTGAGCGAGTACGCTGTTAGAGTACAACATGATCGATTTTACTGATATAGTGTTTCGACGTTGCCGACAACATTTGCGCGTAAAAATGGTGAATGGTAGCAAAACTTGTAAATTTGCGCGTGGCTTTTCGTGAAAATGTTACCGGCACCATAGAAATGGCGTTTAATTTCTGCGCAAGAAATTTCGTTACAGCAATCGCCTAAATTACCAAATTTCTGGGCTAAAAATTGCGCACTTAAAAACCGACCAATCTTGACCTCCGCTTAGTTTACACCGCCCTTCAGCTGTTCGACTGTGCAACACATGGCAAAGGTCACTTTCTCAGCCACATTACTATTCAATCAATAGATAGTCAGCTTCGATACCGGCTTTGTTTGCTTGATAAATTAGTGTATTTGTTTAGTGCATTGTACACATGATGGATTCGAAGCATATACACACATCTTAAGCCTGTTACTATTGTTTTGCAGTTTGATTTGCGTTGATATGAATATGACATTTGTCTTTTCAGAAGTTAACTTCTCCAAAATGGGAACTATGTACCTATATATGTCCAAGAATATTGAGCTAATTTCTGCGGTTGAAGATTCTGGAAGTTGCTTTCCTCAATTTTTCAAGTTTTTCACCATGTTTGGACACTCCTGGCCAAATCTGCAACATCAAAACCTCAAAAGACCAGCACTATTATGTCGAACATTCCGGAGGAGTTCATGAAGCGCGCGCCAGATACTGCCGTGCCCAGAAAGGCGCGGTACGCATTTACGTCGCATGCATAGCTTTGACGTGAGCTTTTGAGAGTTGGAACGTTCTGCTGCTAATGCTTTGTGTTCGTAAATTCAGTAGATTTTCTCCATTATAAACGCAGGTTTTTTGCCATTGCTGCAGACACGTTTTTACACAACTTCTATTCCTGCCAGGTCGTAAAAATAATCACTTTCTCTTGTAGGAGTTTCCACACTTAGTTTGCACTGCTTCAAAGCCATCATTCATCTGATTACCAAACTAAGCTATCGATTTTTGAGCTAAGTGAATGTTTGAACAGTGGACTTGTATCATGTTTATCATGTAATCTCGGCGAATTCTTGAGCACTGTGTGAATAATTTTTTCCTCATTGATAACTTCAACCTTTTTTCTTAATCTTGCCATTGCTGACTGCCTTCTTCCAGGACGAAAACTCCACTTGTCGATGGTGACGACACGTCAGCGTCCGGAGGCATTTGCCTGGAGCCCAACAGGCATCGACTTTAAGGTAAGTGTTAGCTTCAGTTTTGTTCAGTTGTGTTTATTCTACTGTTTTCCATTTGTCACGTTGAATTCTTACTTCTCTTTCTTTCCCAATCATAGCTTTCGTTGACATTAGTGTTCCGGCCTCCATCTGATTGTGTTTATTTGTTTATTGGAAGTCCGACTATGCCCTGCCACTGTCATCTCTGATACCATTGTTACCAGAGTTGCCGGTACTGGACGAAGTGTCGTGCTTCCTGTCTATTTTACCAATCTTACGCGAAAGAATGGCAGAATAAGACGAATATAAAGCACCAGCAACATTTGCGAAGAGTTACCGGTAATGTACAATACCCGCTCGTATCTTTTGAGAAAACAAGGCAAAGTCGCCATATGGGTGGAGGACTATATGTCGCCGAATTTGGAAGAGGCCCGCGCGGATTCCCTGCAGGAACGTATATCCGGCATGTACAAGGATGCGTATTTGTCGCAAATGACCGCGGGAACCGCCTTTTTTCTGCGACATATAGTCCTCTACCCGTCGCCATATTCATGTGGCATCACTGTAGCGTGGCTATATCTCGCTTCAGAGTGGGCGAATTCTAAATCCAAAGGCAGCATTCAACTCACCTTGGCGCGGTGCATCTTCTGATATATGAGTGACTGCTTAAACACAGTAACAAGATTCCACGAGTCGTTCAAATTTTTGCTTACGGTTGAATGCAATGAATAAGCACACTGAGTAGCTTACCGTAAGCAAAAATCTGAAAGATTCCTGGGATCTGGCCTCCCAATGTGTCCAAACAGGTACTTTCATATATCAGAAGATGCGCTGCGCTGAGTTGAGTCGAATGCTTTTGGATTGAGAATTCGTCTACTCCGAGCGGAGATGTGGCCACGCTACGGTGATATCACATGAATCGGGCGACTTTGCATCTCTTTTCAAAATTTCAAAGCGGTGTTGTAATAGTAAGTTTAAGCGGTAAAGTGCGCCCAAACCCTGAGCGATCTTCGTTTATGAAATGTTTTTTTTACATCATGAAGCAGAATCGTTCATTTTATTCAATGCCCGTATTTATCAATATTTTGAGGTCATACCTTGGGAAAAAATGTCTGAATTGTGTTAAGTTTTAAGTTATGATCTCAGCGTACCGCCACTTTGCATGCTTCTCGCTCCATTGCGCCGCCTTTTTATGCTTCGCCTTTTTGTGCTTCTTTTCAAACATCCAAACCTTGGTGCTTCTGTGGCAACGTGTCAAAAGCCTGTGTTGCAGCGATAACTGAAAATCGTGCACAGATTTTTAGAGTACAGATCAAACCACTTACAGGTTGATTTCTATAATGAATGTGTATGGTGTGACGAAAATCCTACCCAGATAGATTTTGTTTAGAGTTCACTAGTTTCTGTAACACTTTGTCAGTGTGCCATATTTGGTTTGCTCTGTGCCAGATTTGACTGATTGGTAAACGATCTGAAGCGTTTGCTATTACAACCCTAAATAGCCTACCAGGGTTTTCTCTAATTACTACAACTGATTGTCATCTTTTCTACGAAGGAGCTTTTTGTTCTTCAGATTTCCCTGTCTTCTGCAGCAGGCAATAACTAGTTCGCTATCCTCAGTTGTTACCTATCTTTGACATTTTGCCCTTCTTGTACCTGATGGTTTATGTGTAAAGCTTTTCCTTCTGCAGAAAAATGGCCTATTTGATCAAGATGCTGTCTCTATGTTAGTATACTTTTTTCGCATATTTCTAGCCAACCCATTCTATAAGCGAACGCTGCCCATGTTGCGTCAGCTGCGGTGTTCGATTGTATATCATCGTGGCCACGCTTTTTTTTTGCGATGAGCAGTCACACCATTTGCATCACTATCGCATCAATTGTAAACATTTTTCCTAGCAAAATAGAAGGGTGACTTTGGCTGGGGAGTTGGAAATGATGATTTCGGTTGAAGATTTTTGTCTATAAAGATATCCATCTTCTCCACGATTTTCTACTTTTGGTTTCCTCCTTCGCTTTTCGCTTCAAGCAGCTTTATGCAAACAATTTTACACATCGTATGACCATAACATGCCTTAAGCGCAGCACAGCGTATCGCCAACTTTTTTTTGGTCGTTTTTCGGTTTCGCTTAGGCCTCGAGCATGCTCCACTCAATTTCAGTCGCGACGCAATGTGGTAATCAGCCTTCAAGGCAATGTCTTCAAGGCAACACTTGCAGGCTAAAAGTGCACAGCGTGTATAATTTTTGCATATTAATAAAATGCTCTGTTTCTTGTAGATATACTCCGACAATCAAATGCTCTCAGCCGGCAGCCACAAAGCCACCGCCTAGACCCACCAAAAGCGCGGTGGCCTCATCCCCTCACTGTCGCTTCCCGCTGAGAGCTTTGTCGGAGTTTTGTCGGAGCGGGCTCAGCGGGCAGCGAGCCCGCTCCGACAAGCTCCGACAAAGCTCTCAGTGGGAAGCGACAGTGGCTGCGATAAGGCAACGACGCTTTTGGTGGGGCCCGCTGAGAGCCTGTGATTGTCTGAGTAGAAGGCACTTAAGATGAGTTGTAAACAATTGGAGTACTGCCAAATCGCGTCGCGAGTGAAATTGCATGAAGTATGCCCGGGGCCTCAAAATGTGATCCTGACATGACAATGAAAGCTTCGAATATTGGCCTGAATGTGCGTCGCTTTACATATCTAGTATCATGTTTAGGGTGCGATTGTTGGTGATTATGCTCACTATTTCGACCCAAATGCCACAAATAATCAATCTCGACTCGAATTTCTTACTATTGAAGACATCCTACGAAAGCCTACTGAGGATTCTTCCTTGCAACATAGCGTGCCCTGCGAATATAGGTGAGCAGTACATTGTAAATGCATTTTGCTTGAGTACGTCCCTTGGTAAATCGTTGGCAGTGCAGGTTCAATGAGCTCTCATGGTCTCCGCTGAAGACTGACTCTCACCCATCCGGTCTAATTTTTGGAGGAACAGAAAATGGCACAGTCGTATTTTTTGATGCTCAAGCTTTTGTTACTAGTGAGTTTTTTCATCATACTTCATCTGCTGCGTAAATGTACAATTGCTATATTTCCTACCTCACTGGTTTTTTTGTTTTTTTTCTATTTTGTACGTTTAATTAGGTCTTTGCTGATGTCATCTCGATTCTATGCGAGAAAAATAGTCGGCTAGTATCTGCGTAGATAACTTTTCGTGCGTTCCAAATGACAAAAAAGAATGAGAAGACTCAGATACAATACCATTATTCACTAATAGTAATCGTGGTTATACTATGCGGTAACATTTTTATGCAAGCTACACGGTACATGATTGTTTGCATTTTAGAAACCTCCCTTTTCAGATAAGTCTCTTTCCGTGGTATCCTCCAGACGTGACCATCAGGGCCATGTCTTGTCTGTGGATCATTCTGCTGACAACAGATGGGCCATTTCCGTTGGTGGAGCAGCACAATTGCTACTTTGGGACTTGAACAATCTAGCCACGCCATTTTCTCCCGGAGTTTCAAACTTCACCGATCAGGTAGGTAAATCATTGTTACATTCGTTGTCTTTTCAGAATATCCCTGATTTTGTGTTTTATCTTAGGAGGGTCAGTGTGTGGCTGTAAGTCTGCACTGCTTCTATTAAAAATCTTATCCCTAATTTCAGTATTTGGGTTATGGGTCATTTTTTCATCAATCTATCAGCTGTCTAAATGAAAATCAGTTTTGTTTCAGGTGAAGAAGGTGAGATGGAATCGCTCCATGGATAACATTTTGGTGTCGCTGTCGGCACATCGTGGCAGTTTATGGGATATGCGGAGACCTGGAGGACCTGTATTGGAATTCGCTGAGGTGGGTGTTAAAAAACTATAGATTGACTATTATGTTATAACGATCTGAGAAGGCTCGTTTTTCGTTGTTGAGTTGTAGGTTTCTTTTTCCTTCTTTTATATGCATTACCGTTATCTTTTTAGATTGGCAGCGGATGTGACTGGGCAGACATTTGCTGGAAACCTGGCGATTCTTCCACGATGATTCTGTGCAATCAGCTGGCAGCAACACCTGGCATTCAGAAATGGGATTTGCGATATCCTACAGCACCAGTGGGCGAGTTCTATATCCATGATCGAGGAGTGACTGCTATGGATTGGTGAGTGCCTTATCAAGTTTTTATCAGTTCGAGTTCTGCATCTACTCGCTTATCACCCGTATTCTATCTTCTTTTCTTGAAACTTCTTCTGCTTTTGAATCGAAGTACTAGCATCAGACCTCAACTTATTTCTCACTTATATTTTTTCACAGTATATTACGCAGCTTTCTTCCGCAGAATCATCGGTGTAGATAACTTCAAGACTGCTTCTTAGTGTAGTTGCCATACTATTTTTCACAACGCTGTCGAGTCATTTCTGCTTCTAAGCTTCTTCTCAAATCCTCTCTCGGTGATAGGTGAAATCACAGAAGAACTGCTTAACTTCAGCTTTTCTAGAAAAGGATCTTTCGAGAACTTCCTATGAATTCCAATCATTTCGACATTCCGTTTTTGGATATTGGGGATAGTGCGGACCAAGATTATGGTATATTATTGAGTTAGAATCATGGGGTTATTAGCATGACTAATCATGCTGAAATTAAATAGTTTATTAACGAATCCGAATCGATATGTGACAAAATTCAGATTTGAGAGGCTGACAAGATTATAGTAGTCTAAGTATTGATTACGAATAGATAAGAATTTCTGGACAAACACTGCGAATGGGAATGTAAAGTATACTGTCTATTCAAAAGAACAGCTAGATTAGAAAACAGCAAGGTTGTGAGGCTAACTGCCTAGAAAACGATGAGAACAACAGATGTTTAGTCATTCAAGCAGTGAGATCGAATAATTTGCCAAAAAGTTTGGCAGAATTGTTATAAAAGCGACTGTATAAGTGAGGATTATGCCTGTAGCGGCATTGAGCCTAAAAAGGTATGTTATTGAGTGATTCTAACATCTTTCAGTTCTTACACTGTGCAGGGAACCGTAGCTCGCTTGTCCATCCCCCTCTTCAGGTTACAATGCAGACAACATTGTTTTCGACCCAGTTAGTCGGGAGGAATCTGTTTCGAATGGCAGTGAGAATACTCGTAGCAGAAAAAGATAGTGTAAAGCATGAAAACTCTGAAAACATCTTGGATTGCTGATGGATAAGTTTGTTTCTGTGGCTGAGACAAAAAGGACTCACGTCAATACTTGAAGAATATGGTGATTAGAAATGATCAGATGCCATCAAGGGCATTGATAAATAGACAGCCATCGGATTTCTAACAAAATTGCATATAATAGAGCAGGTGTAGAATGGTCATCTAAAATATGACCAAGTAGTTAAGGTTTGTGTGATTATCTTTCTTAGCGAGTTTGTAGAATCATTTACGAACATTTACATATGCTTGTTGATGTTTCTGCGGCTATTCGAGCCCCGAGGTTCTGCCGAAATTTTGAACTTACAAATTAGGTTGTTTTGCGTAGCGAGGTGATCATTCTGGATACGGCAATCCGTATGGTAGTTTTGGTGAGCTTACGGTAGGCGTACGGTGAGTCGAAGTTTCTCATTGAAGCTCAGCAGTGTAGAACGAACTCCGCCAGTTTGAACCGCCTCCGCGGACTACTGGTCCTGCAACAACATCATCTACTATAATAATTCGCAGGCCCCCCCATCAAGTGTAAACATGTGGCTATGTCCGGCCGATGACGTCACCAGTGACATCGTCACTGCCGGCGAGCATGTTTACAACCCCTTAAGGTCCAGAGAGCACCAGACAGTTCTGGAACTTTCTTTGAAAGGTCAATTTCACAAAAAAGTCGAAAACAAAGGAATTCGTCGCAATTCAATCCATTGAACGATTCAACACCGCCGGGGCATGTTTACAATCCCTTAGGGTTCAGAGAGCGCCAGACAGTTCTGGAACTTTCTTTGAAAGGTCAATTTCACAAAAAAGTCAAAAACAAAAGAACTCAGACGTCGCAAAGCCAAATAAGCAACCTTTTGCCTCCAAAACTGTGCATCACATAGACACCACCTTGCATTACGTATGCTTCGGTCGCCTTTCATGTTAGGTTCACTTCACTCATCAACCGTACCCAAAGTCAAAGTGGTATTCATCCCAACACTCTCTATCCACCATTACTGTTGCATCTTTTGAAGTCTATCCCAAATCTCTTCCTGTCCCAATGGTTGCTCTATCACTTCTATTATCATCGAATTTACATTCTGAAAGTTCTTCCCTCCATGCTTATTGGTAGCTTTGAGCGCTAGATACGCGGAAATCGGTCTTTTTCTCTCTCCCTCTATGAGTTTTCTCTTCTTTGCGCTTAATTCATTGCTCCAGCAGTGTCTTCATATCAAAAAAAAAATGGTAAAACAATTTAGGGGATCAATAGCTATCTCAAGAACTGCTGGCTTTGCTTTCAAGCCTTCTTCGTTCTTTTATCGTTACCTTCAAACATCATCTACTATAATAATTCGCAGGCCCCCCCCCATCAAGTGTAAACATGTGGCTATGTCCGGCCGATGACGTCACCAGTGACATCGTCACTGCCGGCGAGCATGTTTACAACCCCTTAAGGTCCAGAGAGCACCAGACAGTTCTGGAACTTTCTTTGAAAGGTCAATTTCACAAAAAAGTCGAAAACAAAGGAATTCGTCGCAATTCAATCCATTGAACGCCGCCGGGGCATGTTTACAATCCCTTAGGGTTCAGAGAGCGCCAGACAGTTCTGGAACTTTCTTTGAAAGGTCAATTTCACAAAAAAGTCAAAAACAAAAGAACTCAGACGTCGCAAAGCCAAATAAGCAACCTTTTGCCTCCAAAACTGTGCATCACATAGACACCACCTTGCATTACATATGCTTCGGTCGCCTTTCATGTTAGGTTCACTTCACTCATCAACCGTACCCAAAGTCAAAGTGGTATTCATCCCAACACTCTCTATCCACCATTACTGTTGCATCTTTTGAAGTCTATCCCAAATCTCTTCCTGTCCCAATGGTTGCTCTATCACTTCTATTATCATCGAATTTACATTCTGAAAGTTCTTCCCTCCATGCTTATTGGTAGCTTTGAGCGCTAGATACGCGGAAATCGGTCTTTTTCTCTCTCCCTCTATGAGTTTTCTCTTCTTTGCGCTTAATTCATTGCTCCAGCAGTGTCTTCATATCAAAAAAAAAAATGGTAAAACAATTTAGGGGATCAATAGCTATCTCAAGAACTGCTGGCTTTGCTTTCAAGCCTTCTTCGTTCTTATATCGTTACCTTCAAACATTGTTTATAAGTCAAATTCGTTGTTGCACAGAAATGCAGAAATTGTTTTGATCTTCTAAAATCTATCGACCTTGCTGCACTCTGAGATCTGTTTAGTTTCAATCACTGTCTCAACTCTAAACACTGTTTCCGTGTCAAAGGCGTCGCATAAGACTATTCGTGTTCATTTTCGAACTATCTGTACACAGCATTTTGTCTAGCCAAGAGATTTATACGAAGCACGATGAAAATTTTTGAATGTGTTGTAAAAAATTTTTGCTTCGCGGTATTGCAGTATGTGTAATTTACCTATGCTCAATAAAGGCATATAGGAATCACTGCCGGCGAGCATGTTTACAACCCCTTAAGGTCCAGAGAGCACCAGACAGTTCTGGAACTTTCTTTGAAAGGTCAATTTCACAAAAAAAGTCGAAAACAAAGGAATTCGTCGCAGTTCAATTCAATCCATTGAACGATTCACTACCGCCGGGGCATGTTTACAATCCCTTAGGGTTCAGAGAGCGCCAGACAGTTCTGGAACTTTCTTTGAAAGGTCAATTTCACAAAAAAGTCAAAAACAAAAGAACTCAGACGTCGCAAAGCCAAATAAGCAACCTTTTGCTTCCAAAACTGTGCATCACATAGACACCACCTTGCATTACGTATGCTTCGGTCGCCTTTCATGTTAGGTTCACTTCACTCATCAACCGTACCCAAAGTCAAAGTGGTATTCATCCCAACACTCTCTATCCACCATTACTGTTGCATCTTTTGAAGTCTATCCCAAATCTCTTCCTGTCCCAATGGTTGCTCTATCACTTCTATTATCATCGAATTTACATTCTGAAAGTTCTCCCCTCTATGCTTATTGGTAGCTTTGAGCGCTAGATACGCGGAAATCGGTCTTTTTCTCTCTCCCTCTATGAGTTTTCTCTTCTTTGCGCTTAATTCATTGCTCCAGCAGTGTCTTCATATAAAAAAAAAATGGTAAAACAATTTAGGGGATCAATAGCTATCTCAAGAACTGCTGGCTTTGCTTTCAAGCCTTCTTCGTTCTTATATCGTTACCTTCAAACATTGTTTTTAAGTCAAATTCGTTGTTGCACAGAAATGCAGAAATTGTTTTGATCTTCTAAAATCTATCGACCTTGCTGCACTCTGAGATCTGTTTAGTTTCAATCACTGTCTCAACTCTAAACACTGTTTCCGTGTCAAAGGCGTCGCATAAGACTATTCGTGTTCATTTTCGGACTATCTGTACACAGCATTTTGTCTAGCCAAGAGATTTATACGAAGCACGATGAAAAATTTTAAATGTGTTGTAAAAAATTCTTGCTTCGCGGTATCGCAGTATGTGTAATTTACCTATGCTCAATAAACGCATATAGGAATCTGATATGGATTCGCAGACTACACAGATGCCTTCTGGCATCGGTGAAACGCAGAAGGAACTAACGAGCAGTTCTCGAAGAAAGGCTACGCGTGTTACTTTAAGAAAATCGGAAACCGAAGACGAACGCGATGCAAGACTTGCTGTAGAAGCACAACGAGTTGCTCTCAAAAGATCTAACGAGACGCAAGATGAGCGCAAGCAACGTCTTGCAGCAATGGCAGAAAGGGATAGATTGAAAAGAATGAGTGAAAGCGAACAGAACAGAAGAGAACGCCTTGCAGTGAAGGCTGAGAGAGCAAGGATGCTGAGAGCCAAAGCAAAAGAAAGAAAATCGGTGGGAACGCAGGATGAGTTGGGCGAAGTCCAGAAGCGATCGAGACTTCAGGACAGTGTGAAGGGCACACCAATGTCATCTGCAACCACAGCTCATCAGGATGAAAGTGAAGAAGTGGTGAGCTTGAATTTTGATGGTTTTCTGT